CACAACATGTCCCTGAGTTCTAGATTTATGAGACAGGGGGAAAATATTTTCTCTAACTACTCTATCCATGCCACGCATAATTTTATCAGGTTCTATCACTTTGCCTCTTACTTGTCTTTCCTCTAAACTAAAAAGTCCCAAACTATGCAAATTTTCTTTGCAATTCCAGGTGATAATGTGGAAACTTCTTTGTATATCTTCTTCTTCTTTGGCGATCCCTCGTAGTTGAGTAAGATAGTCTTCCATGAACGTGGTTTTAACAGTGAGTCTGTAAGTGGAGGCCAATTCTGGATCCACACGTCCTTCCACAGTGGGGACATAGGTTTCCGCGCAGGAGTTGATCATGGTGTGGATTTGCCAAGCATGCCTTCCTCTTAGCATGTTTCTCCCTTGCGTCCTGAGTTCGAGTGTCTTCAAAGCCCATGACACCTTTGGGAAAAGCTGTTCTCCAACTGGAGCGCTCGCAGGCCAGTGTTTCCCAGTTGTCGGTGTTTATACTACATTTTTAAAGATTTGCCTTGAGACAGTCTTTGAACCTCTTTTGTTGACGACCAGCATTGCGCTTTCCATTTTTAAGTTCGGAACAGAGTAGTTGCTTTGGAAGACGATAATCAGGCATCTGCACAACATGACCAGTCCAACGAAGTTGATGATGAAGAATCAGTGCTTCAACACTAGTGATCTTTGCTTCTTCCAGTACACTGGCATTAGTTCGTCTGTCTTCCAGAGTGATATCCAAAATAAATTCCAGAGACACCGTTGATGGAATCTTTCGAGGAGCTGGAGATGGCGTTTGTAAGTGGTCCATGTTCCACAAGCATACAGTAAGGTTGGTAGTAGAATAGCTTTGTGAACAAGCATTTTGATTTCCCTGTGAATGTCCTGGTCCTCAAACACTCTGCACTTCAATTGGGAGAAAGCCGCACTCGCAGAGCTCAGGCGATGCTGGTTTGTGTATGCAGCTGTGTGCACACATCATACATTTAAAACACATGATTTCCCCCAAAGAATCCTGGGAAATGTTAAGGGTGCCAGGAATTGTAGCTATGTGAGGGGTAAACTGCAGTTTCCCGGGATACTATGGGGAAAGACATGCTTTAAAAGTATGGCTTGCACACAGCCTGTATGTGTGAGCGAGCGAGCACGATGAGTAATACTATGCAGGATCTACTTAGTAGATTGTGACCTCTTAAAAGCTTCTTCTGCCACCAGCAATCTGGGAGTGGGGTTCAGCGGGGCTTTTAGATTAGTTAATTTGTGGGGTGGGAAAGCGTTGGTGGTCTATTCTTAGAAAATGGTTTCAGCATTACACTTCCATACACATGATCACATCTAATTGTGTCCTTCTCCCACATTTCACAGTTGCTGTTAGGCATTAGAATCCCCATGCAAAAGTAGGTAATGATTTGTTTTATTCATGTATTTTTCTTCCTTCGTCTACCACCTGAAGCGTGTGATCGCCAGTGCTGATGTGTGGAGTGCTGTCGACATCTTGACCCAGGAAGCTGGTCTTTGACAGGCCAAACTCCCCGCAGACTTGGCCAAAACGCCTGACAAGTCTCTGTAGAGCTGCCTTGGGAGTGTGCTGCCAAGGCTGCGTCATCTGCAAACAGGATCTCTCAGATAAGGACCTGGCGCACTTTGGAGAAGCGAGCTGCCTTGCCAATATGCCTGTCTAGCTCAGCATTGGTGAAGACGTTTCTGGTTAGGGTGGAGCCCAGGTAGACAAAATCGTCTAGCACCTCAAGCATGTGGTCACCAGTGCTGATGCACAGAGTGCTGGCAATGTCCTAACCAAGGATGTTGGTCTTAATCAGGTTGATGGCAGCGGAGGACCTTAGGGTCTCGATTTTCAGCAGCACCCTGCATAATGCCAAAATTCAGTACCCCCAACAAAAGGGGACTGGATAAGTAAACTATGTGAGTACCTGGAGTTAGCAAAATTGACGGATTTAATAAGGCACAAATCCAAAACTTTAATACAGAAACAATGGGAATGCTTAAATGAATATTTATACAAGCAGGGCTCAAATATGAAAGTTTGGTTGTGCTTAGACTAACCTTGTGAAGAATATAGAGAACATAAAGATTTGACAGATTATGAAATAACCTAAGGAAGGGAAATGACTGAAGAACAGATGTAAAGGCGAGTAAGATAACTAAGAGACGTGCGGTGAATGCGGTGGAAGTCTTTTATAATATTTTAACTAGGATTTATATATTGTAATGTTTGAAGCATGAATTTGGTAATATTATTGGTTATGAAAAGTATTTTTTTTCTTTTCTCTTTTCTCTCTCTCTTTTTTAAGTTTGCATTTTGGAAAACATGTATATAAATGTGTTTAAAGTGTTATGTATTGTTCTTTCTTTCTCTTTTCTTGTAAAAGTAAAAAAAAAAAATTAAAAAAAACACAACAAGAAAATTCAGTACCCCCTGTCGCTCTCACTCCATTCTGAATCATAGCTGCGGCTTCCCCTGCACTGCCCTTGAGGCTCTGCGCCCAGTGCAACAGAAATGGCCACGATCCCCTAAATCTGCCTCTCCTTATGGTGAGGCCAAACTTCCTGCAGGCTTGGGCAAAATGGTGCTTGAGTCTCTCAAGCATGCTCTTTTGCAGGAGACTCCATCCCATGTCACTCCTTTTTTAAAAAAAATGTAATTTTTTATTAAATTTTCTGTTTTACAATTTCAAATAAACATTTTGCATACTTAAGATATCAGTGACTTCCCTTCTTCTCCTACCATAGTTCATTTTACATATCTTATATCCCTGCATATTTTACAAAAACTATAATATTCAGTATTCCATTATTGCATCCATCAAAACCTATTTACACTGTTGAATTTATCTTAATGCTGCCAGCGTTTTCAGCTGTACACAATTATTCCCCATATATTCAATAAACGTTTTCCAATCTTCTCTAAACGTATGTTCTTCTTGTTTTCTTATTCTATATGCTAAGTTTGCAAGTTGTGCATATTCTGTCAGCTTAAGTTGCCATTCTTCTTTAGTTGGGACCTCGTCAGTTTTCCATTTTGGGGCTAATGAAACATGGGCTGCAGTGGTAGCACACATAAATAACCTTTTCTGACACCTGGGAATTTCAGTCTGAATTATCACTAACAGAAGGACTCTGGGGTTTTTTTTGGGGGGGAGTACTTTTGAACATTTTTTCCAATTCATTATAGATCATTTCCCAATACTTTTTTACCCTTTTACAGGTCCACCACATATGAAATAACGTTCCCTCTACCTCTTTGCATCTCCAGCACTTATGTGCTTTAGTCTTACAGTGGCGCCTCGCAAGACGAAATTAATCCGTTCCGCGAGTCTCTTCGTTTTGCGGTTTTTTCGTCTTGCGAAGCACGGCTATTAGCGGCTTAGCGGCTTAGCGGCTATTAACGGCTTAGCGGCTTAGCGGCTATTAACGGCTTAGCGGCTTTAAGAAAAAGGAAACAAACTCGCAAGAACTCGCAAGACGTTTCGTCTTGCGAAGCAAGCCCATAGGGAAATTCGTCTTGCAGAACGACTCAAAAAACGCAAAACCCTTTCGTCTAGCGAGTTTTTCGTCTTGCGAGGCATTCGTCTTGCGGGGCACCACTGTATACATCTTAGCAAGCCTATTTGGAGATAAATACCATCTGTAAATCATTTTCAAGCAGTTCTCCTGGGAATATACGTTACATGTTGTGAACTTCAAGTCACTTTTCCAGAGTTTTTCTCCAAGATTTAAAATCTATATTGCAGAACTCCTTTCCAAACAGGACAGCAGGCTCATCACTTCCAGCACTTATCCGAGTCTGCCTTGTAAATATTAGCAAGCCTGTTGTTGTTGTTGTTTAGTCGTGTCCGCCTCTTCGTGACCCCCTGGACCAGAGCACGCCAGGCCCTCCTGTCTTCCACTGCCTCCCGCAGTTTGGTCAAACTCATGCTGGTAGCTTCAAGAACACTGTCCAACCACGACTAAACGACTCAACAACAAATGACCTATTCATCTTGGGTGCCCTGCACGGCATAGCTCATAGCTTCTCTAAGTTATTCAAGCCCCTTCACCACGACAAGGCAGTAATCCATTAAGGGGCTTAGCAAGCCTAAAGGTAAAGGTAAAGGGACCCCTGACCGTTAGGTCCAGTCATGGCCGACTCTGGGGTTGCAGCGCTCATCTTGCTTTACTGGCCAAGGGGTCATGTGGCCAGGATGGCTAAGCCGTTCTGGCGAACCAGAGCAGTGCACAGAAACGTCGTTTACTTTCCCGCCGGAGCAGTACCTATTTATCTACTTGCACTTTGACATGCTTTCGAACTGCTAGGTGGACAGGAGCAGGGACAGAGCAACGGGAGCTCACCCCGTTGCGGGGATTTGAACCGCTGACCTTCTGATCGGCAAGTCCTAGGCTCTGTGGTTTAACCCACAGCGCCACCCACGTCCCTATGCCACCAACTTAGATGGCCTTAAAAGAGGATTGGACAAATTTGTGGAGGAGAGGGCTATCCGTGGCTACTAGCCACAATGGTTTCTTAGGTTCTTTGAGCATCTGCTTTGCGTACAGGTTCCAGTTTCAATTTCTGACAGTGTGGGATAGCGGGGATTTGAACCGCCGACCTTCTGATTGGCAAGTCCTAGGCTCTGTGGTTTAACCCACAGCGCCACCCGCGTCCCTTAGCAAGCCTACTGGGAGCAAAATACCACCTGTAAATCATTTCCCCCCCATAGCTGTCAACTTTTCCCTTTTTTAAAGGGAAATTCCCTTATTCCGAATAGGATTCCTCGCAAGAAAAGGGAAAAGTTGACAGCTATGTCCCGCCCCCCCATGTTTCCTCTCCTGGTCTTTCCTGGGGCGATGATGCCCCTTCCCTCCACGGCCCCCCACCCAAAGGTGCAGCCGCTCACCTGCCCACGTGCCCTGGCCCCTCCCTCTCCTCCCCATGGGTGGGCGGGGCTTCCCCGCGCCCCGCCTCCTCCTCCTCCTCCTCCCTCCCTCCTCCCAGACAGGGTCTCATGCGGCCGCCCAACCGGAGCGGCGGCCCGGCTGACGTCACATCGTCGCGGCGCGGTTGGCTGCGGCGGGCGCGGGGCGGGGCCTCGGCGGGGCTTAAAAGGCCGAGCGGGGCGCGCGCGGGCGGCAGAAGCGCGTCGAGGCGAGCGGCGGCGTCGTCGTCGTCGTCTGTGGCGAGGCGGCCCCTCGTCCTCCGGACGCCCCCTCAGCCCTTGGCCGCTCCTCCCGGCGCTGCTGCGAGGCCGGGCGGCCGGCGGATGCCATGGAGAGGGGCCCGGCGGCGCTGCTGCAGGTGAGACCCGGTGACCTTCGCGGGGCGGGGGAGCTGAGGGGAGCCGGACGGCCTACCTGCCTGCCTGCCTGCCTTCTTTGCCGGGCAGGGAGAGGCGGCAGCGGCCCCCAACCACCCTGAGGTAACTCGGGAACGGGCGGGGGTCGCGCGCCGAGTGACGTCTGTCAAGGGAGACGGGGCCTCTGGGACTCCCCGCCACAAGGTCCCGCCGCGCGACCCGGAGCCGCCTCTCAGCCGCGCTGCTCCCGGGCAGAGTTATTGGGTGGCCCCCGAAGGGTCTCCCCTCTCCCACTTGCTCCATTAGGGTGGTTGTGTCTGTGGGGTTTTTTTTCCCTTGGGACGCCCCCCCCCAAGGGGGCAGCGCTTGGGCTTTGGAGGAGAAGGGGGCGGGAGGCAGGAGGGCATGGATGGCATGCCAGGATGGGCAGAGCATCCTTTCTCCATCCCGCCTCCCCCCATTCTTCCTTGGACTGCCAGCTGATCCAGGGGCCGATCCAGCAAGGTTCAGGTGGAAGATCTATTGCCTTCCCGCCCCTCTTAGCAGTGGGGCTTGCTGGAGGTATCTCTCCACTGGGGGGAGACTGGCCAAGGCCATTCAGGGCTCTTCTGCTCCCCCAGCCTAGAAGTGGCTCTCCAGGGTCTGTTTCCAATCCCTGACCCTTGTATGAGTGGAGATGCCGGGGCTGCGACCTTCTGCGTCCAAAGAGATGCAAAAAGATGTGGCCAGGGCTGAACTGGGATTTGAACCCAGACCTTGAAGCGTGCAACAAGCATGTCAGATTCTCTTACCCCAGCTCCAGGGATGGTGGGGTGCACCTCTCAGGGGCTCCCCTTGCTACCCATTTCCCCCCACACCCAGTAGAGCCTTGGCAAAAGGGTTTCGCAATCATTCTCCATGGGGCCAATTACCATCCATCACTGGTACCGTTGAGCCTGATGTCTTTACAAAGTCTGATATGGTTTGGGACCTGCACATTTACTTTGGAAGCCAACTTCTTTCAGCCCCCCCATCGCCTTTATGGGCTGGTGAGAAGGCCCCCATCCTTGTGCCACATGCAGAGACATTTTGTCTTCTTAAGAGCAGCCTTCTGAGCCCAGGCAGGCATTCTTGCTTGGGTTTTCGCTTAGTGTCTTGAGTTAACTTTGAATTCAGTATAGTATTTTAAACTGAATGGGGAGGGTTTGTTTGTTTTTGCTTGTTTTCCCCTATTATCAGTTGCTGGTTTGTAAATAGCTGGTCGTTTTGCCATAGGGAAGAAATAACTCTTCCAGGTAAACAAGGAGGAAAGTTTTTGTAATCTTGAGGGTGACTGGTGCTCTCAGTGCAGGCATGTAGCCACAAATTGTAGTCCACATTATTGTGGATTAGTAACATTTGTGGGCTTGTTTGTGAGAGTTGTCTTTTGGTTTTAAAGGGGCATTGTTTGGTGGGGTTTTCCACTCCTTTAAGAGATATTGCATGCACACAGGTCCTTGGGTATGTGTACAGTGGTACCTCGGGTTACATACGCTTCAGGTTACATACACGTCAGGTTACAGACTCCGCTAACCCAGAAATAGTGCTTCAGATTAATAACTTTGCTTCAGGATAAGAACAGAAATCGCACAGCGGTGGTGCAGCGGCAGCAGGAGGCCCCATTAGCTAAAGTGGTGCTTCAGGTTAAGAACAGTTTCAGGTTAAGAACGGACCTCTGGAATGAATTAAGTACTTAACCCGAGGTACCACTGTATTCATTAATGACCACCTTTAATAAATAACATGATTGGGGGGAAAGGGAGGAGGAGAGATGGAATTAGGGCAAGCCAGAAATCAAGCATCACGTATGCAAAGCCAAGTTTGTTCCAGGGGAGGGAAATCCCTTCAGAAACATTTTACATCAACCTTCAGCAACTTTGTACCCTCCAGATGTTTTGGACTGCAAATCCCATCATCCCTGACCACTGCTGGCTGGGGCTGGTGAGCATTGTAGTCCAAAATATCCAAGGGGATGCCAAATGCACCTTTATAGACTCCACCCGGGAGCCATGTTCCCCCAGTTCATGGGAAAGATGTCTCCCGTTGTTGAAAAAGGAAAAGTTGCTGTCTCTGGTGGACAGAGGCATCCTGGGAAGGGGAATGAAAGTGGGGTGGGCTCCAGGATCACAAACTGTCTTGTACCTAGTTAAGACCCTTGGTCCATTTGGCTTAGTGTTGTCTGCACTGACTGGCAGACTCTCTAGGGTGTCAGGAAAGGGACATTCCCAGACCTGAAGATAGCAATGATTGACCCAGGGCCTGTGCTCAAGTGAAGGAAGCACCTTCTCTGAGCTGTGATGTGTTCTCTGATAAGCCTCTGAACTGTGATATGTTCTCTGATAAGGTTCACACGAAATAATGCTTTGGGAGTAGGGTTAACTCCTTTCATAAGAAGTGTTTGTACTGTACTCCTTTCATGAAATCCTCTTAGAAAAAGAGAGAATTAAATGAAGGGCTTGTGCAACCCAATTTGCAAGCCCCTGTTTGCCAGCTTTATTGATTAGGCAATGTTTGCACAGTCTTGTCAGTGGTTGTCTGCTCCCTTCCCCTGGTTCACACAGGTTGCCATAGCTACTCAACAGCAAATGATGGAGCTATAGTAACAAACAGGGAGTGCCGGGCTTCCTTGTGTATACAGCAAAGGCTGGGACCACAGACACATGTACACACCCTCCAAAAAGAAAAGAAAAAAGGATTGAGGCTTTTGTTGCAGGATAGCTCTCCAGCACTGGGAACAGCAGCTTCTTTCTGGCAGCCTGTGCAGCAAACTGAAATCCAACAGGTGCAGCTTCCCTGTGACAGCACAACTTTTTTTGGTTTCTGATGAAGCTTGCCATGTTTGATACCTGTGTGCTAGGTTGCTACTGTGGGTGACCTGAGAGAGGGTCTCTCATTCCCCACCCTCACTCTGCTAAGTTCTCTGCCACATTGCAAGGAATCCTTGGGAGCACAACGGCATCATTGCAAGTCCCTCCAAAAATTACAGCTCCAAACAATGGTTTGGATCACTTCCAAACCTGAGTCTGAGGGTCCTGCTGCCTCCTAGGTGCACTCCTTGAACTCCCATTTAAGAAGTTAACCACTTCAGGGATACTGGATCTGACCACTGCTAGGCTTTGCTAATAGAAGAAGAAGAAGAAGAGTTTGGATTTGATATCCCGCCTTTCACTCCCTTTAAGGAGTCTCAAAGCGGCTAACATTCTCCTTTCCCTTCCTCCCCCACAACAAACACTCTGTGGGGTGAGTGGGGCTGAGAGACTTAAAAGAAGTGTGACTGGCCCAAGGTCACCCAGCAGCTGCATGTGGAGGAGCGGAGACGCGAACCCGGTTCCCCAGATTAGGAGTCTACCGCTCTTAACCACTACATCACACTGGCTCTCTAATATTTATACATTGTGAGAAATGGTGGTATTTAGGGATTCACTGAATACAAACTTTTTTTAGTGGCGTTTGGTTATAGCGAGAGTGTATGTTTTAATATGAAAACAGGTGATGCTGTTTTTCTTCTGACAAAAGTTGGATGCTTTGCCAAAAGTTTGGCACTTAAACTGCTTTGGTTGCCCTGTATCATGACCTTTATCAAGAGAGAGACAAGAGAAACATGTCCTTGTTAATTCTTCTCGACATCTCAGTGGCTTTCGATACCATCAACCATGGTACCCTTCTGTCTGAACTAGGGGTGGGTGGCGCCACTTTGCGGAGGTTCCAGTCCTACTTGGACGGTTGTTCCCAGAGGGTGTCGCTTGGGGAATGCTTTTCAGCCCCATGGAACTTTCAATGTGGGGTCCGGCAGGACTCAATCTTATCCCCCACATTGTTTAACATCTACATGAAACCGCTGGGTGGGGTTATCCGGAGGTTCAGAATACGTTGTCAGCAGTATGCTGATGACACTCAGCTCTATTTCTCCTTTATATCTGCAGGTGAGGCAGTGGAAGTGCTGGACCAGTGTCTTGCCTTGGTAATGGACTGGATGAGCGCCAACAAACTGAAACTCAATCCAGATAACTGAGGCACTGTTTGTGGGTGGTTCCCTAGACCAGATGGGTGGGAGGTCGCCTGCTCTTGATGGGGTTATGTTGCCCCTGAAGGAGCAGGTTCGTAGCCTGGGGTTACTCCTGGGTCCTTTGCTGTCACTCGAGGCTCAGGTGGCCCCGAGTGCCTTCCATAAGCTTCGGCTGGTGGCCCAGCTACGCCCTTATCCAGATAGGGATAGCCTAACTACTGTTGTCTATGCTCTGGTGATCTCAAGGTTAGATTACTGCAATGCGTTATACGTAGGACTGCCTCTGAAGATGGTTTGGAAACTTCAGCTGCTGCAGAATTCAGCAGCCAGGTAGCTCACTGGAGAAAGATGGTTTGAGCATATTACATTGATCCTGGTCCGACTGCACTGGCTACCAATTAGTTTCCAGGCCCAGTTAAAAGTGCTAGTTTTGACCTGCAAAGCCTTAAACGTCTCAGGACCGCAATACCTCAAGGACTGCCTCTTTCCATAATGACCTACCCGGACCTTGGGAGGCCCTTCTTCATGTGCCGCCTCAAGAGGTCCGGAGGGTGGCAACATGAGAACGGGGCCTTCTCTGCAGTGGCTCCCCGTTTGTGGCATGCTCTCCCCAGGGAAGTTTGCCTGGCGCCTTCACTATATACCTTTAAGCGCCAGGCAAAAGCATTCCTTTTTAACCAGGCCTTTGGTTGATTTGATCGACATCCTATGCCCTTTCAAAATGTGGGGTTTTTTGGGGGGGGGTTATTGGGCTGTTCTTTTTATTTTGATTATATATTTTGCCCTAAGACCTCCAGGTATAGGGCGGTATATAAATTCAATAAATAATAAGGATAAAAATAATACTCTACAGTGTCAATTTTATCATTTATATGGTGCTATCAATATACATGATGCGCCTAACAGTATCAGCACACATGTATACTCTGCTCCAAGGAGAGAGCAATAGAAGGGCCCTTCCAGACTGTTGCCTTTTGGAGGATGAGTTCTGCGACATGCCATTGACACAATAATAGTGCTTTAGTGGTGGTGGGTTTATACTGAACCGTCCACACACTGTCCTGTCTTGTGATGCTCCCACAACGTTACCACATTACAGTGGTGCCTCGCAAGACGAAATTAATCCGTTCCGCGAGAGTCTTCGTCTAGCGGTTTTTTCGTCTTGCGAAGCAAGCCCATTGACGGATTAGCGCTATTAGCGCTATTAGCGGTTTAGCGGCTATTAAAGGCTTAAAGGCTTAGGGGATTAGCTGCTAAAAGGCTATTAAAGGCTATTAAAGGCTTAGCAGATTAGATAAAGGGGGGGGAACGCAAAATAATTATCTCTAGACTCGCAAGGTATTTTCGTCTTGCGAAGCAAGCCCATAGGGGAATTCGTCCTGCGAAGCAACTTCAAAACGGAAAACCCTTTCGTCTAGCGGTTTTTCCGTCTTGCGAGGCATTCGTCTTGCGGGGCACCACTGTATTGCCTCCTGGAAGGCAGGAGTCTTGAGTCTATAGTGCAACAAAGGTGTGTGGGGGGGGAAATCCCTTCCAGAGCATTTGTGGGGTAAAAAGTTACAGGTTTTCTGCAGGAAGGGACTTGCACCAATTGGAAATGAAGCAGTACCCCCACCCCAAAACTTTAGCAGGTGCAAGCAGTGTTGAAAGCAGAATTGTGTCTAACAGCCCCAGTACCATCCTGAGTGCAGATCATCATGAGTGCACAATGGAAAGCGACCATAAGCCTGGAATGGCTTGCTCCAATCACAATTTTTTCTGGGGAAGGGGAGACACTGTTCAGAAGAAAAATGATAATATATATACAGTCATACCTCATGTTACGTTTGATTCATGTTACGTTCTTTCAGGTTACGTCCCGCGGCGACCCGGAAGTACCGGAAAGGGTTACTTCTAGGTTTCGCCGCTCACACATGTGCAGAAGCGCCAAATCGTGCCACGCACCTGTGCAGATACGGCACTTCAGGTTGCGCTCTTTTCATGTTGCGAACGGGCCTCCGGAACGGATCCCATTCGCAACCAGAGGTACCACTGTATTCAATAATTAATATCCTCAAGTATTTTCCAGATGAAAACCAGGACAGCTTTGGGGCACTTGGAACCCTTAGAGCAACAAAGGTTGTTGCTTGAGTGTGTGTGCGCGCGCCACCCCAAATATTGTTGGGAAGCTTTTCTCTGGCTGATGTACATATTATACTGACCGTAGCTTTTCTTTGTTTTTTAAAAATGAGTGCTTAATCTTGCAAATTATCTAGTTGCATATGTAGGGTAGCTGCAGCTGTATGCACATGGAATAAAAATGAATATCCCCTCCCCCCAAATACTTAAGTTCTAGAGATCCAGGTGGGAAGCCTTCCTGCTTGGCAGGGGGTTGGACTCAATGGCCCTTGTGGTCTCTTCCAACTCTATGATTCTATGATTCTAAGCCTGAAATGTGAAGAACTTTAGTGCACACTGACGGCATTTGTCTCCGCAAAAGCAACAAAGATATTTTTTAAATACTAACCAGAAAATTCAGAGGCTGCCCCTGGTAAACAGGGGGTCGTGTCGTTGGAGGGCAGACTGTACTGTGGATGTAAAAAACCAACATTAGTTTGAATGCACATTAGATGCAGATACCTTTCTCTTTATTTTTCTTACCTAATACCAACATCATTTGCAAATGCAGCCTTCCAGAGGATAAAATGCATCCTCAAGCCTCTGTTGTGAAACGCCCTAAATTGGTCTGACAGGAGCCTGCCACCGTGACAGCAGAGTGAGGGAATTGTGCCCTAGGGGTCCTGCTTAGCATGGCATCGGTGCTGCCACCCCCTTCCCCTGATGTCTCCCAACTTAGTGGGCATTGCAGCCAGTTGCCTGCGCCATGGCAACAGCAGACCTGCTTGGCAGAAGTGCCAGCAATAAATATGCCAGCAATGTTGTGGTCCCCTTGCTGCACATCTTGCCCCACATATTCTCCCCTCCCTTCTCCTGCCCCCAGATACACCAGAAGAGATTGCATCTTCTCTTCCACCAAGCTGGTTTCAAACAAACCTGACAGCATGAGATTGGGGTGGAGCATAGTTCAGCAGTGCTGAGTAGTGGGCAAGTTACAACGTTAAATGCATTTATATGAGCTGTCATATTGGAATAAGAGATGCCCAGTGGCTTGAAGAGGAGGGGAGGGCATCTCTAAGCATGTTAGTGATGCTGCTTTACATGCATAAAGGTAAAGGGACCCCTGACCATTAGGTCCAGTCGTGGCCGACTCTGGAGTTGCGGCGCTCATCTCGCTTTATTGGCCGAGGGAGCCAGCGTACAGCTTCTGGGTCATGTGGCCAGCATGACTGAGCCGCTTCTGGCAAACCAGAGCAGTGCACGGAAATGCCGTTTATCTTCCCGCCGGAGCAGTACCTATTTATCTACTTGCACTTTGATGTGCTTTCGAACTGCTAGGTTGGCAGGAGCAGGGACCGAGCAACGGGCGCTCACCCCATCGCGGGGATTCGAACCGCTGACCTTCTGATCGGCAAGTCCTAGGCTCTGAGGTTTAACCCACAGCGCCACCCGCGTCCCTTTTAACATGTGTACTTATTTGCTATTTACCAGTAGCTTGCTTTTTCACATAGGGAAGGAGGAACCCTTCCTGTTATACCTCTTCAGCTATTGATGTCATTGGACCTACAATCCATAGTTCTCTCTTGCAAGCCCTGGTGGGATGCTCTTGTGTGGCTCCCGTTTATTTCATGGGGGTTGTGTAGGAGAACCTTCTTGTAGCCGATGCCTTGCTGTATCAGCTCCTGGTTTGTTCTGCATTTGTAGTTTATTATTATTATTTATTAGTTTATTATTGAACTTATTTGTTGCATTTTTGTTTGTCAAGGTGGCTAACATAGAAAAAGGAACAAGCCTACTTAATGGATGGGTATAAGACAGACCACTAATATATTAATGTTCCTCCTAATTAAAAAAAACCATGAGTGTGGGTAAATATGAGCCTCTGCCTCTCAGCGTAGACCATGGGTAGGCAAACTAAGGCCCAGGGGCCAGATCCAGCCCAATCGCCTTCTAAATCTGGCCTGCGGATGATCTGGGAATCAGTGTGTTTTTACATGAGTAGAATGTGTGCTTTTATTTAAAATGCATCTCTGTGTTATTTGTGGGGCATAGGAATTTGTTCATTCCCCCCCCCCAAAAAAAAATATAGTCTGGCCCCCCACAAGGTCTGAGGGACAGTGGACTGGCCCCCTGCTGAAAAAGTTTGCAGACCCCTGGTGTAGACAGTATGGAGTTAGATAAGACAAAGTGGCTCTGTAGAAGACTGATACCTCTGTTCCCAGTTACAATATATGCTTAAAAATGAAAATATATCAGCATAAATACTTAGATAAATATAGATGTTTCAGTATATATATTACCAATTAACTTGAAAACTTGGGCAAAAAAAGTGTTTACATCTTCCCTCTTCCTCCAGAGAGGGAGGGCAGCATAACCCAGGAGCTCACAAGCATGTCTTCCTGGCTTCCACGTTGACACACTAGGCTTTTTGAAGCTTGTGTGTCCTCCCTGCCTGTGATAGACAGTTGAGCCTGTTCCACTACCCTTCCTAGGGAGCCAGGTGTCCTGGCAGGGCTGCTGCTTCTTGCTGGTGGCTAATCCGTCTCCTTAGCAGGCTGGCTCTCAAATCCTCCCCATACCATTAAGCTGCTTTAGAATTATTTGCAGCTCTCTAAATGCAGAGGGGACCCAATTCAGGAAGAAGTCATCATTGTGCCCCAGCATGCATCTGTGGCAGTCTCTCCGTCTGCGTAAGTGGAGCAGCTGTCCCAAGGCTCTTGGCTTGCTATGGTAAAAGTCCACCAGCCCAGAATACCATGTTAAATGTTGTCAGTACTTGAAAAAACGGAAGTGATCCCCACGCACAAGAAGAGCCCTGCTGGATCAGGCCAGTGTCGCATCCATCCCAGTATTCTGTTCTCACAATGGCCAACCAGATGCCCCCGTGGGAAAAACCAGTAAGCACAAGAGCAGCCCTTTCCCCTCCTTCCAGGAACTAGTATTCAGAAGCATTGCTGCTTCTGACCATGGAGATGGAGAATAGCCATCCTGGGTGTAATAATAATAATAATAATAATAATAATATATTATTTGTACCCCACCCATCTGGCTGAGTTTCTGGGTGGCTTCCAACAAAGATTAAAAATACATTAAAATGTCACACATTAAAAACTTCCCTGAACAGTGCTGCCATCAGGTGTCTTCTAAATGTCAGGTAGTTGTTTATCTCTTTGACATCTGATGGGAGGGCGTTCCACAGGGTGGGCGCCACCACCGAGAAGGCCCTCTGCCTGGTTCCCTGTAGTTTTGCTTCTCGCAGTGAGGGAACCGCCAGAAGGCCCTCGGAGCTGGACCTCAGTGTCCGGGCAGAACGAAGGGGGTGGAGACGCTCCTTCAGCTATACTGGACCGAGGCTGTTTATGGCTTTAAAGGTCAGCAGCAACACTTTGAATTGTGCTCGGAAATGTACTAGCAGCATCAAGAGCCCTCTCCTCTTCCATGAATTGTGTCTAATCTTCTTTTAAAGCCTTCTTTTTGGTGGCCATCACTGTTTGCTGTGTGAGGGAGTTCCATAGCTTAACTATCGACTATGTGAAGAAAGGCTTTCTTTTATCTGTCCTGAAACTGCCAACATTCAGTTCTGATGTTGCGAGAGAGAGAAACCTTTCTCTAGCCTCTTTCTGCACACCATTTATTATTATATAAACTTCACAATGGCTCAGTCCCAACAAGCCCCTCTTTCCTGATCTATGCCAGCCTCTCTCTGCCCCACAGTTCTGCCATGCCAGGCCTCAAGCTCAGGTTTGGGGGTCCCCCCCTCTTGTTTCAGCTTTATGGTGACCCATCATGCGTGATCCATTATAATCTCAAAGGAGGATCCTTTATAATCCTTCATTATTAAGAGGCTGATAATATTATTTAATCCCCACCCTATCTTTTGAGGATCAGAGCGGATTATAATAATTTAAAAACACATTATAGCTGCGTCCTATTTATAAGCGCTCCAGACTTCCCACGTGTCGCCCAGTCTTTGTGGCACGTCTGCCTCTCACAGCAATATCCCGAGGTAGATTGCTGTTACTACCACTTAAAAGTTGAAGAAAAGAGAGAGAGAGAGAGACTGATTTGCCCTCTGCCACCATAAGAGCTTCATAACCAAGTAGGTGTTTTGAACCTGTGTCCTGGAGGAAGGAATGCTGGATGACAAAATAGAAGGGGGATTCCTGTAAGGAGCTGAGCATCTTCCTGTTGGCACTCGAGTGGGTGTTAGACTTTTCGTTTTTCAGTTTAGCGAGAATGTTTCTCTCACATTAAGGAGGTGGCCTTATGAGCATCCTTCAGGTGCAGTTGGAACAGATGAGGTCCTGAATCATAGAAATTTAGAGCTGGGCGACACACAAATGGTTATCTAGTTCAACCTGCCTCAAGGCATGAGTCAGACCAGTAGCCCATCCACCCCCCCAATTCCCCAGTTATCTTCACAACAGGCCCCATGGCTGTAGCCCCTTCTAAGGCTATGCAACATGCTGGTGAGAGTTTCAGCCCAAAACCAGCTTGTCAAAGTCTGTCCTACTTACTGATTATTTTATTTACTTATTTTGTAAACTCTGTACACTGCTTGCTTATAAAAAGATCCCTTCAGAATGGCTTGCCAGAAAAGATAAAACAATGAAATTATCTAGAAGAATCGACAGCAACCATTAAAGACTTTGGGAATGTTAAAATAGCAATAAACTCAACACAGAATAGCAATAAACTGAACACATTAAAACTTACATCAACTTTCTAAACATGCTAGAGCCTCAGCAAGCCACTTCCACGGAATCGGGCAACAGACCTAGAAGCATGTTCAAAGCAAAAAGACCTGCATTTCCCTGTACTGTAATTCTGAACACGTGTTTCCATTTGCGAGACTTGCATTTTTCCATTTCTCCCGTTGCATGGAGCCTCCCAGCTCACATGCTCTCTCTCCCTGCTACCCCCCTCAAGCCACACGCTGGTTGCATTCACAAGAAAATTGTCCTTCCTGCGATGAGCTTATCACTATGTAAATGCAAAGTAGGTTTCCCTGTTGGGTTTGCTTTTTGTGGATGCCCTTGCCCTCAGAGTTGTTTAGTACTGAGTGCCAAAAAAAAAATAAGTTTCCAGGCTGGCTTTGCAAAGTGCTGCCCTGGGGGTGCTGTTTCAAAGCATGTTTCAAGGGATCCTGGCATTGCAGCAAAGCTTTGCAACTGAGCAAAGGCCTGGAGTGCTTATGCAGCAGCCTGACAGGAGCTGCTGTCCTGCTCTAAGCCCACAGCGGAAGGCGGCTTGGTTGCTTCAGCACATTGGAGAGTTCCTAGTGAGCAACTTCTCTCAATGAAGGATTTCTTTTTCAGTCCATTACAGTACAGTATTTCATTCATAGACTGAGCCTGCACCATACAGTGGTACCTTGGGTTACATACGCTTCAGGTTACAGACTCCACTAACCCAGAAATAATACCTCGGGATAAGAACTTTGCTTCAGGATGAGAACAGAAATTGTGCTCTGGTGGCGCGGCAGCAGCAGGAGGCCCCATTAGCTAAAGTGGTGCTTCAGGTTAAGAACAGTTTCAGGTTAAGAACGGACCTCTGGAACGAATTAAGTTCTTAACCCGAGGTACCACTGTATTGAACAGCTCTTACAGTCAGAAATTTCTTCCTAATGTTTAGGCAGAATCTCCTTTCATGTAGTTTGAATCCATTGGTTGCGGTCCTCTCAATCTTCTCTTCTCCAGGCTAAACATACCCAACTTGTTTTAACTGTTCCTCATAAGGCTTAGTTGGATTCACTCAGTCGACACTCTGCATTTACTCAGAGGTGCTCTCCTTATGGTTTTTGTGGCCGAGCCGCTGTACTGGAAAGAGATCAGGGGCTTTGGCTTCCAGGCACTGCAGGGTGTCCTTTTGTTAGCGATTAGGCAGCAGAGAGGACTGTGCCCGCAGCCAGTATTTTGACACTGTGGATGTGCTTTGGATTTATAGAGTGGCATTAGGAGGATGTTTGCTGCCTTGTCCTCCATCCTTTCCCTCCAGCATCCCAGCGAGATCCTGATGAAGGTTTCTCATGGAGTAATGGCTGATTAATATAGCTGGATGCTCCTCTCTCTAATTCATCTGCTGGGAGGCCGAGCTGCCTCTGTGAATGAACAGATGGAGGGCACCCCCCTCCCATTTTACCCCAATCTCTTGCAGCGGCTGCAAACTCCCGATGAAATTTTAATAAGGCCTTGCTTGCTCATTATTTATTATGCATTAAAGAGAGCGGGAGGCAATTAACTGAGCAAGAGATGACACAGAAGAGTGCAGTGAAAAGGGACCCTTCAGGCTAGCAGGGAACAGCAACCCCACCTCAGCTGGGCAAGTGCCTGAGCAGCAAAAGGGACCTGATGACTCCTCCTCATGATAGAGTCATAGAATTGTAGAGTTGGAAGGAACCCCAAGGTGATCTAGTCTAACCCCTGCAACTCAGGAATCACAACTAAAGACTCCCTAACAAATAGCCATCCAAACTGTTTATAAACCTCCAAGGAAGGAGAACCCTCCACCCTCAGAGGGAGTCATTTCCACCGCTGAACAGCTCTTAAAGTTAGATAGATAGATAGATAGATAGATAGATAGATAGATAGATAATTTATTCCGGTCGGAGGCCAGCTTATAAAACACACTTGGGGGTACAGTCACAGAAGGAAAACAAACAATTAAAACAATGTACAACAATAAATTTAAAAACAATGTACAACAATAAACTACCGCAGGGAGCTGACCCAGAGTCACCCATGGAACCGAGTTTGGGGAATTTGTTAACGAACTAGTTTGAGTTGGGAGATGGTCTGCGCCTACAGATCTGTACACAGAATCTGGCGACCATCCGGATCGTCTTCTGATCTTTGCCTAACAGGAAAAGGTTGGATTTTTGCTTTTCCGGGAGGTCAGCGAGCCTCACCAGTAGGGGACCAACGGTCTCACTGCATGCCTCTTCCTAAAAGGGACATCTAAAGAACAAGTGCTCTGGGCTTCCTATCTTCCCCAATGAACAGCCGCAAAGTCTCTGAGCATATGGGACTTTTTTAAAGGCTCCTTCCAGGACCAGTGAGGGCAGAGCCGAGCTTCTGGCGAGTGTAAAAGCCCTTCTTGCATTTTTAGCTCTTAATGTTATTCCTAACACTCAGTCGAAATCTCCTTTCTTGTAACTTGAATCCATTGGTTTGGGGCCCTGCCCTCTCGAGTAACAGAAAACAAACCCAACTCCTTCAGCCATTCCTCATGAGGCTCTGTTTCCAGACCCTTGATCATCCTTGTCTCCCTCCTTTGCACACCTTCTATCATGTAAATATCCTTTTAAAGTTGTGGCACCCAAAACTGGACACAGGACTCCAGGTGGGGTCTGACCAAGGCAGAACAGAGCAGTACCATTGCTTTCCTTGATCTGATCACTATACTTCTGTTGATGCAGCCTATAATAACATTAGCTATTGGTGATGGTTGTATGCTCCTTCCAGGATCCAGAGGCAGCAGGCTTTTCTATACCTATTGCTGAGGAATAACCACTGTGTGAGGGGTATTTCCCTCATGCTCTGTTTGTGGTGCCCCTGCAGCCATCTGATTGGCTACTGTGGGGTGCTAGATTAGGTGGGTCTTTGGTCCAATTCAGCAGGGTACGCTTCTGTGAGTCAGGACACCCCAAAAAGGCTCAGTTCTTGCACAACTGCAACTCACTCGACAGTCATTGTTGCTGCAATAACAACAGTGTGGTAGAAAAGGCTGACCAGGGGAACTGAATTGATTTTGAGCAGAATCTGTGTTTTCCAGCAACTGGTATTCAGAAACATTTCTGCATCCAACCATGGCAGTACAGCGTATAACTACCATGGCTAGTAGCCACAGATAGCCCTTTCCTCCATGAATGTGTCCATCCTCTTTTGAAGCCATCCAAGTCGGTGGCCACCACTTCCTCCTGTGCTGTTGGGGCAAAGAAGAGAGTCTACGGAAGGATTTGGAGAAAGAGAGAGAGGTTGCTTTAGAAGCAAGGAGGTAGAGGCTGTCCCTGTCATTGCAAGCAGGGCTGTGTTCCAAACTAGCTTATTCCATGAATATGTAATCACAGCAGAGTTGGCTGTATTAGCTTTGGCATCAAAAAGGCCTGGAGTCATAGGAAGCTACCTTGTACTGAGGCTATGTACACACCATACATTTAAAGCACTTTACTCTCCCCCATGAGAAATGTAGTGTACCCTTTACAGAGCTTCAGTTCCCAGCACCCTTGACAAGGTACCATTCCCAGGATGTGCTTTAAATGAATGGTGTGTACACAGTGCGTGCCCATCTGTTGGTTCAATATTTCTTACGCACTGACTTGTACGTGTTCTCTAAGGCTTCAAACAGAGAACATTCTCTGCCCTCCCTGGAGGCGACCCCAGAGAGGTGCTCTACCACTGAACTATGATGGCCTTTCCCCCCTGTGGCTTACAATTTGGCCTAGTTGCACTGAGGTCCTACACAGAAGTTTCAAGGCACAGATCGCAAAACCAGATGTGCTGAAGAAAAACAAGGTCCACAAGAGGAGATTCGAAAGATAACAAGAATGCAATGAATGCATGTATAATCGCTGCGGTGTGAAATATCAATACAATGCACATCCAAAATATAATGTGCATTTGCCAGAGCATCAGCGCATGAATACTAAACCATTGTTATAACACCAAAGCAGCGATAATTACTTTTGCAGCAGGAGATTGCTTGAGTGCAAAGTTGCATATCAAAATAGGCCCATAGCTGGGGGTTGGCGAAGCAGAGATGGACAGGCACGCAAGAACAGGAGCTTTGAGGCTGATGGAGAAATTAAGAGGGAGCTTCATCCAGAGATTGGCACAAACAACCTACCAAATCTCAGAGGGCAGCATCCATACCCCCATCTGTTCTTCCAGCTGGTTAGATGCTCTTCTCTGGAACCAGAGCCAGTGGAGACTTTAAGACCATTGCCCCACACAGCGTGTCTGCTGCCTCACCCTAATCTCTCATTAGGATGCCTGTAGCACTATGGTGCTTTTCCCTGATTGTTGGTGACGTTGCTCAAAGCCTCTAATGGGTTTAGGAGCCACTGAGCTATCCCTCCCCAGCTAAGGGGCAGTGGGGAAGATGAGACGGTGGCGTGCTGAGCTGAGATGCCAGGGGGTGCAAGGTGAGTCTGTTCTACTTCTCCGGCCTCCTTTTTGCAGAAAAGTCCTCACTCTGGCTCTGCAAGCAGTTTCCACCTGGTGGCAAGGATCCAGCCATACCAGCGGCATTCACTGGTACCTATATTTTTAGGTGCTTGTTGCCATGGTTTTGGTACCTTGGTTACAGCCAGCGGCTGAACCCAGAGGATCCACTAGCAGCCCACACCTAAGACAAAGACCCCAGATGGTCTCTCTCCAAAGAGGTTCTCATCTGTTTTGTTGACATGGTGGTCATCGCCATGCATGTAGACAAGCTGTAGGGCCAACCGCAAAGAATCCTCTATACCAAAGCAGCTCCCAGGTGAGCAAGGACTGAATCACACTGTGCATAGTGGAACTGTGGAGTTCACGAGAAGTGCATGGCCGCCATCTTGGACTGCTTCAAAGGGGGATTGGAAGAATTCTTGGAGGAGTGGAAGGCTAACGATGGCTGCTAGTCACAATGATATATTTTATTGTCCTTGTGGATCAGAAGCAGCCTGCCTGTGACTCCCAGTTGCTGGGGAGGATAGGAAAGAATGCTTGAGTGAAGGAGTGTGCCTTTTCCGCTTGCAGGCTTTTCTTAGGCATCTTGTAGGTCACTGGAAAGAAAGGAATGCTGGACTCTTGGACTGATCGTGGAGGAGTCTTCTTAGGGGAACCGCACATCGCCCTCCTTCATCCTGCGAGGCAAACAATGTATCCAGGACATGTCTGCCTGCCAGTTTGTTTAATTAAGATATATACCACTGTGCCACATTATATATATATATATCAATCAAAGTGGTTTGTGGCAATATAAATAGAAACCCATACAATAAAAACCATTAAATGTATGTTAGGAGGGAATTATTTGACTAAAAGATGCCATTATGTCTCAGTACTTCCAAGCTTTATCAAAGAAACACATAAATGCTTAGAAAACAGAAAAAAAACTGTCACTTTCGGGTTGTTTTTTTGTTATTCTTGGTTAATTTGTTGTATTATATACATTTAAATTGAATTGTTATAATATAAAAAGATAAATAAAAATATATTTTTTGAACCATAAAAAAGTTAAAAGCAGACATGAATTGGAAGGATGTCTCCTTAATTGCCTGTGTAGGCATGGAGGAATGGAAACATTTTCAGCATGCATTCAAAAGGTTGGCAAAGAAGGTACCTGCCAGCTCTAAAAAGGAGATTCCTCAACATTCATATAAGTACATGGATGATGGGAGTTGTGATCCAGCAATAGCTGGAGGGCCAAAGGCCAATAGGCCTTTGCAGCTGTTTATTATTATTATTATTATTATTATTATTTATTTGCTTAGTTTAAACTACCTCACAGGATTGTTGTGAAGATAAAATGTCGGCGGGGGGAAAACTCAATGTACAACATATTTAACTCTTAGGAAGAGAGGAGAGATAAAATAATAAAATAGTGTTTTAGTTCTGTGATTCTATTTCTCTTCTGTAGTTTGTTGAGCCTCTGCTGTAACCTATTGTGGATTTTTTGTGGTGTGTGTTCCTATTTTAGGTATTTCTAAATAGGTATTTCTATTAGATAGGTTCCTCCTGTATGATGGATGTGTATGTGTATTTTAATGATCCGAATAGAGTGAAATATTACAGTTATTATATATTTAAATTGTGTCTTTTTCCCTGACGGGGACTCATGAGTCATGGAAGGGGGGGGAGAGGAAGTATCTATTAATTTAATAGTGTTTATATTATTTTGTCAATTCTGCTTTATAGATTACGAACACCTTATTGATTTGTTAATCATGTAATATGGCTTACACTGTAACTGTGATGCTTAGCTTATTTCTTTAGTTGCTGGTTTGCTAATATCATTTTACAGATTGTAATTGTTTTACTGAACATTTGTTATGTGATTTATGCTGTCCCTGTGATGTTCTGTTCTGCTACTGTTTGTTAAGCTGCTCTGGATTCATTTGACTGCAAAGCGACATAGAAATACAACCATTCAATCTCTCCCTTTCTCTCTGTCTCTTGCCAGCAGCTGCTCTAGGATGGCTCCGGTGGAGCCCACGCTTGTTTCCCTCCTGCTGTTGGGTCTCCTGGCACTCCAGGCCCGCACTTGCCCAGCCACCTGCCGCTGCTACAGCATGACCGTGGAGTGTGGCTCTTTGGGCCTCAAAGAGATCCCAGGCAGCATCCATCCCTCCACCCAGGTAAGGCTCAGGTGGGAGGAAGCCCAACTCCCAGCACCGGGGGGGTGGGGTGACCATTAGGGCCAGGTTTCCTTTCTCAACCCAAGCTAACCTCCCTCACAAAACTGTCGTCCATTCAGTGCAAATGCTGGCTTGCTTTCAAAAATAAATAAATTCAAACGTTAACAATAAGAACAATGAACGGTGTCTTTCCGAAAACACCAAAATTGGAATCTCTGTAGAAGTAGCATATTGTTGTTGTTGTTTAGTTGTTTAGTCATGTCTGACTCTTCGTGACCCCCTGGACCAGAGCACGCCAGGCCCTCCTGTCTTCCACTGCCTCCCGCTGTTTGGTCCAACTCATGCTGGTAGCTTCAAGAGCACTGTCCAACCATCTCGTCCTCCGTCGTCCCCTTCTCCTTGTGCCCTTCATCTTTCCCAGCATCAGGGTCTTTTCCAGGGAGTCTTCTCTTCTCATGAGGTGGCCAAAGTCTTGGAGCTTCAGCTTCAGGATCTGTCCTTCCAGGGAGCACTCAGGGCTGATTTCCTTCAGAATGGATCGGTTTGATCTTCTTGCAGTCCATGGGACTCTCAGGAGTCTCTTCCAGCACCATAATTCAAAACATCAATTCTTTGGCGATCAGCCTTTTTTTTACGGTCCAGCTCTCACTTCCATACATCACTACTGGGAAAACCATACCTTGAACTATACAGACCTTTGTTGGCAAGGTGATGTCTCTCTCATATACAATGACTGATTTGGTGTTGAGCCAATATAACCTACAAAGTTGTAAAAGAATATGGAAATGCTTTCTTGAGGTGCATGCAAGTGTCAAGAATTACTTTTTAATAGACTGCCAATTTGGTGTGTTTGAATCTGGGTGGTGGTGGGCTTTTGTGTGTGCGTTTACCTGGTATAGATTTGTTTTTAATCTGCTGCAGCCAGCTCAGACCCTTTGGGATGTGGGACTAGAACAGATATATTAAACCAATAAAATGGAGAGCGTATATAAAAAAGTGTGTGCACACAGACACCTGTGCATGTGAAAGAGCACATTATCTCCCATGCCCACTCATTTACTGTCTTCTTTTTAGAGCTTGATTAAGTAATCAAAAATATTTTATAAAGAAGCAAAATGAATCAGGTGGTGATTTGCTATTAAAGATCTGTAGTACATAGACATCAGAACATGGTGAACTTCAATCTAAAGTCAGACAAGAAAAAAGGATTGTTGGTCTTCCAGGAACTGACACTATGTTGAGCTCAGGGTTTAACTGATGGCATCTCCCCCTGGCTTTCTCCCCACTGCAGACGGTTTTTCTTCAGGACAACGGCATCACGCAGATTCACCAGCAAGACCTGGCGTCTCTCTCAGGCCTGCAATACCTCTACATGCAGAACAACACCATCTCAGCCCTGGAGCCAGGCGCCTTCCGCAACCAGAACCGGCTGCTGGAACTGGCGCTCAATGGCAACCGCATCCACCTCATCAACAGCAGCATCTTTAAGGGCTTGGAGCACCTGCGAGTCCTTTACCTGGCGGGCAACCAGATCACCCGGCTGCCCGACTTCACCTTCTGTGACCTGGAGGTGAGACCCACAGGGGCATTCTGGAAAGCGAGCCATTGTCCATCAAGGTGGCCCCAGTCTGCCTCCCAGAAACAGGCATGTTTTCTGCATTAGGATCCTGCTGTTCCCATTTTATGGACGAGGGAACTGAGGCTCAGTATTAGTCAGGGTTTGAGCAACTCTCACTTTCATCCCTGATCTGCAGCGGCTTAGTGCAAAGAGATGAATGACTTGGAGGAGGCTAAGTCTTAGCTAATTCTTACTGTATGCAACTGAACATTATGGAAATAGCCACATTACAAAGTCAGTTGTGTAAATTTTAAAAGCAAGTTCAAGTACTTGCCGTTAATATCAGGACAGCAGGGACTTTCAATACACAATTAAACTGTGTCCAGTTCTGGGCACCAAAATTGACAGAGGATATTGGTAAGCTGGAAGGTGTGCAGAGGAAGGTGACCAAGATGGTAAAGGGTCTGGTAAAGAGATGGCAAAAGGCCCCCCCCCCCCAAGTGTTATGAGGAATGGTTCAGGGAGGAGCCTGGAAAAGAGGAGAATTTAAGGAGATCTGCTAGTCGCCTTCAATGCCACCTAGACAGCTGTCACATGGAATACGGAGCAAACTTGTTTTCTGCTGGTCCAGAGGATGGGACCCAAGTTAGAAGAAAGGAGATTCTGACTAAACATCAGGAAAAACCTTTCTGACTGTAAGAGCCATTTGACAGTGGAATGGTCTCCCTCGTGAGGTTGTGGGCTCTTTCATTGGCTGCTTTTATTTTATTTCCCCCCCCCCCCAATTTTTTTTTTTGATTTTCCAAAATTATAACAAACATAACAACAAACAAACAAAAACATTACAGTATCAAAAAACAAACAAACATTTATCCTAACTGTTATAGTCCTACTTTTTTTATCATTGTTGGGTGACTTCCTCAAATCCCCCTGAGTTTCCATATAGCCCATTGTAGCAGTTTTCCAACACTATTTTCATATAAGGTTTACTTGTTGAATTAACATAATATTATGCAATTTCACATAGTTAAATCCTAGGCCAATCTGTTACTCACAAATATTTCTATTTAAGTTATCTTAATGTATTTAGCTAAATAGTCTTTAAATTTCTTCCATTCCTCTTGGTGGTACTCCTCCTCCTGGTCACGGACTCTTCCGGTCAGGTCGGCTAGCTCCCAAAAGTCCATCATCTTCATCTGCCATTCCTCCACTCTTGGTACTAGTAATTTCATTGGCTGCTTTTAAGCAGAAGGTGAATGGCCATCTGTCTTGCATCCTCTAGTTGTGACTCCTGCCTTGCACGGGGTTGGACTCCTGGCCAAGAGCTCCTAATTTGCATGGGGCTGCATGGGCAGCGCAAAGGAATGAGGGACAAACAGCCCCAAACAGCAGTGGTACCAAAACAGGGAAGAAGTGGATAACGGCTCCAGGCCTGCTTTCTACCTAATGTGCCATCTGATTCCCTCTTTTGCAGAGGTTGCAGGAGCTCCACTTACAGGAGAACAGCATAGAGACTCTGGAGGACCAGGCGCTGGCCGGTCTGACCTCGCTGGCGCTGCTTGACCTCAGCAAGAACAACCTGCGCACCATCAGCCGGGTGGCTCTCCGGCCCCTCATCAGTCTTCAGGTGCTGCGATTGACAGGTGAGCCGCCGCGCTGGCAGCTCTTCTGGCGCCACCTGCAGGCCAGAAGTGCTGGTGATAGCGCAGCCATTTCAAAGCGGGCCTCTGCTGCCTACTTCTCTTATTGCCCCCAAGGTAGAAAAGCTGGGGTAGGCAGGAGGGATGCAGGCATGTCAGGCTGGGAGGAAATCTCTGCAAGAGCCACAAAGATTTACTTGTAGGAAACGGTGGTTTTTTTGTGCAGCAGCACCTGCAATTCTGGAACCCCCTGCCTATTAACATCAAGTACAGCCTTCCCTGTGCTTTTTTCGGCACTTGCTAGAAACATTCTTTTTTAGACACGTAGAATGCTGAGGTGTGTTTTAATCCTGTTCTTAGTTTATTGCTGATTTTATATTCTGGATGTTTTAAAAGAGTTGTTTTCAATGGTAATTTTTATTGTTTTATCCTCTTTGTAAACCACTTTGAGTGTTGTTGTTTCAACAATCAAGCCGTGTGCAAATTTTATGAAATGAAAATAAATGTGGCCCCATGGGCTGGAAAAGGTTCCTCATGCCTGCCCTACGAGCAGCTACAGATTCCAGGATTTGGGTGAAGCCTCAGTTAGTTTGACTGAGTATTCTATTTTTTTTTATTGGAAATTTTATTTACAACATAACATAAACCCCCCACCCCCCAATACAGAAATCCACCCTCATTAAACGTGAACATAACATACAATGAGCAAAACATACAACAATACAAACAATACAACAACCAAATAAAAGACTTCCTTTATCTTGTACTTGGCCTCCTTATTTACTTCTTATAAGCTGTTTCCTTTATGAATAATTATTAAGATTTTTCTAATTATAACTTAAATATCCACAAAGTCTCCTGCAGACATTAATTGAAACAAGTCCAGGTATGTATTTTAGGGCACTGTTTTGTATTCTCTGCATTTCCCCCATGCTTTTTGAAATTCTTGTCCACTGTGATCTCTAATTGCCTCTGTTAATCTAGCCAGTTCAATATACTCAGTTTGTCTTGGCATTCCATTTTTGTTGGTAACATTTTTGTTACCACAAAGATGATAAAAATCTCCATCTTTATAACAAATTGAAAAGGATATTTAAATACACTTTCCCGAAAAAGCCGGAAGCTTTCTTGCTAGGCTTGATGGGAGAGGAAATAGAAAAAGCAGATCAAAGGTTATTTATGTATGCTACGACTGCTGCCAGAGCTTTGTTAGCCCAAAAATGGAAAGCACCAGAATTACCAACAATAGAGGAGTAGAGGCAGACGAAGATGGTTGATTACGCGGAACTAGCAAAACGGACCTGTAGAATCCGAAATCAGGAGGAAGCAAAATTCCAAAAAGATTGTGGAGTAAATTTATAGAGTACATAAATAACAACTGTAGAAATTTGAAGACTCCGGCAGGACTGAAATAAATCTTACGATGTAGATAGGATTGGATAAAATAAGAAACGGTGGAAAAAGTAACTGACATAAGAAAACCTGTTGAAGGGAAGTCGATGCTCAGCACAGTGTGGGGAAAGAATGTGGGAAAATTCAACAATCGCCAACAACCCTTGGCTATTGTTGAATTTTACTGTATTTTGTTTGTTTGTATTAAACGAAACACCAATAAAAAGCATGTATATATATAAAAAATCCTGCTTGTGGATTTCCCATAGGGGCATCTGGTCTGAGAGATGTTGGGCTGGATGGGCCATTGGCTTGATCCCACAGGCTCTTCCTATATTCTTATTTTGCATGGGGCTATGGAGTGGAGAGTGGTGGGGAGGCAGTGGGAAACTCCTGGGGTGACACTGACTTGTAACCAGACCCACCCCCCTTTCTCTCCCTTCCTTCCTCCTGGCAGAGAACCCTTGGCGCTGTGACTGCTCCCTGCACTGGCTGAGCTCCTGGATCAAGGAGGACGGGCAGCGGCTCCTGAGCCCCCAGGACAAGAAGATCGTGTGCGCGGAGCCCCCTCGCCTGGCTTACCAGAGCCTGATGGACGTCTCCGGCAACAGCCTCATCTGCATCCCGCCGGTCGTGCAGGTCGAGCCCCTGGAAGTGACGGCGCGGCTGGGCGACGACCTGCGCGTTTCCTGCCAGGCCTCGGGCTACCCGCAGCCCCTGGTGACGTGGCGCAAGCTGGCGCACTGGCGGGGGGCCGGGGGTGCCAAGGCCAGCGGCTCCCGGCTCCCAGGTGGCACCTTTGCCCTGAGCGAGCGCAGCGTGGGGGAGCGCTTTGAGCAGTCGGACACGGGCAGTGGGATGCTCTTCCTCAACAACGTGACGGTGGCCCATGCCGGCAAGTACGAGTGTGAGGCTTCCAACCCGGGTGGGACGGCCCGGGTCCTCTTCCACCTCATGGTCAACCTCTCCCAGCAGCAACAGCAGCAGACGTCGCGAGGCTACCCGGCCTCTGTGGACATCAGCCAGGAGCCCCTCTACGACATGGAGAGCATGGACTTCAACGCCCTCAGCATGGCCACGCAGACGGCCATCGCCGTGGCCATCTCCCTCTTGGCCCTGGTGGCCCTCCTGCTGGTGATCATGATCTACCGGAAGCACCGCAAGCGGAAAAAGGCCAAAAAGGAGGAGAACATCCTCTACGTCAACGACTACTCGGATGGGCCTACCACCTTTGCCCAGCTGGAGGAGTACCGGGACGAGAGGGGCCACGAGATGTTTGTCATCGACCGCAACAAGCCCCTCTTCGCCACCTACAAGGACCCCCAGGGCCTGGTGGGGACCTTCCCCGAGCAGCTGCAGGATCAAGCCACCCAGACCTTGGAAGGGGAAGAAGATGGCCCCCCGGAAGCCAGCGAGCTCTTTGTCAACCAGGGACTCATGTTCCAGCCTCAGATTGCTTACGAAATCCACTGCTGAAGGATTTTGGGCAGGCGGGGAGAGCCCACAAGCAAGGTGCCCAGGAAACCTTTGGGGTGGGTGGACTCCCCCTCCCCCTGCCCCCTTAGGGGAGCTGCTTCCTTGACCTTTCACCTCCGCCCTGGCCTTCCCGATAGGTCTGCCTTCTTTGCGGTTTAAGGTGATGCAGGAGTGGAGCCCGCGATGCTTCGGTGACCATTAGTGGCACCCACAGGGGAGACGGGGGATTTCTTTCTAAGCCTCTCCCCTGGGAGCAATCTCACCCCACATGGCTGCCAAGTGGAAGTATGTCTCACCCTCTCGGCACCGTTCCTCAGGAGTAAGCACTCCCTCGTTCTCTCTGGAGCTTCTCAGATGCTCTCCGCAAAGACAGGAGAGCGGTTCAAGAGGCCTCCATAAGAAGGTCCATTCAGAAAGTGTTACAGGCGGTGCTATTTTTCTAGAAAAGGACGTGCCGGAACCCACCATGAACACCTCCCTCGTTCTCTTAGAATGGCAACTGCACCCACCTGAGAGGTGCAGGAACTGAGTTCTGGCAAGTTGCCCCTGAAAAAAAAGCTCTGGTTATGGGGTACCGAACTGGTGGCCACTGATGGACAGCAACAGGCCGCACCCCTTGATTTATCCCAGTCGCCCCCCAATTTGCCCTCCAACGTGTACCCTGTGGTTGGACAGAAGGAATTTGACTACTCAGCGAATGAAAGAAAAACCACTTCCTAGGCGTAAGTTCAGTCTCTTGACAAGAAGCTGATGGAATCCATAAATGTCATACACTGTGCAGTCTTGACTCTGTTTCCCCCCACTCTTTCACTGACCTTCAACTGACACTGTGGAGATGAAGCCGGGTGGGGGGGCGACGGGGTATACCTTCTGAGAACAGGGAGAGCTTCTCCGGCCGGAGGACAAGTGTGACATTTGTTTTCCAATTTGGTGTTTCGTTTTGTTTTTGTTTCGTTTTAAGGATGAAGGAAAACATACTGTGACAATCACAATGAGTTGAACAGCTCCACTGTATTTGTAAGTCCCACAGGTAGACCCCCCCACCCCTCACCTGCACAGCCACCCCCACCCCCCTTTTCTGGTGCTACACAACTGTGGTTTTGCAGGAACCTTGAAAACTACAAGAAATGGGGAGGTACCACCAGGCTCTGCCAGGAAAATGGAAATGGCAGCGCCGCAAAGCGATCTGAGCAAACGAGAAGCCAATAAAATGTAGCTGGTGCCGGGGTGTGTGTGCCAAGGACCAGTATTTCATTTATATTATTTACTTATAAATTCTTACAGCACATCCCTCTTGTGAAAAGTGTGCGCGCTGACACAAAATTGTGGTCCAAAATGAGTTGCAGTCACACGTTTCCTTGCACGCCTGTAAGTAGGGTGTAGCTTTGGGGATTTCTATTTTTCGCATTTTCATGATCCTGTGATAATACATTTTAGGCAGAGCATGAGGAAGACGATGCAGAACATCCAGGGAGCTCTCTCAAAGGCTCTACAAACTAAGCAGCCAATCCCTGCACAGAACACGGTCTGTTTTGCTGACTATATTCCTCCCTGGACTCAGAGAGCCGGGAAGGGAGGAAGGCCAGCTACTCCATATCTCCCCCACCCTCTGGATCAGACCATATCCAGGCCAGAGAGAGCCAAGAGCAAAAAATGGCACATGCAGAATTATCATACAGGGAGGAGAGGTATTGAACTGCCTACTTTTGCTAACTACCCCATAAATCAACTTTCTGGTTGCCCATTTCAACCCTGGAAGATCAGCCCAGGGCAGACTTCACCCACCTGCTGCCCTCCAGATGTTTTGTACTACAACTCCCATCAACTGGGGCTGTTGGGAGTTGTAGTACAAAGCACCAGGTTGGCAAAGGCTGGCATAGGCCACAATGAATTTGGAAAGTCTTCAGTGTGCCACAAGACTCAGTGTCGATGTTGCTTTGTGCTGTAGCAAAGAGTCCACCCTCACTTTCCAGTATAAATGCAGCACTCAATTGTGACTTGCGTGTAATCTTGTAGCACCCGGATTTCTCCACTGTTAACATCTATCACCAGTTCTCCCGCCAAGGAAGGAAGGAAGGAAGGAACCCTGCAGTCTGTGTGCAAACCTAAAAATTGCGAGTCTGTGACCCTTTCTGGGCAGATCCTTTGAATTCTTGTCTCCCACCCCGAGGGGTCATGAGAGGATACTTTAGAGGGTGCAACTGCCTGGCATAGATCTGGTTCTTCCCTCTACAGTGGGAAAAGCACTCTGGTTGCAATGGCAAAAACCAGCATTGCAGTCCCTGAAAACAGGCTTCTTGGGTACAGCTGGCTCTCCAGGTCTTTTGGGAATCTAACTTCTGTTAGCATTATCACCACCAGCAGCTGAAGGCTCCAGGGTGACTTACAGCATATAAAAAACAAGTAATTGCCACCCGGAAAGTACACTTAGAATTGCAACGTTCATGGCACCATAGTGTGATGGCCTCGGACTCAGAACCTGAGGAGTCTCGGTCTGCACCAGATCCTCTGCCTCAGGCGGCATCTGAACCAAGTCTGGGGCCTGATTCTGAAGAGCCCCAGTCTGCACGGGTTCCCCTGCAACAAGCACCAGCTGGGCCAAGTCAGGGGCTGAACCTGCCCTGGCTCCAGATTCGGGGATTCCCTCCTTGCCTCCAGCTGGGCCATCACTTACAGCTGCTCCACTACCGGTTGGGTCAGGGGAGGCTGAGGCGGCCCCTGGGTCTAGTAACCCACCGCCGTCTCCCGAGCTGCAGAGACTGAGGTCTGAGAGAAGGAGAGACCTGAGTACTTGCAGGAGGAGTGCTCGCCTTCGGGCAAAATAGGGAGGTGAGTCGCCAGGGGATCAGGACCGGCCGTAAGGCTACTGGACCCCGCCCCAGGTTGCGGTAGCAACATTGCCGCTTGCTGGAATCTGCCTGAGACCCTGTGCCTGACCTAGCCTGGTTTCCTGCCTTGGCCCTGTTGGACTGACTCCTCATGGAATCCTTGGATTTGGGACTGGACCTGGACCACGTTGCTCGGGTTAACCCTGGGCCCAGCACACACAGAATTGTAGTGTTGGAAGGGGCCCCAAGCATCATCACCCCCCTGCAATGCAGGAATCAAAGCCAGCAAATGTCTTCCAGCTACTTTGATGGGTCGCTGTCAACTTTCAGGGCCTGGTTCCTGTCCACTCCCTGCTTTGGCAGAACACAATTGGTCCTCATTTTGCCAGTTCCAGTTCCCTCCCAGCAATACTTGAAATTCTAGGTTCTACCACGTTTGCATGACTTTTCCGAAAGGTTTGTAATTAGGATTTATTTATTGGGATGTAAGCTCGTTTGCTTGTACTAGGAAGGAGAAGGCTGCAGTGGGAACAGCCATCCAGTGACGACCACCAGCCTGCCCCCCCTCCCGATCGGGCTCCCACTGGGCCCCGTATTCTTAAGGGCCGGGTGTCACTCAGTGTCTCCCTCACTCAGCACTCCGGCCTCGATGAGGTACAGCCTGGTCCTGTAGCCCCGATAGGCGGACTGGATCTTGATGGCAGCTTCCTGCTGTTGGCGCAAGATCTGCCGTGCTCTCCAACCCCTCCAGAAGGCCTGGATGAGGGTCGCTGCCCGCGCCACCTGCCACATCTGCTTCCGCGTCTTGAACACCCGCTTCTGGCCCTCGCCCATCCGGCGGGCGTAGTAGTTCTCATAAAGCCATTCGGAGGTCCCCGCGCTGGGTGCTCCCTGTTGGCTGAGGCTGGTGGAGGAGAGGCTCCGCGCTGTGTTGCGGTCCCGCGTGGGACGGGCAGACGCGTGGCCCGTGGAATAGCGCTGGCTCAGGCCTCCGTGATCCCGGCCCTGCCTCCGCGGCTGGTCTTCAGACGCTATGCTCTGGTTCCCAGGGTAATAGGCCCTGGGGCCCATCTGGTAGGACACATGGGACCCGTAAGGCTCGGGCCTGGCAGGCGACTGTGACCCTCTCGACCTGGGAGCCGGGCTCTTCCTCCTGGCGGACGCAGGCCGGGCGTGCCCCTCGCACTCGCTGTCGTCCATGTCCGATTCGGAGGGCGGGCCTTTGCCAACCCCCACCAGGACGCGCACAGTGGTGCATCTCCCACAGCGGGGGCACGACTTGGGCTCCGAGCGCTCTCTCTCCCTGGCTCCTGGCTGCTCTCTTTCCCTGAATTCGGGGCGCTCCCTTTCCCGGGTTTCCGGACGCTCCCTTTCCCGGAATTGCAGGTGCTCTCTCCTGCCTCCCCCCGGGTGCTCCCTCGCGTGTGACGACTGAGTCCGAGGGACCTTGCTCGCCCACTCCTCGGGGTCTCCCACGAGACACTTGCGCCAGTGCTTCCTGGGGTAGGGGCCCACCCAAGAGGAGCTCCCGGGCATGTAGCTGGGCTGCCCGTAGTAGGTCCCTCTCGGGCCGGGCCGGTGGGCAGGGCGTCGTGGCATCTGCGCCAGCTCCTGCCGGGTGCGGTAGCCCCTCCAGTGCGCCTGGATAGTCGTGGCTGCCCGCCTGCACTCTGCGAGGGCCTGCCGGGTCTTGTAGCCCCGGTAGTGTGCCTGGATGGTGATCGTAGCTTGCTCTTTGTCCATCTCCGGGGCCCCCCAGGACCTGCTCCCCTCGTTGAAGGAGGCCAGGGAGGGTGTCGTCCTCCTCCTCGTCGTCGTCGTTCTCCTCCTCCTCCTCCTCTCAACCCGATGCTCCTGCCTATACCCTTGCCACGAGGGCACCTGCTCCCGCTGCAGGGCCGCGTACTCCCGGGTGATGAAGTGCCTCCACGCGGCCTGGATGACTGAGGCGGCAGCGTGTTCACGAAGGACGCGCCTCCGCACCAGGTAGCCTCGCCACGTGGCCTGGATGGTGGTGGCTGCCTTGTCCATGAGCATGTCTAGCTCATCCACCAGGAAGGAGGAGTGGTGGCGGGAGCGGCTCGTGCTCCGAGCCCGCACCCTGGCCAGGTGGGGGTCGTGGTAGGGCTCTTCATTGTCCTCCTCGTCCTCCCCGCTCTGGGAATTGTAGGGGCACCAAAGGTGGTCCTCGTAGGTCTCCATCCTGGAAGGGGCGGAAAGGGCAGGCATCAGGCAGCGACCAGAATCCCTGCCCCATTTTGGGCCTCAGGTGAGGTCCCAGGGTGGACGGATTGTCTCCTCTTCACCCTGCTGCATTTTAGGGGGATACCCTTCCACTTTGTGACCTCTTTCCCCTAGAATTGCCCGTGTTTCTGTTGGCTTTTAATCTCACCTCAAAGATGCTTTCCTCCTCTCCCCATCACTGTAAATGTGCCACTCTTGTCCTCAAAGCTCCTCAGAATGGCTTCCTTTCCCATCCACCTCAGCTTCAAGCTTCTAGTCAAAGACCTCCACCATGCAGCCCCTAACTATAATTTCTCAGCATCTCCCCTGAAATTTGCCCTCTGCTGTTAACTCATTGGTCTCTCACGCTCCCCTTCCCATCATCAAGCCTTCTGCTACCTAACAACATCTGAAGAGCATCCGTCTGGTCCAGCATCCTGTTCTCACTGTGACCCAAAGAACCTAGATAGACTGCTTCTGGAGCTGGAGGTTCCATAAGGACATAACAGCCTGGCTGCTGGATCAGGCCAATGGCCCATATAGTCAACCTCTTTTTCTTACAGCAGCCACCCAGATGCCCCTTATGGGAAACCCACAATTGGGATTCAAACACACAAGAACACTCTCTTCCAGCAATTAGCCATCATGGCTAGTAGTCACTGATAGCCCTCCTCGGATTTGTCTAATCTTTTAAATCCACCCAGGATGGTGGCCATCACTGCCTCTTGTGGGAGGGAGTTCCGCAGGTTAACTGTGAGCTGCCTGAAGAAGGGCCTTTATCTGTCCTGAATCTCCCAACATTCAGCTTCTGCCATGGGTGTGGATGCACTTCCGCAAGTACACACACACACAAACCACACAAAATTTGCCCAGCAGTTCCCTGTTAGTGTTAAAAGTCTTTGGAAAAGCCACACTTGGGCACTGCTCTCTGCCAGAGGAAGGTGGCCATAAATATATATTTTCAATAAATAAAGTTAAATGATAAGTTTTCACAGGAGGTAAAGGGACCCCTGACCATTAGGTCCAGTCGTGACCAACTCTGGGGTTGCGGCGCTCATCTCGCTTTATTGGCCGAGGGAGCCAGCGTACAGCTTCCGGGTCATGTGGCCAGCATGACTAAGCCGCTTCTGGCAAACCAGAGCAGCGCACGGAAACATCGTTTACCTTCCCGCTGGAGCGGTACCTATTTATCTACTTGCACTTTGACGTGCTTTCGAACTGCTAGGCGGTCAGGAGCAGGGACCGAGCAATGGGAGCTCACCCCGTCACGGGGATTCGAACCGCCAACCCTCTGATTGGCAAGTCCTAGGCTCTGTGGTTTAACCCACAGCGCCACCCGCATCCCCTCACAGTAGCTGCCACCATTCCTTGCACCTCAGACTCGGTGTCTCTGAGCACAGGCAGATTGCCTCCCCCACCCCAGCAAAAAGGAGCTTAAAACAAAAAGTTTCAAAGATACAAAGCAACTTAAAAACAACAACTTTGTGTTTTTAGTACCTCTGAGCAGGTACAGACTGCTCCCTTCTGAAGGTTTTCATAAAAGCCATCTTCAAAAATCTGAAGGGACATCACATGGAAGATGGAGCCAGTGGGATCCGAACCAGCGGATTCAAGTTTCGGGAAAGGAGATTCTGATTAAACTTGCTGAGGGCGAGAGCTGCTTGACAGTAGAACGGACTCCCTTGGCCATTTATTTGGAGATTTTAAAGCAGAGGTCGGATTTTTGCATTTCAGGGGCTGGACTAGATGACCCAGTGCTGTGCTTCCACTGTTAGATGCACCTTGGAGTACATAAATGAAATAATGCCATTTCTCTCCCCACCCGCTGCCACCCTGCAGCTTGGCACCAGTCTATTCTGGTACCTAGCCAGGAGGGGAACGAAATGCGGGAACAGTTCCACTCCTTACGTGCTGATGGACACAGCTGCGAGAGTCAGCCAGGACAAAAGTACTGGCAGCCTTCAGGATGAGCAAAAGGGAAAGGAATGGAGTCTTGGCAGGCCTGCGGGTAACGATGCTGATGTCTGGTGGATTGCTTGCCTGTTGCAGAATGTAGATCCAAAACAGGCCTGGGGGAACTTCCTTTTCTCCCGGGGCCACATTCCCTCCTGGACGACTGTCCGAGGGCCGAATGCTAGTGGTGGGCAGGGTCTTAAGCAAACGTGGGTGGAGAAGGGAACATAACCATTTTAACTTTGTAGAAGAGGATGGTTTCTATGCTCAGCTCACACCCTGCTCCCTGGGTGTCACCTAGGCCATCCAGAGCCATTACCTCTGAATTTGATTGCACCTTCCAGCCAGGCAAAAGCCCTCAAGGAAGATGAGATTCAAGGTGTTTGGCCTGGGAAAGAGGATCATAGAATTCTCAAGTTTGGAAGAGAGTCCAGCGGTCATCTAGCTCAACTAATAATAATAATAATAATAATAATAATAATAATAATTTATTATTTATACCCTGCCCATCTGGCTGGGTTTCCCCAGCCACTCTGGGCGGCTTCCAACAAAACACTAAAATACAATAACCTATTAAACATTAAAAATTTCCCTAAACTGGGCTGCCTTCAGATGTCTTCAAAAAGTCAGGTAGTTGTTCTCTTTGACATCTGGTGGGAGGGCGTTCTACAGGGCAGGTGCTACCACTGAGAAGGCCCTCTGCCTGCTTCCCTGTAACTTGGCTTCTTGCAGCAAGGGAACCGCCAGAAGGCCCTTGGAGCTGGACCTCAGTGTCTGGGAAGAATGATGGGGGTGGCGACGCTCCTTCAGGTCTACTGGGCCGAGGCTGTTTAGGGCTTTCAAGGTCAGCACCAACACTTTGACTTGTGCTCGGAAACGTCCTGGGAGCCAATGTAGGTCTTTCTGACCGGTGTTATGTGGTCTCGGCGGCCACTCCCAGTCACCAGTCTAGCTGCCGCATTCTGGATTAGTTGTAGTTTCCGGGTCACCTTCAAAGGTAGCCCCACATAGAACGCATTGAAGTAGTCCAAGCGGGAGATAACCAGAGCATGTGCCACTCTGGCAAGACAGTCTGCAGGCAGGTGGGGTCTCATCCTGCGTACCAGATGGAGCTGATAATCAGCTGCCCTGGACACAGAACTGACCTGCACCTCCATGGACAGCTGTGAGTCCAGAATGACTCCCAGGCTGTGCACCTGGTCCTTCAGGGGCACAGGTGCCCCATTCAGGACCAGGGAGTCCTCCATACCTGCCCATCCCCTGTCCCCCCAAAACAGTACTTCTGTCTTGTCAGGGAATCTCAGCTAAAGAATCCCTGGCAGGGGGCCACCCCACCTCTTTCCAAGGGAGTCCATTCCACAGCTGAATAATAATAATTATTATAATTTCATTGTTTTTTTTTTATAAAGAGCTCTTACTGCCAGGAAGTTCTTCCTAATGTTTAGTCAGAATCTCCTTTCTTGGAATTTGAATCCACCGATTAGGGTCCTTTCCCTTCTGAGCAGCAGAAAACAAACTTGCTGGCTGGGGGAGGAGGTGTAGCCTGGAGAGAGTTTCTCAAGGGCCAGAGAGAGAGGCCAGGAGGGCCGGATTGCCTCCCCTTCCACCCCACCCCCTCCATAGGGCAGGGGTAAAAGGGATGGTGGTCTATTACCTTTCTCAGGCAACCATGTCAGCTCTGCCACCTTGATTGTGCCTCTTTGCAGCTGCCTCCGGTTAGGCATAGGGCTGGATATACCCTGCGGCGAGAGAAGCTGTTTACAGCATCACAAGATAAACACACACACACACACACAGTCACAGCCTGACTGAGGCTTGGTCCACCTCACCCAGAGGGCACCAGGTTGGGGAAGGCTGGCCTAGATAATCCATTTCATCCAAGGCTTCCTGCAGCTGCCTCACCTCAACCCTCTCCATCAGTTACCCAAGGAAAGCAACCGGTTCCTAGTTTAGCTCAGACTAGGCAGTCTTGTTTAAGAAACAGAAATGGCCCTTCCTCTTTCAGAAGATGTCAGAAGAGCTTGCCAGTGGCCCATCAAGCCCAGCCTCCTGTTCTCACAGTGGCCAGCCAGGAGCCTGCAGGATAATTAATAATAATAATAATAATAATAATAATAATAATTTATTCCCCGCCCATCTGGCTGGGTTTCCCCAGCCAATCTGGGCGGCTTCCAACAAAGATTAAAAATACAGTATTTTTTGCTCTATAAGACTCACTTTTTCTCTCCTAAAAAGTAAGGGGAAATGTGTGTGCGTCTTATGGAGCGAATGCAGGCTGCGCAGCTATCCCAGAAGCCAGAACAGCTTTCACTGCGCAGCGATCCCTCTTGCTGTTCTGGCTTCTGAGATTCATAATATTCTTTTTCTTGTTTTCCTCCTCCAAAAACTAAGTGCGTCTTGTGGCCTGGTGCGTCTTATAGAGCGAAAAATACAGTACATTGAAGTGTCACACATTAAAAACTTCCCTAAACAGAGCAGCCTTCAGATGTCCTCTAAAAGTCAGGTAGTTGTTTATTTCCTTGACATCTAGTGGGAGGGCGTTCCACAGGGCGGGTGCCACCACCGAGAAGGCCCTCTGCCTGGTTCCCTGTGACTTGGCTTCTTGCAGCGAGGGAACCACCAGAAGGCCCTTGACGCTGGACCTCAGTGTCCGGGCCGAACGATGGGGGTGGAGACGCTCCTTCAAGTCTACTGGGCCAAGGCCGTTTAGGGCTTTAAAGGTCAACCCGCAAGAAGGATTCAAGCACAAGGGCAACTCTCCCCTTCTGCCATTTCCAGCAACTGGCATTCAGAAGCATTGCTGTCCCCAGCTGTGAAGGGAGAGCAGAGCCATCAGGGCTAGGAGCCATCCGTAGCCCCCTCCTCCATGAATTTGTTCAGTCCTCTTTTAAAGCCATCCAGGTTGGTGGCCATCTCTGCTTCCTGTGGCAGGGAGTTCCACAGTTTAACTCCGCACTGCATGAAGGACTTTTATCTGCCCTGAACCTCCCAATGTTCAGTTTCCTTGGATGTCTGCGAGTTTTGGCGTTATGAGAGGGAGGCAAACGTTTCTCTCTCCACTTCCTCCATGCCGTGCAGCATTTTATAAACTTTGCCTCTGACTCCCCTTTTCTCTAAACTAAAAAGTCCCAAATGTGGCAACCTTTCTTCACAGAGGAGTTGCTCTACAATGTCCTTTTTGAGGTGAGGCGATTGCATAACGACACATTCCCCAAATTTCCATCTCCCAGACAGGAACTGTCCAACCTTGCAACCAAAACTCCCTTCCTATGAAGGTGATCCCAGAACCTGCCTTTTCTAATACTACTACTACTACTACTACTAATTTTTAATATATACCCCGCCCTCCCCAGCCAAGGCCGGGCTCAGAGCGCCCAGATTAGCTCAGCGCTAATGCCGCACAGCTGCCAATATTTATTTTATTTTAGCCCATACTTCTCAACTAATTATAGTTTTAAACACAGCCCATTGGGAATCAAAGAGGCAAGCCACAGGGATGCTGAACCTCTGCACATCTACAGCAGCTGATGTTGGGAGTTTGGGTGCCCAGTGGGTCTGGCTATGGGTTTTTGGAAGGCCAGACTGTGCACAACTTGACAAAGGAGAACTAAAATGGCGGGTGGCCAAGTTGGGAGACAGCGGTGCTCCCTTGCCTTGAATCCAGGTGAACCGTATCCATTTCTGTTCCCACAGGAAGCCTCTTTGTGCCATACCTATATACAGACGGCAGCTCCCATGCACAGCCTGTTCTCTCCCTTCTGCAGGACCTTCCAGCCACCTCTTGCATGGGCCGAGAAATTCTGGGGGCTCCCAACATCACATGCTGACATCACTACAATTGTGGCATCATGGCCTGTGTGCAGCCAATCACAGGCGGTTGGGTGGGGGGAGCCTTTGGCAGCCCAGCTTGGAAGTGGGAGCATCTCTGCTTCCTGGGTTCTTCACAGGTGTGTGGTCCATTCACACCTTGACAAAAACACATTTTGAAAGGGAGATCCTTCCTAGTGCTGCTCCTACTCATTTGTTTTGCTCAAGGCCAGGGAAGGTTTAAGCCTCAATTGCAGGCAAATTGCAAGGGTTACAAAGCAATGCTTTGGATATATTGATTTGCCTTCCCTCTCTATGTGAAAAGACGGATAGACTCAAAGCATCAACACATCTCAAGCTGGGGGCAGGGGTGAAATCCAGAACATCGTGTGTGCATGAGTGCAGAAGGGTTGTGGGTACTGTGCATAAATAGCAGCACCAGAAGCAAAAATTTCAGACAGGAAGATGAAATGACAAGGAAGAACTCCCACTGACTCAACATCTGCATGTTAAGCAATCATTAAAGATCTTCTCGCTGGTCGTAGGGATGCCATCCTCTCTAGGCCTGCTCAGGAGGTACTATGGCAAGGTTTAGGCTTCACACCAAAAATGGTTTGATAGTCCCTGGCCTTTGAGCCCTAAACTCATGCCTGCCACCCTCCATAGTTTTAGTCCTTTTCAGCACTGGGGTGATTTTTTCTGCTACTGTTTCCAAGCTCCTCTGGACAATCTATTTATTGAGCATCCATCCCAATTTGCTCATGTGGCGGCTCCGTTAACACTCGGTTGCCTCCGCTTATCCTTTACTTGTGTGCATGAAACTATAGCAAGTGTCACAAAAACATTATGGCTGGGGCTGAGGGGAGCTGTAGTCAAGCAACATTTTGTGGACACCACATTGGCAAAGGCTGTCAGCGAGATGCAAAAGCTGTTCAAAAAAAGACCCTGCCGCGGTACAATCCCCTTCTCACTTCAACACCCACTTCTCCCCACAGCCAGAAGCCAGATGTTACTGGGCTTTCAGGAGAACTGTATCTAACCCACTGATGAGAACACTTCTCTTACTGCTTTTATGTGAGCTGAACCCTCTTCATAAGCAAACGCCAGACACCTTGGTTGCTCTCAGGCAAATCATCTTTTATTTCAGGTCCCAAAGTTCTCTGTATATAATCTCACCTCCCCTTCCTTCGGCCCTTACAATATTTAGGCCTTATTCCAGGTTCTGGATTGACAAACTTCCCGCTCCTGTCAAGTCTTGAAAGGGACCAAATCATTTCAAAGGCACCCACCCAAATGACCTCTGGCAATCCCATCAAACACACAGAAGGAGAGGCGGTAATATCCACTTTGCTAAGCTCTAACTAAGATGTTACAAAATAGATGTTTGGGGGAGAAAAAAAAAATCCAAAACCTAACCCCCGGTATTCTTACATGCACCAGAAAGGGCTCACGTGCTTTTGACCTGGCATTCACTGCTGGCCGTCCTATGTTAACAGAAATACCCATCCGCCACTCGCCACCACACCAGGGCAGATTTCATCCGCTCCTCTCTCCTGGCCACCACTTGCCTGCCTGTTCCCTCCTTCCGTAGTCATTACAGCGCTGTTTCCACTGACTGGAAAGAATGCAAGGCTCGTCTGCCTGTCTGCCTGCCTGCCCCTTTAAGGTTGAGCGCAAGCAGGCAAAGGCAGCTGCATCCTTCTCCTGGCAGGAAGAAAGAGCAGAGCAAGACTATGGTGCCTCCAAACACTCTCAGTCTCTGCCGGAAAGAGAGCAGAGACAGCCGCTCAAGGTGCTGTTTGCAAGGCTCTCCCAGGTGGATCTTTCTGGCTGAGATGCAGCAGGGCAGGTAAGGCAGTCAGCACTGGCCCACTGCAGTACGGTGCAAGACAGGGAGCGTTGGCAGGCAAGTGGCAGCAGGAGAGGACAAGCCCCATTCCTTGTCTCTTGGCAGGAGATGCGCGTGGGGCTATAAACTAAAGAAGTCCAGACTATTGTGGCGGCAGAGGTTCGTGGTCCAGGTGACGTCTGCCCGATTGGCGCTCAGCAGCATCTGCTGGAGTTCGTTGCTGACCCGGAAGAACTTCTCCTCGTCCACGTTGCCGTTGAGGAGGTTGGAAGAAGTGGGGGGCCACGGCAGGTCATCCCCATAGCAGTCTACCGGGTAGGGGTAGATGACCAGCTTCAAGTCCAAGAGGCCCACCGTCTTGTGAAGGAGGTTCTTCAGTCCTTTGGCCGAGATGGGGTTGCCAAACACGCCCAGGTAGCGGAGCCGCGAGCAGCGGCAGATGGCCGGCAGGAGGACGTTCAGGTGGGTGTCCATCATGCGGCACTCCATGATGTCCAGGTGCAGGAGGGTCGGGGCGGCCTCCATCAGCAGGCCTTGGAAAGGCTGCAGGAGGCAGTCAGAGAGGTTGTTCCCGCTGAGGTCCAGCTTCTTCAGGGCAGGAGTGTGGAGGCTTTGGGAAAGGTAGGCCAGGTCGTTGGGCAGAAGGTAGCAGAAGGCCAGCTCCAGGCTCTCCAAAGGGCTTTGCAAGTCACTGTGGAGACAGGAAAAGGGCCACCGTTACACACACTCAACACGCTCTCCAGCTAATTCAGCCCCTGATTACTTTCAAACATTTGAAGTATTTTTACTTGCAAGCTAGCAACTTTTCTCTCTCACCTTCCTTTTCTCCTTTTGTGTCCTGTCATATTAGACTGCAAGCCTGAGGACAGGATTTTTTTTTGTTATTTAGCATAAGTACCCTAGGAGCCTTTTGACAAGAATTGGGGTGGGGTGGGGGTGGGATCTAGACCACTCACACCGTAGCCAGCCAGTTCCTTCTCTGAGTGTTGATCCTTCTTTACTTATCCAACTTACATACTGCTCTTTATGCAAGATCTCATGAGTGGGTTACGTAAACAAAACTTCAGCTTAGTAAATACAGTTCAACACTGAGAACAGTGTTAGAAACTGAGATATGAAAGCTAGGAGATAAATGGCACCTTAAACCTAGGTTATGGGCACAACAATGGAATGTCTAGGCGCACTTGTTAAATAACAAGAATACAAAGCTGAAAATGAATCAACTGCAGCTAAAATATTATGTTCATTAAAAATATTTGTATTAAAAATTCCTTAGTTTACAAAAATACATTTTTTTCAAGTTGCGTTTTCTACGTATCAATTTAATTTGTTGTGAGACATTACATATTATGTTCATTTTTCACATGGTCTGGTCCTTCCCCTGCCCACCCGCCTAATATTCTTCAGAGGGTCTCGTCTTCACAGAGTAGTTGGAAGTGGGGAGGCAGAAAAAGTCCTCCTTTTCTTCCACTCTGCAGTTTTACTCTGAAATCTTAGGCGCAGTACTGTGCGCAGAGCTCAGAAACTGCTCGCACTAATGAAATTCCCTGTCGCAAAATGTGCCTAGAACAATGGGAGTTTCGAACACTGACTGAGAAGTTCAGTGAATACCCAGAAAAACAGTCCAGGAAAAGGAGCTCCAGTGATCATTCATTCACACACCTCCCCACACAGGCTGCATAAACAGGTGTGCCTTCAAAGGATGTCAAATGTCATTAATGTGTGTGGACAGTTTTTCCTTCCATACGGAGGAAGTTCCACAACAGTAGCCAAAAGGCCACCACGGATGCGTAAGAGGAAGGTATCAGTGGATTTCATGCACTCCAAAGTCTGCAGAAGCACCAACTTCTCCCCCCCCCCCCGAGAAAAAACTGTGAGTGGAGTGCTGGATGAGTGCCTGGTGGAGAAGAGGGAGACAACAGAAACCAGAGGGAGGCGAGAGTGACATGGAGTATTCTGGAAAAGGGCTGAAATCCCTCTTTACACTGTGACTTTTTTCTTTGCGGGTTGGAACTTCTGATAGCTATAAATAAATGGCTTTATCTCAGCCACTGCTAATGACACAACTTGCAAACTTTTGGGTCCTGGAAACTGAGCCTCCTTTTAAAGAGGGACCAGCGTGCAGAACCAAGAATCCACACAAGCACGTGCGGAGCAAACTACAGGTATATTTGTGTTCTCTCTTTTTGAATTTTCACGTGTCGCGCCAAACCAGTCTTGAAACTGACGCTTCACCTCAAGAGGTTGCTTTAACGCCCCAAAGTGGAAGTTACAGGAATTACCAATGACTGAGGAGTGGCAGGCAAAGATGATGGGCTTTGCAGAATTGGCCAAAGTGACCTGCAGGATTCGAGTCCAGGACAATCAAAAATTTCAAAGGGACTGGAGTAAATTTATTGTATATTTGAATAATAATTGCAAAAATCAGCAGGACTAGTGACATAAATCCTACAATGTGGATAATAGGTTAAAGAGCTAAACTGTGAGATAGGAGTTGAAAGTGGAAAACCCGCTGAAGGGAGGGAAGCCACAGGCTCGGCAGAGCTGAAAGTAAATGTGTATGTTATTGTACTGTTGAAAATATTGTTTAAGGAGAAAAATAATTAATTTTTTTTTTAAAAAAGAGAGGCTGCTGCGCCATGGAGTCAGCAGTGTTAAGGAGGTGGAAAAGAAAAGCAGGGAAAGGCTGCAGCCCAGCAGCAGAGTGTCTGTTTTGTATGCAGAAGGCTCAAGGGCTCAACAATCCCCAGTATCTCCAGGTAGAACTGGGACTATGCCCTGCTTGAAATCCTGGAAAGCTGCTGCCAGTCAGTGTAAGGCAAAGTGATGCCCTCCAGTGGCTGCGACTCCCAAAATGCCCTGGCTGGGTTGATGGGTGCTGGGAGCTCAACACCACCTGCAGAACACCAGGTTGGCTACCCTGGTATAGACAATACAGAGCAAGTTGGACGAGGGGTCTGGTTCAGGGAAAGACAGCTACCTATCTTCATAATCAGTTTTAAATCGTGGTCTGCCTACTGGACTTCTGAATGCATGATCTGTAGAGTGGATGCTTAAAAACGGAACGAAGAGCCTACTGGATCAGGCCAAAGGTGGCCCATCTAGTCCTGCATTCTGTACTCCCAGTGGCCAACCAGATGCCTGTGGGAAACCAGCAAGGAGGACTCAAAGAAAAGAGCACTGTCTACTCCTGTGACTTTCAGGAGCTGGTCTTCAGAAACATTGCTGCCTCCAACTACGGAAGCAGAGCATAGCCATCATGGCTGGTGGCCATTGATAGAAGAAGAGTTTGGATTTGATATCCCGCTTTATCACTACCCTAAGGAGTCTCAAAGCGGCTAACATTCTCCTTTCCCTTCCTCTCCCACAACAAACACGCTGTGAGGTGAGTGAGGCTGAGAGACTTCAGAGAAGTGTGACTAGCCAGCCCAAGGTCACCCAGCAGCTGCAGGTGGAGGAGCGGAGACGCAAACCCGGTTCCCCAGATTACGAGTCCCCTGCTCTTAACCAGTACACCACACTGGCTCCCTCCTCCATGAATTTGTCTATTCGTCTTTTAGTAATAATAGTAATTTTATTATTGATTTGTTGCTCATCTGACTGGTTCACTCCAGTCATTCTGGGTGGCTCCAGAAAAATATAAAAACGCAGTAAAATATCAGACCTAAAACACTTCCCTGTACAGGGAAGCCAGCTAGGTTTGTGGCCATCACTGCCTCCTGGGGGACTGAGCTCCATACTCTCCTAACTATGCCCTGTGTGCAATGGACTCCTACGGAAAAACATTATTGATTAATATACTTAAGGACAGTGATACATTTCCGAGCACAATTCAAAGTGTTGGTGCTGACCTTTAAAGCCCTAAACGGCCTCTGCCCAGTATCCCTGAAGGAGCATCTCCACCCCCATCATCTAGCCCAGGGGTCTGCAACCCGCGGCTCCGGAGCCGCATGTGGCTCTTTTACACCTTTGCCGCGGCTCCAGGGCGGATACTAGCGAGGGGAGGAGGCGCATTGTGCGCCCCGACACTCCCCACTGTGGCGGGCGCTGTACTGGCTGTGACGTCACATGGGGGCGGGGCGTGCGTTAGTCACGCACCGTCCCGACGTCACCTTCCCGCCCGCCCGCCCGCTACATTGTAAGGGGCATGTACGCTGGTCACTGTTTTGAAGGGGAGTGAAGAACACACACACACGAAAAGGTAACTTGTTAATTTAACGTTTATTTCTATGAGGAGGAGTAATTCTGAGGGGTCAAACAAAGAAATAATAAGAAAAAGTGACAAAAAAGTTATTTTTTTAATGACGAATTTTGCGGCTCCCAGTTTTTTTTTCCTTCGGAAACGGGTCCAAGTGGCTCTTTTTGTCTTAAAGGTTGCAGACCCCTGATCTAGCCGGACACTGAGGTCCAGCTCTGAGGGCCTTCTGGCGGTTCCCTCTCTGCGAGAAGTGAGGTTGCAGGGAACCATGCAGAGGGCCTTCTCGGTGGTGGCACACACCCTGTGGAACGCTCTCCCATCAGATGTCAAGGAAATAAGCAACTATATGACATTTAGAAGACATCTGAAGGCAGCCCTGTTTAGGGAAGCTTTTAATGACTGATGTTTTAATGTATTTTTAATCTTTTGTTGAAAGCTGCCCAGAGTGGCTGGGGAAACCCAGTCAGATGGGTGGGGTAGAAAAAATAAATTATTATTATTAGGCTGTTACTGGAATTCTACCACTCCCTTTTCTCTCCTCATAGCTTTCCTTTCCTTTTTTGCTTTGTTCTTTTCTCTTTATTGTTGGTATTATTACTCGCGTGAAAACAGAAACCAATGCCAAACGACAACGATGCCCTGTGTGACAAAGTAGGGTATTAGCAGAAGCTCACACACACCCACAGCCCCCCTTTCAGCCGCTTACCCTAGGAGCAGCCTCAGCTTGCCGGACAGCCGGGAGGACCCCAGGTTCAGCTCCTTGAGGCATCTCAGTCGGCTCAGCTGGTTGGCAAAGTACTGCAGGCTCCCCTCCATGCCCACGGTGAGGCGCCTCACATCCACGTTGCTGTAGGGCAGCTTCAGGCTCGCCAGGTTGGTGAACTTGGTCAGGTGGGGGAGGACCACTCGCAAGCCGGAGAGGCCCAGGTTGTTGAACCTCAGGTCCACCTGCCGGACGCCGACCGGGTCCAGGAACTCCAGCAGCCCCACGGTGCTGGCGATGGACAGCTCCTCTGCCCGGAAGTCCCGGCACCTCAGCCGCAGGGCATTGTAGCTGTTGATCTGCAAGGCGTCCTTCAGGACTCCGTAGGAGGTGCTGTTCACAAAGAGGTCCACCCAAACGTCCACAGAGACGGGTGGGAGGGCTGGAGGCCCCGGGGGTTTGCTGTAGGGGCTTTTTCTCCGCTTGGACGTCCGCCTCGTCCACTTGCCTTGCTGCTTGGAGATGTCCAGGCAAGCCTTTGCCAGCGTGACTGTCCGGGACCAGAGACTCATGCTCTCTGGGCCCTGCCCTTCGTCCTGGAGGCCAGTCATGTCGAGAATCTGCAGCCGCTGCTGTGGCCCTTTGCTGCCAGGGAGGCCAAACAAGAACAGCCATTAGGGCAACCCTAGTCCCGCCCCCCAGGTAGCTCTCCCTGCCCACCTCTGCCCACACCCTTTAGGAGACGCCCAGGGGCCTAATAATAATAATAATAATAATTATAATAAACTATTTATACCCCGCCCTCCCCAGCCAAGACCGGGCTCAGGGCGGCTAACAACCAATAATAAAAACAAGTTGATTAAAATACAATTTAAAAGATTAAGATACAACATTAAAACAATTAGGGAGCAATCTCTTCATAGGAGAAGAAAGGAAAAAGAAAGAGGGGGAGGGAATCAAACTGATTCTGAGCCAAAGGCCAGGTGGAACAACTCTGTCTTACAGGCCCTGCGGAAAGAGATCAGATCCCGCAGGACCCTGGTCTCAAGAAACAGAGCATTCCACCAGGCCGGGGCCAGTGTTGAGAAGGCCCTGGCTCTGGTTGAGGCTAATCTAACTTCCTTAGGGCCCGGGACCTCTAGGGTGTTGCTATATATGGACCTTAAGGTCCTCCGTGGGGCATACCAGGAGAGGCGGTCCCGTAGGTACGAGGGTCCTAGGCCGTGAAGGGCTTTAAAAGTCAAAACCAGCACCTTAAATCTGACCCTGTACTCCACTGGGAGCCAATGCAGCTGGAAAAGCACTGGGTGAATATGCTCCCATGGCAGAGACCCTGTGAGGAGCCTCGCTGCAGCATTCTGCACCCGCTGGAGTTTCTGGGACAGCTTCAAGGGCAGCCCCGCGTAAAGCGAATTACATAGACCATCACATACCTCTTACTGCCACGCCGGTTCTCCAGCAGCTTGATCAGGTATGTCACAACTCCTGAAATAACCATCTGGATGCAGTACTTGTTGGGCTTCTCCCGGATCAGGGCCCGTTCGCAGTGCTGGCATTTCCGCAGCAGCTTCTGGAAACTGAGGACTGGGAAGGGCCAGGTGTTCACAAGCAGCTGCAAGGACAGGGTCCTCTTGTCCATGAAGGCCGCTTTGAACAAGACGGGGTAGAGCTCCTTCGGGAGGAAGCCCAAGGCATCTTGCAGGCTATCAAAGTCAGCGACAACCTTCTGAGAGCAGAGGAACACCAGGGAGTTCATGGCAGCGACTGAGCAGACGGCAAGCCAGAAAGCTGAGGAAAGAATAGCTTCTGTTAGATTTATTACTGAGTTTATTTTTATTTCATAAAATACACCGCTTGAACATAAAAGTTCCAAACATTCAGTGCATATTAAAAAGGCCTCCCTACACCTTTTACCTCTACAGAAGCACTGGCTGGGAAACTGACTTGTGCAAGGCTACTCAATGAGTTTCAAAAATGACGATGGATCTTGGAACTTCCATACTGCACCAGCTGCCACAATAATGAACACCCACCCCAGCTCCAACACTGTGTCAGATTTGGACTGTATGCAGTCTCCAACCTTCACAGGGGTGAAGTGTGACAGTGTGCTCTCAGAGACTTATGGATCATGTGTGGTTTCCTGCTGTCTCTGGGGGAATTTTCCTCTGGTTAATAGCTGAGGGTCTTGCCTAGGCTCTCTTGTCCACTTTGGTTATGTACTTTTTGAGGTTATTATGACTACTTTTCTTATGTTTGTAATGATGTAATTTTTTACATGTTATAAACCACCATAAGCATTGTTTCAAGTTGGAAAAGATAAATTGATATATGCATGTCTTGGAAATGAGATGGCATTGGTCAACTACTCCCAAGTGTCTTCACCCCAACCACAGTCTCATCTTAGTGCTGTGTTACTTTGAGGGCAAAGAAACGGTTGGGTTGATCATTAGTGCAAAAATGGAAGAGTAAAAAAAGGATAACCCCCCAAAAAACACAGACTCGAGCCCACTAAAGAGCCATCTTTGTGGTTATGATGGTGCTGAAGCCCACCTCTCCTCCAGCCAGCAGAGTTCCTTCAAGTGATAAGGGGGTCTACTTCAAGTAAGCAAAAGGAATCAACCACATACTTGAGCCTGCTGTGGTCAACATCATTTTTACACTTTGTCAATCAAGTGCTTGCATCTAGACACCGTAGTAGTAGTAGTAGTAGTAGTAGTAGTAATAATAATAATAATAATAATAATTTATTATTTATACCCTGCCCAACTGGCTGGGTTTCCCCAGCCACTCTGGGTGGCTTCCAACAAAACACTAAAATACAGTAGTCCATCAAACATTAAAAGCTTCCCTAAACAGGGCTGCCTTAAGATGTCTTCTAAAAATCTGGTAGTTGTTTTTCTCTTTGACATCTGATGAGGGCGCGTTCCACAGGGCGGGTGCCACTACCAAGAAGGCCCTCTGCCTGGTTCCCTGTAACTTGGCTTCTTGCAGTGAGGGAACCGCCAGAAGGCCCTCGGAGCTGGACCTCAGTGTCCGGGCAGAACGATGGGGGTAGAGACGCTCCTTCAGGTATACTGAACCAAGGCCGTTTAGGGCTTTAAAGGTCAGAACCAACACTTTGAATTGTGCTCAGAAACGTACTGTTATGAAGGTCAGAGACAAATGCAACCAGATGCCTTCTTGTCAGATTATTATGGGCAAGTATGCCACCCAGAGATAAGCTGCTTTGAGGTTTGAGAGCTACCACTTTCACTGTACCAGAAGTTATGAATGATTCCTTGAAGGATGGGGTGGTTCAAGGGGTCTACAAATTATGGCTGGACTTGACATTACTTCTCCCTTCCAAATTTTTAAGATTTCCCCCTTCTCAAGTATATATGATCCATTATTTGAACTGATATAAATGAACTACTGACACTCTTGTTTTCTGGCACAAACATCAGACTATGGGGAAATGCTGATTTTTGGCTAGTAAACGTCTTATGGCACCATCAAGACTAAAGGTTTTTGGAGCATGGCTAGGGATGTTGTGTTGAGAATAAGAACCATTGAGCTCAGAGGTGCTTTATTAACTTCCATGCCATTAGGCTGCAGAGCAGAGGGTGAGGAGGGAAGCAGGATTGCCCCATCAGCACTGCTGAGAAACCACCTGCCTTCAGAACTTCAGCCTGAAGCAGCCATTCCACCTGGCTACCTGTTTCCATTCCAGCAGATCAATGACTGAAGCCTAAGTGCTTTTTCTTCCTCCTCTTCCCTTTTATGTCATGCCTGACAATAGGAACTATTTTGTTTTTTAGTGTAGGCATCGTGGAACAGTTTTTAATGAAGAACAGGGGGGAAAGGGTTTCTTAATAAACTTGAAAAACACACTGAACATTTTTTTCTTTTAAAAAATGATATTCAGCCAGCTGAAAGACAACCATTGGGTTTTAATTAGAAATGCATACAATTTTACAAAAAAGTGTTACAATTTAAATTAGTAGCCTAAAGTAGGAATTCCATCAAGCAAAAGCATCCAGCCTCTGATCTGATTCCCTCCCCTCTTATTTCTAATTACTGGTATTTAGGCCCTCGCAGGTTTTTTTTTTGGGGGGGGGGGAGAATGCTTTCAGTTTTTTCAGCAACCACAAATGCTGAAGACTAACAGAGTGAATCGAGTTCCACCCACTATATCCCTCCCCCAGCCTTGTTTTTAATTAACCTCATCTACTTCCTACAATTGTAGCGTTAGAAGGGACCCAGCCGGCTAAATCAGATGAGGGTAGCTGATGGGTCTCAAACCCTTGGTGAGTTAGCTACTCCCCCTGGATGCAAAGATAGGCTTTGGTGGATTGAGAGGACAAAACCAACAGGGGCTCCAACAGTTAACAAAGCAGTTTCTGCACATTGAGCAGAGGGTTGTAAGGGGCGGTTGGGGGTCAGCCACCTGGGAGAGTAGACCATCTAGGAGAAGGCAAAATCTGATCCTAAACCTCTGCTGCCTTGAGGGATATCTTTGGGAGAAAAAAAGGCTCAAGAGTAAACCCTACAAAAATCCAGAGTGGAGTCCCTAAGACGGTTGGATGGCGCCTTGTACGCCTCCATCAAGGAACTTTGCAGCCAAGCTGGTACCAAACGTAATGCTCTGCTTTCCTGTGGACCACATCAGCAAGGCTGAGAGAGGGGTCTTGTTGTCTGGGTAGCCCAGGACCTCCATACTCACTGCCCAGGTTTGTGCCCCGGGGAGGAGACAACAATCTCTCAAAGGACCCGTTGGTGGCATTTTACCATTGTATTGTGGAGAGTGTATTAACTTATGGTCTCTGTGTGTGGTTTGGGAGCGGCACAGCCAGGGAAAAAACAATGCTGTCCAGGGTTGTAAAGACTGAGGAGAATAACTGGGTGCACTCTTTCCACCTTAGATCAAATCTATGCTTCCAGGTGCCATAAGAAAGCTGCAGAGATAGAGCAGGATAGTGCGCACCCCAGAAATGATCTCTTTCAGCTTCTGCCTTCTGGAAGATGGTACTAGCCGCCTGAGAAACAGTTTCTACCCAAATGCAATTCTGGTTTTAAACGCAGTATAAGGAGTCTCTATAGGAGTATATTGTATTTTAAAATGGGGTTTCAGAGTTTTTAGGGTTTTTTGAATGTCTTATGTAGATTTTTCAATTTCATTGTTCTGTATGGGACAATGACAATAAAGATATTGTATCGTATCGTGCTGATAGTGCAGTGGATGCACACTCCATTTGGATATAGACAAGGGAGATCTAATCAGCATAGGTAACTGAAAAGGGGTAGCATGCTCAATCTCTTGAAATCACAAACTTTGAAAGCTTTCATTATTCCCTCATTTGCCAAAAAGGAGGGGTCCATTGTTGCAATTACCTGTAGGGAGTTTGTCAAATCTGGGTGCTTCTGTCTGCCCTGAAGGCAAGAGGTGTTCCAGCTCCTTTTATATATATATATATATATAAAATAACCACACTATTGACCTGAACAATTATCGTGTCAAATTTATTGTTCTTAATTAAGGTATTAGCATCAGTCATGCTGTTCCAGTTTCGGACAGTCCTGGATGACACTGATTATTTGGATTCATTCCAGGCTGGCTTCCAGCCTGGTTTCAGAATGAAAATCACCTTGGTCATGGTGGCAGATGATCTCTGGGAGATCAGAGTAAACCTGTTGGCAATCCAGGCTGTCTCAGCACCATGACAGAAAGGATTTCTTTCTCTCTCTTTTGCCTCTTCTAAGATAGTACTCAACAGCTACATATATATGAATGCTTTTCGTGCCCCAATGGATTTGATATTGTGCATTCTTATTTTTATTTACTTATTACTATTACCTGCCCTTTGCCATAAGGTCCCAGGGTGGGTTATAGCATTGAAAGCAACACTGATAAGCAGTAAGGTACTAGAAAATGTTAGGGAGTAACAATTGGATAAAAATGATAACAAAATGCAGAGAATGGTGTAAGATGTAAAGAACCAGTAGAAGCGGGTGGAAGGAGGTCTTGAGGTTTAAAGAGCCTCAAAAGAAGACTCGCAAAATAGTAGAATCCCTTATTAGAAGTTCAAATGTTAGATTGTGCTTTGATTTTTGCATCCTTATTGTTTACTGCCTGTGAAAATTAATAAAAATTTATTTACAAAAAAAGAAAGGAAAGCAACGTTGATAAAATGGTTTGATTTTCTACCTGTAGAAGCCATTTTGGCGTGCAAGAGAGGAACATAGGGAGCTGCGGTAATCGAGATCGGGCCTTTTCTGCGCTTGTGTGATGCTCTCCCCACCCCGGGAGGCTCCCGGTTTGGGTGGGCGGCTCTCCCGGGGACACCTTTAGGCGATCGGGCATGATTCCTCTCCTCCCGGGCCTCCGCTTGGTATTATACAACGCGTGGGGCCTTTGCAACCGCGGGGTGGGGTTTATCGCTTTGTTCTTAGGCTACGTGTTTCTGCGTTTCGGGGACCGTAAGCCGATCTGCGACGATCGGTCGACCGGCGGCAGCTGCGACACCGAATCGGACCCGCTTCTCTTCCAGGCACCGGTGTCCCGCCGGGAGGAGGCCTCCTGTCTCTCTCCCTCCCTCCCTGCCAGCCCGGCCTGGCGATGCCGCGGGGGCCGCCCGCTTCCAAGGCAGAGGAGAGGCGCCTCGGCGGGGAGGGAGGAGACGGAGCTCGATTCTTACGGCCGAGAAGGAGCCCGACTGTGAGGGGAATCCGATCCGGGGGGGGGCTCCGTCGCCCCCCGGGCGGCTGCCCCTCCCCCCCCGCTCCGTGGGCCTCAGGGGCCGAAACCGGCGGCGCCCCCCCCCGGCCATTTTTAAAGCCAGGCGATCCCTTTAAGGCGAGGCCTTCCTTTTGTTGCGCGGCTCCCCCGCCTCCCCCCCCCCGTTTGCCGCCACGCCCCTCCCCCCACCGCCGCATTCCTGTCACGGAGGACCCCTCCCGTCGCCATGGCAACGACATCCCCTCAGCGACCCCCCGCCCCCCCAGAACCGGGCTCTCTCTCTCTCTCTCCCGTAGTAGGCCTCGGGTCTTACCGGGCCCCCGCGACCACTCCTCGCTCCTTCTCTCGGCGACGCTCCGCTCTCCCCTCAGGCCATCCCGAGGCGGCCCTGAGACCCTCCTGCGCGCGCACCGCCGGCCGTCCCCTTCGCAGCCGCCGTAGCGCCGCGCGGAGGTGGTGCGCACGCGCGGACGTGGCGCCCCGCCCTCCCACGGGGTTTCCAAGGAGACCAGCTGCCTGCCTTTCTTTCTTCCCTGCCACCCCAGCGGCTCCTCCTGATTGGGCGCGGCAGGCGCCGCCCCTCGAGCGGGAGGACCGTCGCCGATTGGTCGGCGAGGAGGGCGCGCGGGAAGAAGGGAATCGCCTCAGAGCGCGGTGGGAAGGAGGCCGAGGTAACGGAGCGCGGCCGGACGCCTGGGTCCCTTTCAGTATCCTGAGGAGGGGGTGCTCGGACGCCTGGGTCCTTTCCAGTATCCTGAGGAGGGGGAGGGATCCCTGGACGCCTGGGTCCTTTCCAGTATCCTGAGGAGGGGGTGCCCGGACGCCTGGGTCCTTTCCAGTATCCTGAGGAGGGGGTGCTCGGACGCCTGGGTCCTTTCCAGTATCCTGAGGAGGGGGTGCTCGGACGCCTGGGTCCTTTCCAGTATCCTGAGGAGGGGGTGCCGGACGCCTGGGTCCCTTCTAGTATCCTGAGGAGGGGTGCTCGGACGCCTGGGTCCTTTCCAGTATCCTGAGGAGGGGGTGCTCGGACGCCTGGGTCCTTTCCAGTATCCTGAGGAGGGGGTGCCGGACGCCTGGGTCCTTTCCAGTATCCTGAGGAGGGGGTGCTCGGACGCCTGGGTCCTTTCCAGTATCCTGAGGAGGGGGAGGGATCCCTGGACGCCTGGGTCCCTTCTAGTATCCTGAGGAGGGGGTGCTCGGACGCCTGGGTCCCTTCCAGCCTTGGGAGGGGGAGGGATCCCCGGATGCCTGGGTCCCTTTCAGAACCCCTCTTCGGGGCAGGGGTCTCCTGCTTATCTTTTTCATGTACAGGGATGGCTGCCACAGTGTTGTGTTTCATGGTGGGGGGCGGGGGAAGCCCAATGGGAACTTGATCACGGCACCCTTGGTGGGTCCAGCTAAGAATCCCAAAATCTATATATAATAATAATTTATTATTTGTACCCTGCTAATCTGGCTGGTTTTCCCCAGCCACTCTGGGCGGCTTCCAACAAAACACTAAAATACAATAGTCTATTAAACATTAAAAGCTTCCCTAAAGAGGGCTGCCTTCAGATGTCTTCTAAAAGTCTTGCAGTTATTTTTCTCTTTGACATCTGGTGGGAGGGCGTTCCACAGGGAGGGCGCCACCACCGAGAAGGCCCTCTGCCTGGTTCCCTGTAACTTTGCTTCTCGCAATGAGGGAACCACCAGAAGGCCCTCGGTGCTGGACCTCAGTGTCCGGGCAGAACAATGGAGATGGAGAAGCTCCTTCAGGTATACTGGACTGAGGCTGTTTAGGGCTTTAAAGGTCAGCAACAGCACTTTGAATTGTGCTCGGAAACGTACTGGGAACCAGTGTAGGTCTTTCAAGACTGGTATTATGTGGTCTCGGTGGCCACTCCCAGTCACCAGTCTAGCTGCCGCATTCTGGATTAGTTGTAGTTTCCGGGTCACCTTCAAAGGTAGCCCCACATAGGACCCTTTGAAGTAGTCCAAGCGGGAGATAACCAGAGGATGCACCACTCTGGCCAGACAGTCTGCGGGCAGGGAGGGTCTCAGCCTGCATACCAGATGGAGCTGGTAGACAGCTGCCCTGGACACAGAATTGACCTGCGCCTCCATGGATGGCTGTGAGTCCAAAATGACCCCCAGGCTGCGCACTTGGTCCTTCAGGGGCACAGTTGCCCCATTCAGGACCAGGGAGTCCTCCACATCTGCCCGCCTCCTCTATCACATGTGGTGGCAGTGTAAAGAAATCAAGTTGTTCTGGGAGGATATCCATTCCGAATTGGGAAAAATGCAAAAAATATCTTTTAGCAAAAAACAGAAGCTTTACTAGGAATCACAGATTTGGATAGTCCTAAAAAAGCAGAACTTTTTCTCTATGCTACAGTTGCAGCAAGAATACTCACTGCGACAAATTGGAAAAGTGATAAAGCCCCTTCTAGATCAGAGTGGATCCAAAAAATGACCGAATATGCAGAATTAGACCATTTATCAGAAAGAATAAAAAATAAATCAAAGGAAGTATTCACCACAAAACGGGAAGTCTTTAAAATTTATTTGAAAAATAGTAATGGCAGTTTGAAGTCTGTAGCAGCATTTGAATAACTTCAGTAGGAATTTTAAATCTAATGGAAAACCTAGGATAGAATAAATAACATTAAAGCCAAAATATGCTATAATATGGCAGTGAATAATGGATGAGAAATAGAAGTAAGGAGTAGACAGAAAGTCAGCTACATAGGAAAAAGTCATTTTATGTTAAATGCATTGTGAGCACTATTCAATATATTGTTGTTTTTTATTTTTTTCTGTCTTAGTTGTTAGCAGGTGATGGATATTTGTTTATCTTCATATTTCTTTTTTGTATGTGGTGTATTAAAATGAAATAAAAATATTTTTAAAAAAAAAAATAATCCCAAAAGAGTTAAGTTCCCTCAGAACTTCCTCTGACTTAGTTCACATGTGATGCAGGCATGTGAGAGATCTCAATGTGTGCCAGAGCATACTTTGGCAGAGAAGCCATGTACGTTCTCTTTCGGAATCTAGTGTTATAAGAAAAAACTGCTCCTTTCCCCTTATGGGGTACCCAAGAGCCTGTATAGGGTCCTTATGTAGGTTCTCTCTCTGTAGGAGAAAATTAAAGAGGCCAACCAAAGAATATTGAGAAGCAAAGCAGCTAGTAAGCCCGATCTTTATTAAACTGTTGCTACAGGGTGCTCACACCCACCACGCAGGAGGGAGGAGGAACCCCGAACATTGGTGCGCGCGCCGTTTTATAGACTTTTGAAATTTTCCACCCTGTAGCTCAAGACCCCCCAAACATCATACATACATCACACAAGGGGCAGTCTACAGCAGAATCCTGCCTGGCAGGAAACCTGTTAATGCAGGCACAGGCAAACTCCGTCCCTCCAGATGTTTTGAGACTACAATTCCCATCATCCCTGACCACTGGTCCTGTTAGCTAGGGATGATGGAAATTGTAGTTCCAAAACATCTGGAGGGCCTATGCCTGTGTTTATGGGTTTACTTGGACAGCCTGGCCATTCTTTTGTGATGATAAATACTTAATTCCTGAGTCCAGGTCACAGGCTCACCCTATTCATACACCAATGTGCCCTTAAGGCAGGATTTGTGAGCACAGAGACAGTGGGGAGGCTTTTCCCATTTCCATCCAAACTGCAGAGGAATATTTGAGGTCATTGAAAGAGTCAAAATGGCTTTAGGACTGTTTTCCTGTACTGGTTCAGATATGTGGTTTATATATTTATGTATGTATTTGCCTGATACATTTATGAACATTTATTTATTTATTTTTATTAGATCTTATAATTCTCTTAACAATAGAAAGTGACAGTTATTTAAATAAATAAAAACAATGCAGCACTATTTATTTATATCCCACCCTTTTCCCCTGACTGTGACCTAAGGCGGTTTACAGCTAAGATAAAAACATTGGAGGGGGGAGCAATAATTAAAAACTATTAAACAGATATACAATTTATTTTATTATTAAATGTATTTCTTTTTTTATTATTATTATTATTTATCAGATTTATATGCCACCATATAAATGGTCCCAGGGCAGTTCACAACAGAAAAACACAAAATGAGAATACAAAATACATAGTAAAACAAACACATTTTAAAAGCCTTAAATCAGCCAAACACGCCTAGTTGAAGAGGTGTTTTAATAAGATGTATTAAAAACATACAGGTAATTACAATAAGAACAGCACAGCACCAGCCATTTCCTTAAAAGCCTCCAGTTCCGAAAAGCTTGTTGAAACTAGAATGTCTTCACCTGCTGGCTGAAGGACAGTAAGAAGGGAGTCGGTCTATCTTCTCTAATGTCATCCATATTGCTTACACTGTTTAAATAATAATTATTATTATTATTATTATTATTTATGAACAATATTAAATCTGAAAGTTGCATTCTCCTATTATGAATTGCCTGCTGTGTAACATATTCTGGACTTGCAGTGCGGCCTCCTGTCTGCTACCAACCCAGCTCTTTTGGAGGGTTCTTTTGGAACATATTAACCTAAAACTCCTGTCTTCTCGTGCAGTTTTTGGAAGCCTGTCTTGGGGAGCGATGGACAGATGTAGCAAGGTGAAACGCCTGCTGAAAAACTGGGAGGTTTTGTTTTTTCAGGAGCACCAGAGGAGACCTGGCAAGGTATTTGGAACACTGTTGACTAGGATGGACATTTGAGTTATTGCTGACAGCATGTCTGTAGCCATTCACATTTCTAAAATTATCCTGACAAATTTGCACCTGTTTTCTAGGCTGATGTTGCAACGGCTCCTGAAGAGGTCAGACGTAAGTGTGACTTTTCTCCATAGCATATTTGTTTTTGTGTACTGCAGTAGTGGAAGGGATGTTAATCAAGGGGACAGCTTTTATTTTTGGAATAGTTTAGATCAGCTGGCAAGTCCCCAGAGTCACGTGTATGCTTCCCAGTTCCCTATGGTGGTAAGGAGCGCCTAGAACTCTAAAACCCTGTAACTCCTCCTAATTAAAACACAAAAATTCAACTAGCAGAATAATTGCCACTGCTCATTTTAAGAACACATTGTCTTAAGGTAGGAAGAGCTTGGTTGGTTCAGGGCAACCTCTCTATTCCAGCACCTTTCCCCTGCAAATGCCTCAGTGGGAAGCATTGCAGAAGAGAAGATAAATGAGGTTAAACAATAGCATACAAACATTATAAAAGACAAGGTAGCATTGCAAATCTAAAGTATTGATGCAGAGCTGAGAAACCCTAAACAAATAACAAATACTGTTAGGGATCTGAGGTGAGGCACCTATGTAGCAGAAGTTACCCCCAGTTTCATTTACCACACAGAGGCAGATCCAAAATAGTTTACTGCTTTAGAAGATTAGGCTCAGTAAAACAGTTCCAGACATTGATATATAGACATATAGTTTGTAAGCTTTGCGGATACGGATATAAAGTATAAAGTATTCCTGTTGCTCCAGAAATTCAAGATGTAGCATAAGCTCCGACTCATGGACAGACTGGCCCCAACACTCAGGCAAGACCCGAAACACAGACAGCGCAACACTGAGATGATGTGCCTTAATCACTTATATAGTCAGCACTGGGTCATTGCCATCTAAATATGTTTTATTTGTGTAGGGGTTTTCAGTGTACAAAATGCTTTCCCATATACTTAATATGCTTTTCCAGTAGCTGTGAAATTTAACCCCTTATAACACATGGAAACATGATTGCAGAAAGGTACTGTGGCTGGCTGGCTGCCTTAAGGAGATTCAGGGCAACAGTCCATCTTCAAATCAAATATCTTTAATACGGTCAATGACCAGGAAGCAATTTATAAAATATGACATTAAGAGTAGTATTGTGCTACAAGTAACAGTAAAAATATGGCCAATTCACAGAATTGGTGCTTATATTATGACCAGGTTTCGAGTTTTAAGTTTTTAAAATTCAATTCAGGAGTCGCTACTGTTTATTATCGTTCCTTCGATGTTTACAGTTTGAACTCCTTTGTAGAGCATCATTGCTCGTCTTATTCTTGTTGCAATGTAACAGTACTTTGCCACGGACCTGTTAATTTCGGGCTCTTTGTCAGCTAAGAGGTGTCTGATATAGGTGTCGTCTGTACTACGAGGTATTTTCCTCAGAATCGGTTCGATCAGCTCTTTTCTTGAGTCTCGATATAATGGGCAGTATAAGATGACATGCCCAATGGTTTCGATTTCATTGCTGTTACAGGGACATAATCTTTGTTCAATCGGTATTTTATTGTATCTTCTCTCTAGAAGAGCTGAAGGGAGAGCGTTAAAGCGGGCCCTGGAAAATGCCCATCGGTGTTTAGCGTTGTCTAAAACAACAGTCCATCTTTAGAGTGTTGTCATTCCTGATTGGCAGCAGCTCTGTGGAGCCATGGCCTGTCAGATTGGGGGGGACGGGACTTTGTGCATTGAAGCTCTCCATCTCTTCATCTCAGCCCCTTGCAACATTTACTGTGGTTTCGTTCAGCTCAAGCTGCAGGCCTCAATGCCTAACCCAGTGGGTGAATTTCTAAACATATACTATCAGAACAAGACCTCCCTACAGACGGGCTCTTCTCAAATCATTATCTATTGTAGAACCATCACACCTGAATATTACTACTACCTGAGGGAGAGTGTGTATGCTGGGTTTGATAGACCCCAGAGTTGATTTGGGCAGGTAATTCCTTGTCAGCTTAGAAGTCATTCTGAACTGCTATTTGTGCACAGAACTGTACAAAGAGTACAAGGCACTGAAAGAAACCAAAGGACAGCAAGGCCTCCTTGGATCTGAAGCCATCTGCCAGAAAGAAATTCAGGAGCTGCCAGTAACAGAACAGGTAACAAAGGAGCTTTGTGTTTTGCAGTTGTGATCTTGTCTGTGGGCACTGACCTTGCAGGGGAAAGGCTTGAGCCCACGTTTGTTATTATCAGATCAAAAACCCCTGCAGCCTGTTAACACCCCCATCTCCATTTTTGCCACCTACAGCCTCTAAATGTGAACCAGATGATGTTTTTTGGGGGCTGAACTGTTTTCAGAAGGCAATAAGGTGTTAGTGTGGTGTAGTGGTTAGAGGCTTGGACCACATCTTGGGAGACCAGGGTTCAAATTCCCACTCAGCCATGAAGCTCACTAGGTGGCCTTGGGCCAATCACTCACTCTCAGACTGACCTACCTCACATGGTTGTGGGGACTAAGTTGGGAGAACTATGAATACCACCTTGAGCTCCTTAGAGGAAAAGTGGGATATAAATGTAATAAAAGTATAAATAGTTGGAGAATGATAGCAGTTACATGGAAAACGAACTACAATATAGATATGTAAACTTAACTATTAAACATAACTCTGCACAGAGGAACGATTTGCAAGTAAAATTTACAAAAATTTGTTTTGCATGCCATAATGACCTTCTAAAACTTCCACCAGTATTTTCCCACCCCCTCCCCTCGTCTCTATTCCAAGGTACCTGAGTCAGATTGCTGGGGTGCGCACCTGAATCGAGGAAATATGGCTCCTAAACTGACCCCGCAGGATCAAGAGACACTGCAGGCTTCTGTAAAGTATTTTGGCATGAAGCTGAAATGCAACTTGGGATCAGCTATTAAGGTTTGTGTGATTGGTGAGTGACTAATTCTAGTCTTGAGCCCAGGCTGAGTGCAGGGACAGATACAAGATGGGTGACACCTGGCTTGAGAGCAGTACATGTGAAAAGGATCTAGGAGTCTTGGTTGACCACAAACTTGACATGAGCCAACAGTGTGACGCGGCAGCTAAAAAAGCCAATGCAATTCTGGGCCTCATCAATAGGAGTATAGCATCTAGATCAAGGGAAGTAATAGTGCCACTGTATTCTGCTCTGGTCAGACCTCACCTGGAGTACTGTGTCCAGTTCTGGGCACCACAGTTCAAGAAGGACACTGACAAGCTGGAACGTGTCCAGAGGAGGGCAAGCAAAATGGTCAAAGGCCTGGAAACAATGCCTTATGAGGAACGGCTAAGGGAGCTGGGCATGTTTAGCCTGGAGAAGAGGAGGTTAAGGGCTGATATGATAGCCATGTTCCAATATATAAAAGGATGTCACATAGAGGAGGGAGAAAGGTTGTTTTCTGCTGCTCCAGAGAAGCGGACACGGAGCAATGGATCCAAACTACAAGAAAGAAGATTCCACCTCAACATTAGGAAGAACTTCCTGACAGTAAGAGCTGTTTGACAGTGGAATTTGCTGCCAAGGAGTGTGGTGGAGTCTCCTTCTTTGGAGGTCTTTAAGCAGAGGCTTGACAACCATATGTCAGGAGTGCTCTGATGGTGTTTCCTGCTTGGCAGGGGGTTGGACTCGATGGCCCTTGTGGTCTCTTCCAACTCTATGATTCTATGATTCTAGGGCAGCTTCTGACGGCTGAAGATCCTTGAAGAAACAAAAGGACTAACTCCATTTAATCTATGCCTGCCATATGATCTAGTCTTTGCACTTCCTTCCATTTCAATGATGTCTGCAAACTTGATGAGCACCTTGAACCAGACGAAGGGATAAGGCTGTTTGGAAAGTCTGAGCTCATTTCCCTTGCCTAAATAATTACTTATCTGTATAATTTGACCTTGCAGACGCATGAACACGCATTTCTGAATACTAAGTGAGATTTTGTCCGCTCTCACTGGGTGTCTAAAGTTTTTCTCAGCCCTGGTGTTTGATCTCCTTTAACTGGAAACCCCACGGAAGGAACCTGAGACTTGTTATGTGGTTCAAAACTTGCTGAGGAAGAGCTATCCATTTAGCAAAGATTTCCAGTAGGGGAGGGAAAGATGTCTGTTGTGCTTAGCTTCAAAGGTTTTCTGTTCTGGTATAAAATAAGAGGAGAAAGTGTTGGGGGTATAGGTAGGTTCACTTGCTGGAAACTAACTGAATTTTACTTTTGATCTCAGGAACGCCCTGTAACGTTAAGGAAATCCCTTACCCCCAGGAGGAAGTCAGTCACAGCGGCGCAGAAGGACATGCACCAAACCACCGCAAAGGCTGGGTCTCCCAAACCGCCTGAGGCTCCTTTGTTAAACAATTGCCCAGATCAGCTGCTTTGCCCCGATCCCATGGAACTTGAAACCCTCCTGCCACCTTCATTCCCAGGGCTGATTCCTAACAAGCTCCTTTGCTCTGACCCAAAGCCAAGGCCGCCACCTCCGCTGGATAAGTTTCGGCGGCTGAAGCAGACACTGACCAAGCGGCTGAGTAGCCTGGATCCTGGTTGGCTGGACAGGTGCCAAGGGGCAGAATGGCAGGCAAGAGAGGGGCTCCCTGGAGACGGCTCTCCTATCCCAGGCGGCGGGGCAGATCCAGACCAGAGCTCACCAGGACACAATTCTCAGGGGAAAGGGGGTGTTCCTCCCTACCTTGGAGAGCAGGAACAGGAGAAGTGTTGCAATTCTCCCAGGGAAAACAGTCAAGGAGATGCGATGGAGAGCCAGCCCCTGGTCCAAAGTGTTGGAGATGACTGCAAGCCCAGTGGGCAGGCTAACCATCCTGCAGGTGAGACCCCGTGCAAAGCAGGTGCAAACGTAGCACTCTCTGAGGGCAAGGCTGAGTTTTCTGCCTTCAAGCATAGCCGCAAACTGGAGATTTGCACAAAGGAGGCCACTCAGGAAACCGAGATGCAGCTTCGGGAAGGAACTTCGCCGCAGTTGAGTGGTGCTTTTTGCAAAGGGGAGGATAGGCAGCAGAGGAGTCCTTCTAAGAGAGGAAAAGCTTCTTGCAAGAAGAGGAAACGGGATGCTGAAGACCACGGAGATGATGGCAAGGACAGGTCCCACAGTGGCACCTCTGGCGTAAAGCGCAAGAGAACTAAAGAGGTAGCGGAGGGAAGCCGCTTCAAAAAACTGTGTGGTGCTAGTCAACAGCCAGGGCTCAGTGAATACGACTTTGATGATCAGGACATTGTTGAGGCACAAGACAAAAGTGGAACAGGCACCCCAGTTTGCTTTGAAAACCTCCTTGGGGAAGTCGATGGGGAGGAGTGTCCCAGACAGAGTGAGAGATCCAACAGTCTGGCCTGCAGGTATGTCCAGGGAGCTTTCTGGAGCTGGCGATTGTTGCTCCTCTTGCATGGCCAAGGAATAGCCTGGAGAGTTTCTGTTTAAGAGAAAAAGTGGCATCCTCGAAAAGTACAACTTAATCTAACATTTTCTCCTCTGTTTCGGTATGTGCTCATAAATTTGTACTAGAAAGTGAATGGTTTATGCAGTCCATCTCTCCTGATGTCCCTACCCTGATTTTGCATTCTACAAATTACTGTCACTTCTTGTTGTTGTTGTTGTTTAGTCGTTTAGTCGTGTCCGACTCTTCGTGACCCCATGGACCAGAGCACGCCAGGCACTCTTCCATTGCCTCCCGCAGTTTGGTCAGACTCATGTTTGTAGCTTCGAGAACACTGTCCAACCATCTCATCCTCTGTCGTCCCCTTCTCCTTCTGCCCTCCATCTTTCCCAACATCAGGGTCTTTTCCAGGGAGTCTTCTCTTCTCATGAGGTGGCCAAAGTATTGGAGCCTCAGCTTCACAATCTGTCCTTCCAGTGAGCACTCAGGGCTGATTTCCTACAGAATGGATGCATTTGATCTTCTTGCAGTCCATGGGACTCTCAAGAGTCTCCTCCAGCACCAGAATTCTGTCACATAAAATAGTCATTTCATGCAGTACCTTCCTACAGGGTTTCTCCGTGCTGACACCTTGCATGGTTTTGTTTTATTAACACTACAGTGTCATCCTTCCTTTTCCACTTTGAGGATGTATTACCCTCAAAGACTTGTGTTCACCTAGCGAGAGAGAGAGAAGAGAGATCTCAGAACCTTTTTGAGAAATACAGTCCCTTAGGGTCTTTAGGGGCTGGTGGGAATCAGGACTGCTTTGGTGCTTAAGTCTTTGTGCCTTTTTGCCAGTGACTGTTAAGGCCTGAGCAAGAGTACAACTAAACACGAGGCACCCTATTTTGAACCGTTACAATAAAGGGATCTTATCTCTTTCTAGACCACCACCAAAGAAGGATGGCAACTTTGTGCGAATCAATCTCAAGAATAAATCTCACGTGAAAGGGTACGCTTTGAGAGGGAGACAGCTTCGCAAGCAGGTAAATTGCCTCTTGACTCAGTGGTATTTACAGCCTGTAAAATAGAATGAATCGCATCTGAGTGGAACTTCCAACTGTTGAAGTAGCCTGTTTGCTCTGGAGGGAATTGAATTCAATTTTGTATTTAGTTTTACATGAAGAAGAATATTTATGTTTAAAACATTTTGGGAAATGACAGCTACTCTCAACGGTTTTGCCGTTTCTTCATTTGTTTGTGTGGGGTGGGTAGGTCTCTGCCTCATTGCACTTCAACATGGGTGGAGGCAGTGGCGTAGCGTGGGGGGTGCAGGGGGGGCCGGCCGCACCAGGCGCAACATCTGGGGGGGGTGCTCGCACTCGCAGCTCTCTGCCCCTACCTGGCTCACTCCCTCTCTCTCACTGCAGTGCTGGCTGTGCGAATCCAATCCGAGCCGCTGGGTCGCCGCCCACTGTGGAGGGTGGGGGTGCCAGGGGTGCGGTGCGGTGCGGAGAGAGAGCGAGGGACTATCGGGTTAGGGGGCGCAAATTACTTGCCTTGCCCCGGGTGCTGACAACCCACACTACGCCACTGGGTGGAGGCCACAGTTGTTACAGAATCGTAGAGTTGGAAGGTACCCCAAGGGTCATCTAGTCCAACCCCCGGCAGTGCAGGAATCTCAGCTAAAGCATCTGTCAGATGGCAAAGGTGGCTCACGAGTAACCAGGCAGGACTCCGACCTGTCTTTTACAGGTTTTATTTAGGTACAAAAACTATTTACAGTGCGGAACCCCAAAGTTCATATCTGCCTCAATCGCTAGCAGAATCGGGGAGTGCTTTCCTGGACCTCCCCCAACATAAAAGCCTTGTTACGCCCAGCCTTTCCCTTCCATCTTTGCGCTTTAGACCTCTGCGCAGGGTGGGAGACGGAAGGGGCGTGCTTCCCTCCTGGCCGGCTTGGCCAGGAGCGGTGCTGAGGCTCCCACCAGCATCCTCTGGTCCTTTCCCCTTTTTCCCCGCTGGAGGTGGGGCTTTCTCCACCGCAGGAAGAGGAACTGCTTTGCAAGGATTTCGGAGGTTCCCTGTAGCACAACTGCCCCTCTGCTTCCCGCCCCTGTTCTGATGGCAGTTCCCTGACAGCATCCATGACAGATGGCCATCCTGCCTCTGCTTAAAAACCTCCAAGGAAGGAGAGCCCAACACCTCTCATGGGCTTATGTATCAGTGTGTGGTTAGACAGTGAGTGGAGGTCTAAATTTATAGATCTCAGTACATGAAGGCACACCTCTTGGAGGTAAGAGATCACTAAAGCTGTGTGTGCTCCTGCAGCCTCTCACTCCTCCTGGTGGGCTGAGCTCTTCTGCCCCCTTTTCATTTCACTCCTCCTCGACTTGGGTGATGGGTGGGTGTGGCTCCAGCTCCTGAAAGGTGGCTGTTGATCCCTTCCCTTCAGGGCAGATGGAGCTATTCCCAGACTTCAGTGGCACCAGGGCTTGTGTGTCAGGGCAGGGCTTTGTGTGTCAGCCTAGGACCCTCGTACCTACTGGACCGCCTTTCCCGGTATGCCCCGAGGAGGACCTTAAGGTCCCTAAATAACAACACCCTAGAGCAGGCGTGTCAAACTCAAATTCATCGGGGGCCGCATCAGCAGTTTGGTCACCCTCAAAGGGCCGGTTGTATCTGTAGGACTTACAGTACAGGAGAGAAGGGTTCAGGCAGCCGTTGGATCTGTCACATCACAGGATGGCATGCGCTCAATATAAAAACAAGTGGAGGTTTCCTGAATGCATGTAAAGTGGAGGTTTCCTGTGTAGAACGGCCGGCGCCGCTAGAGGGCAGACGTTCTCTGGCTTGTAGGCTGCCGCGCATGCGCTGAAGAGGCGGCTTTCTTGTGTCAAAAAAAAAAAAGCGAGAATAAAAGGTGAAGGCTAGCGGCCAGCGGCGGCTACACGGGCCACATGACGAGGTCTGGCGGGCCGGATTCGGCCCGCGGGCCTTGTGTTTGACACCCGTGCCCTAGAGGTCCCGGGCCCTAAGGAAGTCAGATTAGCCTCAACCAGAGCCAGGGCCTTTTCAACACTGGCCCCAGCCTGGTGGAACGCTCTGTCTCATGAGACCAGGGCCCTGCAGGATCTGATTTCTTTCCGCAGGGCCTGTGAGACAGAGTTGTTCTGCCTGGCCTTTGGCTTGGAGTCAATTTGATTCTCTCCCCCTCTTTCTTTTTTCCTTTCTACTCCTGTGATGAGGCTGCATTTTAATGTTTTAATGTTGTATTTTAATCTTGTTTTTAAGTTGTATTCATTCAACTTGTTTTTATTATTGGTTGTTAGCCGCCTGAGCCCGGCCTTGGCTGGGGAGGGCGGGGTATAAATAAAATTAATTATTATTATTATTATTTGCCAAGCTCAGAAAGCCCATCAGAGAGGGGATGAGCTCATGACTTCCACCACAGGATAACTGGGGTGGGAGAACACTTTGGGGCACCCTCCTGCCAAATATTTGCTGACAGATTCCCCCACAAGCGGCTGGAGCCATCATCTGGGTCCTCGGCCAGCCCATGACTCACACAGCCTGATCACAACCTCCTGTAGTGATGCAAGAGAGGCATCCATTGACTTAGCCTGCGTCTTTTTGGTGTCTTGACAGGTATGGAAGCAGAAGTGGCAGAAAAAGGGGGAACAGTTTGGAGGAGGTGGCAGGCGCTTGGACCGAGGCTCTGACACCTGCTTCCGGTGTGGAGGACTTGGTCACTGGGCTTCCCAGTGCAAGGGGAGAGGTAAGGCCCCCTGGCTGTCATGGCCGGATAGACCAGGTACTGGCATGCTTTGCATTAAGAGAACAGAAGACCTGTCGAGTTTGTTTTGGATGGCTACAAAGACTCTCACAAAAAAGGAGAAGGAATCAGTTGCAGAGTTTGCACAACTTCCTGCAATGTCTACAAGTCCTCACTGCCCTTTTATTAGGAAAGCTGCCAGCAGAGTCTTGATCGGGCTGTCGAGCACAAAGACAAGTAAAAATTCCTCGTTGTAAACCAGTTGACCACTTTGTTGGGTTGACTCCATAAGATGTTTTTTATTATTAATCCTCAGGTGATTTTAGGTATGTTTTATCAGCTCTGGCCATTCCTTCGGTTTGGTTTGGATTTTTAAATTGACTGGAAACCCACCCCGAGACTGTGAGATGAAGGCTGGGATAGATAAAACCAATCAATCAATAATTGCCTTATTTGGAAAATGCTTTTTCACTGACCTTTTCATAAGGCCATGAAGGCTCCCTGAATTGTCCTGTGACATTGGAATGCTTTCTGAGGAAGACACTATTTCTGGCCATAGGATTAGCACATCTAGCAGATAATGACTGAATTTGTACATTAATATTAAACTCAAGGTTTAGTTTTGCATGTGTGAGCCTCAGGTTCTTCCCCATCCTCCACCTCAGCTGCAAGATGGAGCTTGGGAATTTTTGCTTCAGTTGTCAGCTAACCTTGGCTGCTAGTGATGTGTGGCTGGCGGTCTCTCATTAGTGGCATGTGATTGTTTAGTTAACCCAGCCAACTTCAAACTGTGGGTAGTATTCTTAGCTATGGTTCTAGTGAAACAGGCCAACACTTGCCACAGTTCCTGGTTGGGGCATAATAAGTCAGGCATCCCCAAACTCGGCCCTCCAGATGTTTTGGGACTACAACTCCCATCATCCCTAGCTAACAGGACCAGTGGTCAGGGGTGATGGGAATTGTAGTCCCAAAACATCTGGAGGCCCAAGTTTGGCCATGCCTGTAATAAGTCATTGTGCTTAGTTGAACGAGGAAGCTGAAACTTCTGGTCATCTTCCTGCAACTGCACCAAAGCCCAGGGCAACCTGGGCCATAGGCCAGTCCCTGGCCATCTTTGCAGAAGGAGGAGGAACCCAGTAGGCTGCCTTAGACCAGTACACTCAGTATTGCCCATACGTTGACTGGCAGCATCTCTTTAAGGTTTCAGGTGGGAGTCTTTCCCTGAGCTATTGGAGATGCCAGGGTTTGAACCTTTTGCTTGTAAAGCAAGGTGGGCTGGACTTTTTTTTGGCCCACGGGCCTCTTTTACCCTTTGTCAATATTTCAGGGGCCATATCCTGAAATGGCCACTCCATGTTCTTGCATGAAAACACAGGAACACAACCCCCTCCACCCGACTGAACTGTGCAAATGGGGTGAGGGGGGCTGGCATTGTCTGTCTTCCCTTGTCAAATAATCAAACTGATCAATAGGGAAAAGGTGATTTGCATCTGCACCAGTGTGCTGGGCTGTGCCTACCCCACTGCTACCAGAATTTGTGGTCTTGGTGGCGCTGTGGGTTAAACCACTGAGCCTAGGGCTTGCCAATCAGAAGGTCGGCGGTTTGAATCCCCACAATGGGGTGAGCTCCTGTTGCTCGGTCCCTGCTCCTGCCAACCTAGCAGTTCGAAAGCACACCAGTGCAAGTAGATAAATAGGTACCGCTCTGGCGGGAAGGTAAACGGCATTTCTGTGCGCTGCTCTGGTTCACCATAAGCGGCTTAGTCATGCTGGCCACATGACCTGGAAGCTGTACGCTGGCTCTCTCAGCCAGTAAAGCGAGATGAGCGCCGCAACCCCAGAGTCGATCACGACTGGACCTAATGGTCAGGGGTCCCTTTACCTTTTATGGTCAAAGCAATTGCTGTTTGGGGGGGCACAGCAGGCCCCTGAACTAGGGTTTACCACCCCTGATGTAAAGCACATGCTCTACTCCTGAGCTACAGCCTTTTCCCAAAGGGGAAGGCATTTTCCTTCCATTATTTTGATTGCTCCAAAGCAGCATTTCTTCTTCCTTTAGCTGCTACTGAGCAGCTCTCTGCTGCGGACCCCCAACTGAAGGGAGATGGCTCTGCTGCCGAAGAGGAGGTGCCACTGCTGACTTTGGAGGAAGTGGCTCAGATGACCAACACAGCCTACAGCAAGATCTCAGGTGAGAGCCAAAGGCTGCATCTGTAGCACCCTCCAGTCTGATGCTATGTGGTCTCAGATCAGGAAGAACTTGTCACAGGTCAGTTCCCGCTGTTCTATCAGGGGATTTTTCTGAAGGCAGATACAAGTACCATGATGAAGAAATAATCTGTGGCTTTCCTTGCAGCTGGTATAGAGGCTGCAGCTGGTGCAAAGACACTACGGTCCAGCTGGTATATTAATGAATAATAAAGATAATAATATTCATAACTTGTTGTTCGTCCCCCTCCTTCTTTGCCAGCAAAAAGTGAGAGCAGCCAAGGAGGCCTGAAGCAGCTTGCTCAGGAGGAAGAGGTTCACCTGTGTGTGCAGAGGCCCGTGTTCGAACTTCTCCCACCACCTCCGCCAACAGAACCTCTCTACAAACTGGGGCAGGACGGGAAAGTCAGAGGTAAGTTTCCAAAGGGTGCCTCTGCTGCCCCCTGAAGGCTGGTTGTCACCAGCCTCCATGCAGTGGTGAGGCAGAACTTACTGCAGAACGTGGTGCAGAATTTGTGCATCAGATCCCCAGTTAATGGCCCCAGTTAACAGTCGGTGTGAGGTTTTCCTAAAGTGCTTCTTGCCAGCTTTGTGAACATGTTTCACTCTCACTGATAAGGGGTTTTGCAGAATTTCTACCTAAGTCTCTTTCTCCTGATGCTTCTATGAGTGTGGAGTTGTTGCTGTGGAGGGGACGACAGGTCTTGCCCCTTTCTTGACTGGATCTCTGTTCCGTGTCTTATGCAGAGACCCCACCAGAAGTGTTGGAAGCACTGGCTGAGTTGGGTTATGCCACCTTCCGGCCAGGACAGGAAACAGCCATTATGCGGATACTCTCAGGTGAGAAGGGTTGTTTGCAGGAAACTTCCTCATCTTGCAGGAAATGCAGAGTGAAAAAAAAGGATGCAGTTCACTTGCATGTGCAGCCAAGCAATTGTTGCTGGTGACCAGATGTGGTCTTGCTGCATCCTTTACTAACCCTGTGGCCTCCAGATGTTTTGAACTACAGTATGGCTGTGCCGACTAGGCTGATGGCAGTTATAGTCCAAGAGACCAGGAGGGCACTAGGCGGGGGAAGACTGTTGCTAGATGCAACTTCCAAGGAATGACCAAGCAACACTGAAGGGCTGAATTTATATAGGAGCTGGTTGATATGGAGAGAAGTGTTGCAGCAACGGTACCAGCTGCTTAAGGGGTTATGCATTAATGTTAGCACCTTGAATTGAGTCCAATAACATGGAGTCATCAAATTGTATGACTTCCCCTGCATGCAAAGATAGGCTCCAGTGGATTGAGTGGATGAGACCGAGAGCGGCTCCAACAGTCAAGAAGGCAGTTCCTGCTCATGCTGTAGAGATGAGTGAGGGGCAGATAGGACTCATCAACCTAGGAAGGTAGCCCATTTAGGAGAAGGGAAACTGATCCTGAACATCCGCTGCCTTGCGGGATATCTTCAGGAGAAGAAAAGGCTAAAGACTAAACCCTTCACAAATGCGGAGCTGAGTCCCTAAGGCAGTTGGATAATGTCTTGTACTCCTCCTTCTGGCAACTCCTGCAGCCCAGCTGGTTCTAAATGTCTTGCTTTGCTTTCCTTTGGACCCCATCAATGAGTCCGAGAGGGGGGTCTTGTCGTCTGGGCAGCCCAGGACCTCCAGACACACAGCCCAGGCTTGTGCACCGAGGTGGTTTGACTTCATCCCCATACGCACAGTCCATTGTCACTTGAACAGATGGATGCCAACAGCAATATAATTTTATACTTGGAAGGGACTCAAAGGATCATCTGGTCCAAGCCCCTGCAGTGCAGGAATCACTGCTATAGGCAGCCCGTGCAGATTGCTGCTGCTGCTCTTAATTCTGCCACTTCTCTAGGGCTCTCTACGCTGGTGGTCCTGTCCACAGGAATGGGGAAATCTCTCTGTTACCAGCTCCCTGCGTACCTGTACAGCAAGAGGTCCAAATGCATCACCTTGGTGATCTCACCATTGGTATCGCTGATGGATGACCAAGTAAGTTTGCTGGTGCTTTTGGATTTGGAGGCTGGTGTCATTTCCTTGCTTGTGGTCCAGGGATTTGGGGGGGGGGGGGAGCTCTCCAAGCTCTAGTAGAGCCAGTGTGGTGTAGTGGTTAAGAGCGGTAGACTCGTAATCTGGTGAACTGGGTTCGCGTCTCCGCTTCTCCACATGCAGCTGCTGGGTCACCTTGGGTCAGTCACACTTCTCTGAGGTCTCTCAGCCCCACTCACCTCACAGAGTGTTTGTAGTGGGGGAGGAAGGGAAAGGAGATTGTTAGCCACTTGGAGACTCCTTTGGGTAGTGATAAAGCGGGATATCAAATCCAAAATCAAATCCAAACTCTTCTGTAGATTTAGGAACACAGGGAACCTGCCTTATATCCAAAGCAGACCATAGGTCCATCTAGCCGATTTCCGTACACCCATGTACAGCCCAAGTCTTCAGCGCCTGCATGGGCTGGGTGTCGGGAGACCTTCTCCGACCTTCCGATCACAGGAACGCAGGAACAGCAGCACAGCATTCCCGAGGAATAGGTCCTGGTGCAGTGGACCCACATTTGCTGATGTGAGCACCTCAAAAGCAGCAGAGGGACGGAAGCAAAGCTGTGGAGGTTTCGTTGCATACCTAATTTATTTCTACTGATTAAACAAATGAAAGAACATAACAAACATGTACGAGAGATACAGCGATCTCATACTGCCACCTCGTCTCTAGACAGAGCAAAGAAAACCCAACACAGTACTAGGGACAGAAGTCTGGAAGAGTCATTCTGCCCCCTCCTTTCTCACAGACAGAAAGTAAAACAAACATGATCTGGTGATCCTTGCAATGAGAGGGATGAAAATACTGACATCCCAGGGTTGTCTTCAAAGACTGGCAGTGGCTCTCCTGGTTTATAGCCCTCCCTGGGGCCTTCTGCATTCAACCTCCACCATCCAGACCTTAGCAGTGTGCTTCTGGTCTTCTGCTGTGATTGCTTTGAACTGTGACAGCGGAGGAGCAAGGCCTCAGCTGGACACGCGGGCAGCTCTTGTCTATTTTCAATAGAGGACATTGAACAAACCAATTTTTGACACAAACCTGCTTTTCAAGTCTTTATTATTATTATTATTATTTAATGAATTTATATACTGCCTTATACCTGGAGGTCTCCGGGTGGTTCACAGAACAAAATCAAAATATAAAGCCACAAAGTATATAATCAAAATAAAAACAATAACTCAATTTCAATAAAGTAACTTTTCTTGGTCAATTTTTAGAAGTCGTAATGGCAGGTAGCAGAGCTGGGAAAGACTCTCTATCTGAGTTGCTGCCCGTGAGAGGAGGTAATGCAGTCATACCTCGGGTTGAAGTAGCTTTGGGTTAAGCATTTTTGGGTTGCGCTCCGCGGCGACCTGGAAGTAATGGAGCACGTTACTTCCAGGTTTTGCTGCATGTGCAGATGCTCAAAATGACGTCACGCACATGCGCAGAAGCGGTGAATCGCAACCCGCGCACGCAGGTTGCATTTGCTTCAGGATGCGAACAGGGCTCCGGAACGGCTCCCATTCACATCCAGAGGTACCACTGTATTCAGGTAGATGGACTCTCTGGCCTGGAGTTCACATGCAGCGGTATATCTGTAAGAACAAATGTCGAGTTCAGCTTCTAAGAATAGAATTTTGAATTATTTGCAAGCAGGTTCCCTTGAAAAGGTTTCCAACTCCACTCTAACTCAATCCTGGTTATTAAGCAATAAATTAGATCCCCTCCCTGCAAATCATTTCTCTCCCCCAACAAGTTTTTGGATGGCATGACCCTAGCATCAGGGAATGAACATATTTCACCCCCTAGGGGGAAGTTACAGAGGAGGGACAGCTTGCAAGGAGGTGGCTCTGGGAGCCTCAGTGTGGCTGGAGGGGATCCCCATCTCTTTTGACTGTTCTGTGTCCACCATTGGTTCTTCCTTCAGTGACACACATTTTGTGCTTCCTTTGCAGGTCTCTGGCCTTCCCCAGTGCCTGAAAGCCGTCTGCATACACTCGAACATGTCCAAGACCCAGAGAGAGGCTGCTATGGACAGGGTGAGGCGACTGATGTAGAGGCTACGTAATCCTTGATGTACCGTATTTTTCGCACCATAGGGCGCACCGGACCATAGGGCGCACCCAGTTTTTAGGGGGGGAAATCAAGAAAAAAAAATATTCCCCCCCCCCAGCCCCAAAGAGCAGCGTACAGGCTGCACACAACCTCTCCCTGCCAGAGGGGTTGCGCGCAGCTATGGAACAAGCCAAGGCAGCGAGCGGGATGGATCCCGCTCGCTGTTTTGGCTTCCCCTTTAGCCCCGTGCAGCCTCTACCTCCTGGGAGAGGCTGCGTGGGGCTAAAGAATCCATAGCCCCATGCAGCCTCTCCTTGCCGGGAGACGCTGCGCAGGGCTGAAGAAGCCATAGCCCCGTGCAGCCTCTCCGTGCGGAGGGGTTGCGCGCAGCTATGGAAGAAGGCAAGGCAGCGAGTGGGATGGATCCCGCTCGCTGTTTTGGCTTCCCCTTTAGCCCCATGCAGCCTCTCCTTGCCGGGAGACGCTGCGCAGGGCTAAAGAAGCCATAGCCCCGTGCAGCCTCTCCCTGCCGGAGGGGTTGCGCGCGGCTATGGCACAAGCCTGCATTCGCTCCATAGGACGCACACACATTTCCCCTCAATTTTTGGAGGGGAAAAACTGCGTCCAATAGAGCGAAAAATACGGTAACTGCAAAATTCTAGGGTGTCCTGGGCTCCTTCCAGCCTCCGGTTTGCAACTTGTAAATAGTAATAAATTTGTATCATGCTGTCAAATGCTCAAAGCACAACATGCCTTTAAAAAAAAATAAATAAATTTTATTTAACATAATTATTACAAAATACAAGCAAAATACATACAAATACATACATATATTTTTCAGATAAGCACACATATATAAAAAAACAAAAAAGAGAAAGGAAAGAGGGGGGAAGAAAAAGAAAAATTGGAAGAATTTCTTCCAAATTTATTCTACAAATATCTCAATAATAAAATTTCATTGATTGACTTCCATCGCTTACCCTGCACTTCCTATATACATTTTAAGCAAATTTCTATCTGTTATTCTGTATTTTTCCCATACAATCTCATACAAATATTCTAATCAATACCTGTAGTCTTTACAACAACCCTGTGGGGCAAGTCAGCATTGTAAGACTTTTTGAATTATTTTAAAAGAAATGTTAAAATTGGAAATGATGGCTCACGACTTGCCGGCTTTCCATGCTTGCAGGTCAAGGCCAGGAAGGTTCATGTGCTCCTTCTGTCCCCCGAGGCCTTGGTTGGGGGAGGCGCCTCGGCCTCCAGTTGCCTCCCACCAGCAGATCAGCTGCCCCCAGTAGCTTTTGCCTGCATCGATGAAGCACACTGCGTCTCAGAGTGGTCCCACAATTTCCGCCCTTGTTACCTGCGCCTCTGTAAGGTATGGAATCTGTGTGCACAGAAGCAAGATGCGACACAGGTGTGTGCATGAGGAACACCTGCAAGCAGCAGAGCCTGGCTAGGTAACACCTTCTCTCCGGCAGGTTCTTCGGGACCGCTTGGGCGTGCGCTGCTTCTTGGGCCTCACAGCCACCGCCACCCTCTCCACTGCGCGGGATGTGGCTCATCACTTGGGCATCACAGAGGCCAAGGGGATTGCTGTGCGTTCTGCTGCTGTCCCTCCAAACTTACATCTCTCTGTCTCTGCAGACAGAGACAAGGACCAGGTGAGTCTGGGGCCCGACTTGCTGCCTTTCACTACTGTGTGGGAGAGGCTCCATCTTCAGAAGTCTTTCTGGTTGCTGATTTCCAACTGTATGTTGTGGAGTCTGGGGAGTGTTGTAAACAAAATCTGCCCTTTTTCCCTTATGGGGTATCCAAGAGCCCATATAGAGTCTTTACGTAAGTTCCCTATCGGTAGGAGAAAATAACAGAGGCCAACCAGAGAATGTTGTTGTTGTTTAGTCGTTTAGTTGTGCCTGACTCTTTGTGACCCCATGGACCAGAGCACGCCAGGCACTCCTGTCTTCCACTGCCTCCCTCAGTTTGGTCAAACTCATGCTGGTAGCTTCAAGAACACTGTCCAACCATCTCATCCTCTGTTGTCCCCTTCTCCTTGTGCCCTCCATCTTTCCCAACATCAGGGTCTTTTCCAGGCAGTCTTCTCTTCTCATGAGGTGGCCAAAGTCTTGGAGCCTCAGCTTCAGGATCTGTCCTTCCAGAATGGAGAGGTTTGAGCTTCTTGCAGTCCATGGGACTCTCAAGAGTCTCCTCCAGCACCATAATTCAAAAGCATCCATTCTTCGGCGATCAGCCTTCTTTATGGTCCAGCTCTCACTTCCATACATCACTACTGGGAAAACCATAGCTTGAACTATACGGACCTTTGTTGGCAAGGTGATGCCTCTGCTTTCTTTTCTTTCCTTTTTTTTTTTTAAAAGCAGAGACAACCAGAGAATATTGAGAAGCAAAGCAGTTAGTAAGCCTTATCTTCATTGATCTGTTGCAACAGGGTCCTCACTCACCACAATGCAGGAGGGAGGAGGAACCCAGAACAATGGCGCGCAAGGCCTTATATAGACTTTTGAAATTGCCACCCTGTAGATCAAGACCCCCAGACACATCATACCTACATCACAGAAAAGGCGGTCTAAAACAGAAATTTGAATGTTGTTTTTCTCCTGTCGTTGTTTATCTCCTGTCTGGCAGGTTACTTGATTGGATACCCTGCTTACTTGATTGGATTGCCCGGAGAGCCTGGCCAGTCTTTTGTAATGATCAATACTTAGTTCCTGGGCCAGGTCACAGGCTCACACCCTATTCATATCTTAAATGTGCCCTTAAGACAGGATTTGTGAAGGGAAAAGACAATGGGGAGGTTTCCCACTTTGACCTTGCAGAGAAATCATTTGCTCAGTTTGGGAATCAAAATGGTTTCAGGTCAGTCTTCCTGTGCTGATCTATGTACGTGCTTGGTTGGTACACTTATGAACATTTAACATATACCTAAGATCTCAAAATTCCTATCACATCCCTCGTCTCTCCGGTGATGGTCTTTTGGCATTCCCTTCTTCCACACTGAACAACGCACGTCGCTTTCCCTTGAGCATCTAGGGAGGCAGTCCTGTACCTCAAAGTTGCCAACTTTGTTCTGATTCCAGGCCCTGGTGAACTTGCTGCAAGGGGAGAGGTTTGGGAGCCTAGACTCGGTCATAGTTTACTGCACACGCCGCGAGGAGACGGCCCGGATCGCAGCCCTTATCCGCACGTGCCTCCAGGGCGTGAAGCTCAGAGAACCCCCCAGTGCTGAGGAGCAGGTGGAGAACAGCAGCAGCAGCAGCCTTGCTAGCAAGAGGAAGAAAGCAAAAGGTGGTGGTCACTGGCTTGGCTGGTTGTTGGGAGAGGCAGGCTGGGAAATGGTGGGCTCAGAAAACAGGAGAGCTGGTGGTTTTTTCCTTTCAGTTCTCAGGCCAAATTGAAAATGCATTTATTTATAGCCGGCTCCATTCCAGAGGCCTGAAGTGTGTCATAATAATTTTTTTAAACCTGTAAAAATATAACTAAAATTACTGGGAACCACCTAAATTCCAGCTACACAGTGGCTACCTTGCACTTAACCCCAAGCTTCAGAGTCAACCAAAAAGAAAAACAGTGTAGCATGTCCCAAGGAGATACTCAGGCACACACTGAGAAACTGAAATATCCATGCACCCCAGGAATCCTTGCAATGTGGCAGAGAACTCAGGGATGCTCTCTCAGGTTACTCACACTAGCAGCCTTTAACAGCAGCACAACCTGCAGAAATTAAACAGGGCAACTTCATGTTCCGCCAGGCCTTTGGTCAGGGCTCAGCCTGACTCCCCTTTTGTTTTTGTATAAGAACTCCTATGAAAGAGGCCTCCCGGCATTCTCACAGGCCTAAATGAGTACCTAAATGAGTGCCTAAATGAATATCTCAAAAGTCAAGGTTTGAGGACAGAAATCTGGCTGAGTCTGGAATAACCTTGTGAAGTGAAAGGATAAGAAAGAGGGATTTATATCCAGATGTTAGGATAGAGATGATAAGGAAAACAGGAAGACACAATGAGAGGTAAAGGAGGTCTGTGGGATTGGTGGAAGTCAATGTCTTGTTGTTTTAGTGTTTATAGTATTAACTTGTAAGATATGGATTTGGTTTTTTTGGTTGTTGTTTTTTAGTTGTTGCTTTCTTTAGTTTTCAAATGTTGGTTTTTGTGTGTTGTGTATTGTTATTTTTTGATATTTTTCGTGTTGTTGTTGTGTGGAAAATACTAATAAAATTTATTTATTAAAAATAAAAATTAAAAAAATATATGAAAAAGGCCTCCCAGCATTCTCACAGGCCCATATAAAATCACCGTAAACAGTTGGGCCCATGAGCACTTACTGACCCCAACCCTAACCCTGCGGAAAGCCATCTAATTAGACTTTGATTTGATTTTGACCTGTTTTTAGGAGGTAATTTAATTATTGTTTGATTTTCTACGAATGTTATATATTTGATGTTAGCTGCCCTAAGCCCATCTTCGGCCGGGGAGGGCGGGATAGAAAAAAAAGTTTATTATTATGTTATTAAAAAATAAAATAAAAATTTGTGCTGCCATCGGGAGCTGCATCCGTTGGATTTCTCCAGAAAGAAGCTGCAGTTCCCAGTGCTGGAGAGCAGTTCTTGCTGGGGCGGGCGGGGTATAAATAAAAATATTATTATTTTTATTATTATTTATTATTCTGCACCGAAAGCCTCAGAGCCCTGTCAAGTGAGCCTTGCTCCTGTTCACTCTCTTTTTAATCCCATTTCCTCGTAGCCAAAAAGAGCATCCGCCGCCCCCTGAAGTGGATTGCCGAAGCCTACCACGCCGGCATGTCTGCCGCTGAGCGCCGCCGGGTGCAGAACAACTTCATGTCCGGACAGCTGCGGGTGGTGGTGGCCACGGTGGCCTTTGGCATGGGGCTGGACAAGTCCGACGTGCGGGGCGTGGTGCACTACAACATGCCCAAGAACTTTGAGAGCTACGTGCAGGAGATTGGGAGGGCGGGCAGAGATGGCAAACCAGCCCAATGCCACCTCTTCCTGCACCCAGAGGTAAGGCCTGCTGGACTCTGCTCGGGTTGTGTCATGGGTTTGTTGAGCCCTTCGCAATAAATCCCTCTGCTCAGTCAGAGATATACCGTATTTTTCGCTCCATAAGATGCACTTTTTTCTTCCTAAAAAGTAAGGGGAAATATCTGAGCGTCTTATGGAGCGAACGTGTGGTCCCTGGAGCCAAATTCACCATCAGATCACATAGCATGTCCATGGCTACAGCCTGCACCAAAAAAATCACGCATCCACTGTTTCATGGGGCTGCAATGGCGCAAAAATATGGTTACAAAGCACGGATCCACATGGATCCTCAGGATTTTTGCATTGGGTCACCCCGAATTCACCGTCAAATCACATGTCATGTCTGTGGCCACAGCATGAACCACAAAAATCACACCTCCACTGTTTCGTTCAGAATATTTGTTTTCTTGTTTTCCTTCTCTAAGAACTAGGTGCGTCTTATGGACAGATGCATCTTATGGAGCAAACAATACAGTATTTACAGTTTTTATTGTACATTATTTACAAGGTACAGAGCATCGCTTCAAGCATCTGAATCATCCATAGCAGATCCCGGGAGTGGGAACTTCTTGCTCCTCCTCCAGCAAATCAGCTTGGGCAATCCCAAACGCCTCCGTTGTTCCCGGCGTTGTAATCCCCTCCTGTCCTGAGCTGGCGGAACAGGTCTTCCCTCCTCTCCCTCCGTGCCTGAGCTGGTAGAGATGTGTCGATGCTCGTTAAAACCGGGAGCCTTCCCCCTTGCTCTCCACCCTCTTCCAGTGCTGCCTCTTCTACCAGCCCGTCTCTCTCCCCCTCTTTCGACTCTGGAGCCTTCCCTGCCAGCTCCGTAACAGGTTGATCCTTGTGGGAGTTCCTGCCTGGTGGCAGCAGCTCCTGCAGTCTGTCTCCTTTCCCCCTGCTCCTACAAAGTCACACGGCTGGCCTTCTCTCTCCCTAGGGTGAGGATTTGCACGAGCTGAGACGGCACATCTACGCTGACACGGTTGACTTCTTCACTGTGAAGAGGCTCGTACAGAAGGTTTTCCCTTCCTGCAAGTGCCGGGAGCTGCATGAGAAACAGCAGGAGCTCAGCAAGGTCAGGAGAGAGAGTGGAGAGGAGAACAGAGATCTCTTGGGGTGGCGTTGCTCTCCCTGTTAGCCTGCAGGGTCAAAAGTGGTGGTCGCCACCGCCGCTTCTTCATTTGCAGTATCTATTGCCCACTGTTTGAATGTTTTCAATCCCAGAGCAGGGCACAAAGCAATAAAAGTAAGTAGTGGAAAACAATATACAAAAACTACAAACTCATATAAAGAGGATCAATAAACAACTCAGTTCTGTCATAGGGTAAACAAGCAAAATTGCAACACCAGAAGTTAACATTTCCTCTTTAATGAAGTGCAGGCCTCAAGGCCAGGTAAAGGTAAAGGGACCCCGACCATTAGGTCCATTCACAGACGACTCTGGGGTTGCAGTGCTCATCTCGCTTTATTGGCCGAGGGAGCTGGCATACAGCTTCCGGGTCATGTGGCCAGCATGACTAAGCCGCTTCTGGTAAACCAGAGCAGCGTACGGAAATGCCGTTTAGCTTCCTGCCAGAGTGGTACCTATTTATGTACTTGCACTTTGACATGCTTTCGAACTGCTAGGTTGGCAGGAGCAGGGACCAAGCTACGGGAGCTCACCCCGTTGCAGGGATTCGAACCGCTGACCTTCTGATCGGCAAGCCCTAGGCTCTGTGGTTTAATCCACAGCGCCACCTGCAAGGTCAGGTAGTGACGTGCAAATAGGTTTGCTGGCTTCCCTCATCTCTTTTTACCAGCTAGCACAGACTGCATTCAGGGTCCTCCAAGGTCTTGTGAATATACTAGCCGATTCTGGGACTGTGGCTGTGTAAAGAGCGCTCTAACATCCCTGCATTGCTGACTCCTAGCCTTTCCCCCCAAGGCACCCTGAAAAACTGCTTCTCTGGGCCTGCAAAGCGCAGCCCACATAACCATCTAGCTCTAAATCTCCTGTGGACCCATTCAGAACAGGGTCATAGAACTGTAGAGTCGGAAGGAGTGCAAGGGGTCATCTGGTCCAACCCCCTGCAAAAGTGAGGGTGCTGTTGCTGCTACCTATCAGTGCAATGCCCGCATATGTGGTAGGTGGATCTGGCTGAGTCAACCATGTTTTGGATCTGCTAGCCTGGTCCCCATAGGCTAACTCTGTTTGTTTATATTGCTGTTCTACAAGGATATCTTATCAGCATTTTTCTGTGCTGCTTTAAAGATGTGCCTTTGTAAAGATGTGCCTTTGTAAAATGGTATTTTTGTACTTATTTCTGATGTTTTTATGATGCTGCAAACCACTCGGAGGTGGTTTCTTCCAAGTATGGTTGGGTACATAACTTACCTAGAAAAATGAATGGCTCTCATGACTAGGAGGGTCAGTAGAGTCCCTGAGGTTCTTTCTTTCTTTTTTTAATAATATAAATTTTATTAGTATTTTCCACACAACAACAACACAAAAAATATCGAAACATAACAATACACAAAAACCAACATTAAAAAAAACAACAAATCCATATCTTACAAGTTACTAATATAAACACTAAAAAGAAAAACATTGACTTCACCAATCCCACAGCACCTCCTTTATCTCTCATTGTGTCTTCCTGTTTTCCTTATCATCTCTATCCTATCTAGATATAAATCCCTCTTTCTTATCCTTTCGCTTCACAAGGTTATTCCAGACTCAGCCAGATTTCTGTCCTCGAACCTTGACTTTTGAGGTATTCATTTAGGCACTCCCATTCTTTTTTTACTTCACTTTTTGGTTTTTGTCTTATTATGTCTGTCAATTTGGCTAATTCTAAGTATTCTGAAAGCTTACATAGCCACTCTCCCCTAGTGGGTAACTGATTCCCTTTCCAGTACTTAGCCACCAGGATTCTTGCTGCAGATGTCGCGTATAAGAAAAATTTAGTTTTGTCTTTTAGAATATCATCATTTAAAATTCCTAAAAGGAATGCCTCTGGCCTTTTACTATATGATATTCTTAGTATTTTCTTTATTGCTTCGTGGATCGTGGAGTCCCTGAGGTTCAGTGAGAGCTGCCAGTCCAAGTTAGGAGGGACTCTGCTCCAATTTTTGTGGTTCTGTTGGGGACAGAGAAGCGTTCTCCACATCCGAATTCTAGTTGAGATTCCTGCATTGCAGGGGGTTGGACTAGCGTCCCGTCCAACTCTGCAGTTCTATGCTTCTATGAATTCAGCATGCAACCCCCTAGCCCCAGGGTAGGATAAGCAACCAGATGGCATCATGGTGCACAGGACAGTTCTTGTCTCCTGGAGGAAGAAGTGCCTCCCTTGTCATTAGGAAGAATCACAGAATGGTACCTTTGGAAGGGACCTCAAGGGTCATCCAGTCCAACCCCCTGCAATGCAGGAATTGCAACTGAAGCATTTATGGCAGTCGGCCATCCAACTTCTGCGTTAAAACCTCCAAGGAAGGAGAGTCCACCAGCTCCAGAGGGAGTCCTTTCCTCTGTCGAAGAGCTCTTGCCATCAGAGAGGTCTTTGTAATGTTCAGTCGGAATCTCCTTTCTTGTCATTTGAATCCGTTTGTGGCCCCTTCCTTTCCCTGCTGTCTGCCTGCCGTTGGTCTCTCCTGTGTGCAGTAAAGACACTTTTTGTATTTACAGGACTGCCTCTCCTGTTCTGTCCTGCAGAGGACCTTAAGGCCTTCTCAGCAATAGCTCCGACCTGGTGGAATGCTCTGTCCCATGAGACCAGGGCCCTGCAGGATTTAACCTCCTTCCGCAAGGCCTGTAAGACAGAGCTATTCACCTGGCTTTCAATTTGAACTTAGCCTGATCTTTTATTCCCCTTCCTTCCCTCCCTCTCCTCTTTTTATGAAGATTCCCCGCTCTGGGATCCCACAGCTACTTCTCCCCTGGTCCCCTCGCTGGCCCAAATAGGACTAATTTAGCCAGCTAGCCCTGGTGATCATCTAATGTTTATTGGATGGATTTCCCCCCTCAATTGATTTTTGAATTCTGAATTTATTGTTATTCACATTTTGTACGGTATTTTATGCTGTTTTTTTGTTGCATCAATGAAGTGTTTTAAATTTGTTGTTAGCCGCCCTGAGCCCAGTTTTCTGAACCGGGAAGGGAGGGGTATAAATAAAAAATTATATTATTATTATTATTTTCACATCTAGGGCGGTGAAGTGGGTGATGCAGAGATGTTGGCTGCCTTGGAAGGGAGCGGCGAGGAGCAGCCTGATTCAGGCGACAGCCGTCCTCGGGTCTGTTACAAGCACGAGCGAGCTATCCCCATTCAGCAAACTGTGGAGGCCCTGGACTTCCGAGAGGAAGGTGAGGAGGCCAGACCGGTGGTTAACTTCCTGCTCCCAAAGGAGGACGAGGACAGGGCCAGCCCCTGCCCCACAGCTGCTGAGCCATCCCTTGCCCTGTGTCTTTGTTGTTGTTGTTGTTTTTTTATATTTATTAACATTTCAAAAGAAAAAGATCACATCAATAAAAAAATTAACAATAAAAAGGAAAGATACAAAATACAAAGTACAAAAAAGAAAAAAACAGCCAAAAACAATTCCATCTTTTCATCACTTCTTTTACATTTACTTGTTTCCCGGACCTCCTCATACCTCCCTCTTTTGTATTCCAATTCAGTTTGTTAGTCCAGCAATTCCTTTCCCTCCTTTTTAATCCTGATCTTTAATCTTAATATATTATAACATTAAATTTTTACCTATTAAAACCAATTTTTCCATATTCTTTTATACCATTACCGCTAGAAACCGCTTAACTTCAATCCGTCATCATTCTAACATTCATTAATTTTACAATATTTCTGTAAGTAGTCTTTAAATTTCTTCCAATCTTCTTCCACCGTCTCTTCTCCCTGGTCTCGGATTCTGCCAGTCATTTCCGCCAATTCCATATAGTCCATCATTTTCATCTGCCATTCCTCCAGTGTGGGTAGATCTTGTGTCTTCCAATGCTTTGCAATAAGTATTCTTGCTGTTGCCCTGTGTCTTTGCTGGTGGCTGCCCAGCTTCCTTCTCTTGCTGGTTGTGAGCCTTTGGCACACTCATGCACAAAGATGTACTTAGCGAAGTGGGGAACTGAACCACAGTCTTTCCCAGGTCCTTGTCATTTAATCCCCACAACAGCAACCACCCTGTGAGGTGGGTTAGGGTGAGACTCAATGACTGGCCCAAGGCCACCACCCAGTTAGCTTCATGACAGAGTGGGGATTTGAAACATGGTCTCTCCCAGGTGCTCTAACCACTGCACAACACTGCCTCTATTTAGGCCACAGCCTAGGACCCTCGTACCTACGGGACCGCCTCTCCCGGTATGCCCCCACAGAGAGCCAGTATGCTGTAGTGTAGTGGTTAAGAGCGGTAATCTCGTAATCTGGGGAACCGGGTTCGTGTCTCCGCTCCTCCACATGCAGCTGCTGGGTGACCTTGGGCCAGTCACACTTCTCTGAGGTCTCTCAGCCCCACTCAGCTCACAGAGTGTTTGTAGTGGGGGAGGAAGGGAAAGGAGAATGTTAGCCGCTTTGAGACTCCTTAAAGGGAGTGAAAGGCGGGATATCAAATCCAAACTCTTCTTCTTCTTCAAGGTCCATAAATAGCAACACCCTAGTGGTCCCGGGCCCTAAGGAAGTCAGATTAGCCTCAACCAGAGCCAGGGCCTTTTCAACACTGGCTCCGGCCAGGTGGAACGCTCTGTCTCATGAGACCAGGGCCCTGCGGGATCTGATTTCTTTCTGCAGGGCCTGTGAGACAGAGTTGTTCCGCCTGGCCTTCGGTTTGGAGTCAAGCTGATTCCCTCCCCCTCTTTCTTTTTTCTTTTTCCTTTCTCCTGTGATGAGGCTGCATTTTAATATTTTATTGTTTCAATATTTTAATGTATTTTAATCTTGTTTTTAAGTTGTATTCATTCAACTTGTTTTTATTATTGCTTGTTAGCCGCCCTGAGCCCGGCCTTGGCTGGGGAGGGCGGGGTATAAATAAAAGTTGCTATTATTATTATCACACAGGGGTTAATTGGGGCTTGGAAGGAGTCCCTGGGTGTCTGCCCTTTTCCATGGGCCCCCAGGGGTTAGGGGCCCCCTTGCCCTGGGCCAGGTGGAGCTCCTCTCAAAGTTGGCCCACAATGCCTCTCCCTCATTGTAAAATGGGGGGGGGGGGAGACTGTGTTTTTATGTCAAACTTAAATGAACACCGGCTCTGATTCCTTTGCAAACTGATGGCATAAAAAATGGGGTTTTGTTTGGAGTGAAATAGCTCAGTTAGCAGCGCATGATACCCTTAATCTTGGGGTCGTGGCTTCAAGTCTGATGTTGGGCCAAACATTCCCTGGGTATTGCAGGGGGTGGACCAGATGACGCTTGGAATCATTTCTATGATTCTATGAAAGGCTTTCCACCAGAGACGGATGCACAGCAGCAGCAGATGCCCCCTCCAGCTTGAGAGTTTTCTTCTTTCTCCGTTCAGGTATAGAGACGCTTCTGTGCTACCTGGAATTGCACCCCCGCCAGTGGGTGGAGCTCCTGCACCCCACCTTCTCTTCCTGCCGGGTGGTCTGCTACAGTGGCCCCCAGCAGCTGCGGACAGTGGCTCAAAGGTACGGAGGGGAAGCTGGCTTCTGGTTGGGGACAGAGGGTGGCGCTTGGGGGGGAACTGTCATCGCGCCACTCCCTGGTGTGTGGAGTGCCGCAGGGTGCGATACTCTCCCCGATGCTTTTCAACATCTTTATGTGCCCCCTCGCCCAGCTTGTCCAGAGTTTTCAGTTGGGCTGCCATCAGCATGCTGATGACACCCAACTCTATCTGTTGATGGATGGCCATCTTGACTCAGCCCCAAACACACTGATCAGATGTTTGGGAGCTGTGGCTGGATGGTTACGTGGGAGCCGGTTGAAGTTAAATCCTTCGAAGACAGAGGTCCTTTGGCTGGGTTGGGACGATATGGGATTGGGGGGGCAACTCCCATCTCTTGCGGGGGTGCAGTTAGTGCCAGCACCGCCCGTTAAGAGTTTGGGTGTAATCTTTGACACCTCCCTTTCCATGGAGGTGCAGATTGCAGCTATAACAAAGCCGGCATTTTTTCATCTCTGCCAAGCTAAGCAGTTGGCTCCTTACCTCTCTCACCTTGACCTAACCACTGTGATCCACGCGAAGGTCACCTCCAGACTGGATTATTGTAACTCGCTCTACATGGGGCTGCCCGTGAGACTGACCCAGAAACTCCAGCAGGTGCAGAATGCTGCGGCCAGACTCCTTACGGGGTCCTCGCTGTGGGGTCACATTCACCCAGTGCTCTACCAGCTGCACTGGCTCCCGGTGGAGTACAGGATCAGGTTTAAGGTGCTGGTTTTAACCTTTAAAGCCCTATACGGCCTAGGACCCTCATACCTACAGGACCGCCTCTCCTGGTATGTCCCACGGAGGACCTTATGGTCCTCAAACAAAAACACCTTGGAGGTCCCGGGCTACAGGGAGGTTAGGCTGGCCTCAACCAGAGCCAGGGCTTTTTCGGCCGTGGCCCCGATCTGGTGGAACGCTCTGTCACTAGAGACCAGGGCCCTGCGGGACTTGACATCTTTCCGCAGGGCCTGCAAGCCGGAGCTGTTCCACCAGGCCTTTGGCCGAGGCACAGTCTGACCCCCTCCTTTGGTAATTCTTCACAGAACTCTAGCCCAATGGTTGCCATCAATTTGATTTGAACTGATTTTATAATGAATTGATTTTAGAATGCTGTATTATTTTACTGTTGTTAGCCGCTCTGAGCCCGGCTTCAGCTGGGGGGTGGGATGGGATATAAAAAAAATGTTGTTGTTGTTGTTGTTGCTCTGAGCTGAGACCTGGGGGAAACTGAGCATTGGGAAATGATGGCATGTGGATAAGCTTCTAAGGGACCCAGAAAGAACCCAAGGGAAGAGTCTGGATTATTTGGGGGGGGGTACCTGTTGTGACCAGGGTCGCATGACACCCTCAGCCTTAAAGCAAACCTGAGGATTTTGTTGCCTGGTTGAAGGAGTCAAGTAAAGCACATTTTCATGAAGCTGATTCATTCTCACTCTTGTAACAATACAATAAATTGTAGGTTTTGTCATTGTGCGCCCACACGTATGGTTTCGCTGTACTGATCACTTGTTGCTGTATAGCTGTTTTGGCACAGGCTGTTCTGAGTATCATTCCTGATGGGAAAACAGGATGCAAATCGAAATAATAATAGTTATAACAATTGCGTCCGCCCCCTGCTAGGCCAGACAAGGGAGCATAAAGAGCTTTGCAGCCCCCTGGCAGTTTGGCGCAGCTGTCCTCCACCCCATTTCTGAGGTGTCCCCAGATGTGACACAGGTTGCTGCAGTGACAGCTCAGCTGGAAAACATGAGGACTAGAAGCCTCCTTTTGAAAAATGCTGCGTTCTGTGCCAGATGCCAGTTTTCATGCTTTCAGCTTGGCATGATCAGGGAGAGTACACACAGAGCCCTAATTGTATCTGGGGAGCTGGGTATTCCTTGCGTTCTTAATCAACTTCGCTGGATGAACTGAGGCTGTCCCCTTGATGATTATGATAATTTATTAGGGGTGGATTTGAACTCTGCACTCTTCCAATCGTTCCATCTGTGTTTGAATCCAAGCTTGCCAGATGAAAGTGGTGCATGCTCTAGTTATCTCCCGCTTGGACTACTGCAATGTGCTCTACATGGAGCTACCTTTGAAGGTGACTCGGAAACTGCAATTAATCCAGAATGCGGCAGCTAGACTGGTGACTGGGAGTGGCCGCCAAGACCATATAACACCAGTCCGGAAAGATCTTCATTGGCTCCCAGTACGTTTCTGAGCACAATTCAAAGTGTTGGTGCTGACCTTTAAAGCCCTAACCAGCCTCGATCCTGTATACCTGAAGGAGCGTCTCCACCCCTATCATCCAGCTGAGGTCCAGCGCCGAGGGCCTTCTGGCGGTTCCCTCCCTGCGAGAAGTGAGGTTACAGGGAACCAGGCAGAGGGCCTTCTCGGTAGTGGCGCCTGCCCTGTGGAACGCTCTCCCAGCAGATGTCAAGGCAATAAACAACTATTTTACTTTTAAAAGACAACTGAAGGCGGCCCTGTTTAGGGAAGTTTTTAATGTCTGACACTGTATTGTTTTTGATATTTGGTTGGAAGCCACCCAGAATGGCTGGGGAGATCCAGTCATCATCATCATCATCATCATCATTATTATTATTATTATTATTATTATTATTATCATTATATAAGTAGACCCTCTTCTGCTCCCCTACGGACTTCTCACGTGCTGACTTCTCTTCCCTTTCCCCCAGGTGCCCTCCTCTTGCAGTCTGTCTGGCCCAGCAGCGCCTGAAAGGGGTGGACCTTGCTCATGCCAGCTCTGTAGAGTTTGATGTCATTGAGCTGGCCGACTCCATGGGATGGGAGGTCTTGCCAGTGAAACGAGCTCTCCGTCAGCTGCAGTGGACCACTCAGAACGGTAACCAGTCAGTGGGAAGCCTGTCTAAGGTGGGCTGGGCTGGGAACAGCTGTCCCAGAGAGCAGGCCTTCTGCCTAAGCCCCCAGCCAGTCTTGGTTCAGGAAGGAAGCGGAGAAGCCACATCTTGTTGGCCGCTCATCCCTTGTTTAATCTCGGCTGGAAGGTTGGGGGTCGGTGTGTGTGTGTGTGTGTGTGTGTGTGTACTGTTCTTTAGATGGAAAGGCCTTCTGAGTGACAAGGATGGAGGAACTTGTGATTCCAAGGCAATCCCCACCCTCTTAATATCTGACCCAGCAGGGCCACAGTGGGAGAAAACTCCCTTTGGGGGCTTAAGGTGGAGGCTTGCACCAAATTCCCAGTTAGTCAGACTATTCCACAATGCCTTGCCAGACATAGTCCAAAAGAATGTGAGAGTGTCCATTAACACACACGCTAGAGAGGAAATGTGTGTCATTTGGGCTGTTTATTTCCTAGCCAACCACCTGTCACCCCTGTTGCTCCACCATCTCTTCACCTAACCATGATCCTTGAAAATGCTTCCACAACCCAGTTATTTTTACTATACATGCAGAGCCCTCCTTGCGTCTTAACTGGAGTTCGTTTTTCACTCTATCATTCAGCTATTAGGTTCCTCCTAAACTGGTTCCTTTTGATTTTGTGGCCAGGCTACCCTCTGGCGTACATGGTGCCGGCCTCCCTGATAGTGGGTCTTGCATGATTTCTACCTAACCTTCCAGTGAAATTGAATGTTGGAAGATTCAGAACTCAGACACAAGAAATGGCTTCTTCACCCAGCGCATAACTGCGGGCTCCTACACATGCTAGCGTTGTCCATCAATTTCAATGGTTTTAAAAGAGGGTAGACAGGCCAGGCTCGGGGGGGGGGGGGGGTAAGACTGTCAGTGGCTACTAGCCGCAACAGCTGTGTTCTACTTTTAGTGCCGTAAGTAGTAGCCTCTGGGTGCTGGGAATTGCAAGTGGGGAGAGAAGAAGAGTTTGGATTTGATATCCCGCTTTATCACTACCCGAAGGAGTCTCAAAGCGGCTAACATTCTCCTTTCCCTTCCTCCCCCACAACAAACACTCTGTGAGGTGAGTGGGGCTGAGAGACTTCAAAGAAGTGTGACTGGTCCAAGGTCACCCAGCAGCTGCATGTGGAGGAGCGGAGACACAAACCCGGTTCCCCAGATTAGGAGACTACCGCTCTTAACCACTAGACCACACTGGTTCTCTGAGTGCTGTGGCCGTGCTCATGCCCTGCTTGTGGCCTCCCCCAAGGGGCACATCATTGGTCACTAAGACCTGGATGCTGGACCAAGTGGCCTGATTCCGCTGCAGGCCTCTTCTTAATTCTTCCCTTCCCTTTTGGCACAGGTTCCAATGTGTCTAAGAAGAGCGGGATCCTCGTGGAATTTAGTCAGTTTGCTTTCCACCTGCGCTCCTACGGCGATCTCACTGACGAGGAGCTGGATGCAGTGTGTGACTTCCTGCACCAGCGAGTGACGGGCCGCGAAAAAGCTGCCCTTTCCCAGCTGCAGGCCTGCTTCCAGGCCTTTCAGAGGTGGGTAGGCACCAACTGGCACCACTTTAAAAGGTGGGCTGTGCTGCGTGTGAGAAGCTGGGCAAAAGAACGATGTGTTCACTCTGGTGGCGGGAGGGAGGAGAAAGAGCTCCTGTTCTAACAGGGAGGGAGAACCACCTTGCGTTTAATGGACACAACAGGTGCTTGTCATGGACTGGCTGGCGAAGGGGTGGGAGGCACCAGTTGGGAAGCCTCCTTCCAAAGGGATAATAAAGTATTAACTCGTACAAATAATAATAATTATTATTTATACCCCGCCCATCTAGCTGGGCTTCCCCAGCCACTCTGGGCAGCTTCTAAAAAAATATGAAAATACCGTAATACATCAAATATTAAAAGCGTCCCTAAACAGTGCTGCCTTCAGATGTCTTCTGAATGTCAGGTGGTTGTTTATTTCCTTGACATCTGATGGGAGGGCGTTCCACAGGGCAGGTGCCACTACCGAGAAGGCCCTCTGCCTGGTTCCCTGTAACTTGGCTTCTCGTAGCGAAGGAACCACCAGAAGGCCCTTGGCGCTTGACCTCAGTGTCCGGGTAGAACGATGGGGGTGGAGACGTTCCTTCAGATTCCCTTTACAGCTAAGAAAGATTTGCAAAAAGAAAAGTATTCTCTCTCCCTCGTCTTTCTGAGCAGTGTGGCTTTCCGCGCCTGTGCCTCGTGCTGTGACCACGGGGGCGAGGAGAAGAGCGCCCAGCTGAAGTCTCTGCTGCTGGATTATTTTGAGAAGGATACCGATGAAGCAGATCTTGCACTCCCAAGTGAAGAGCAGGGCGCTGAGGATCTCCAAGACATTAAAGTGAGAGAAGCTGCTCTTTGCTCCTCCTCTTAATGGCGCCGAAGCGTAGAATGACACAGGCGTCTCTTTTGGGCTTCTCCAGATTGTGGCCACAGTCAGGCACCGTGTGTGGCAATGTGCCACTGTCTCTGTCCCCTAATCCTGCACTGCTCCTGGGACTTCATGGTCCTCATCCATTTCATAATGCTATAGATGGGTCTGAGTAGGCTATCTAAACATCTCCTGAGATAACGATGGGTGGGTAGGTGAACCTCTGGCAGATTTGTTCACATTAACTGTGTGCTCTCCACTCATGTGTGGTTAGGGACTTGCTCTGCAGATGGAGAGGGTTCTAATCCTGCTGCTACTCTTAGTTTTCAAAGGAGAGGGTCATAACTCAGTGGCAGAGTACCTCCTTTGTAGGCAGAAATCTCCCATTTTAAAAAGAGCTCAGGCAGCAAGGGACTGGAAAGACCTTGAGTTGCTGCCCGAAGGACGTTCTAAACTAGATAATCAGTAGATTTACCCTGCCCACTTTTCTACCTGTGCAAAGAAGTGAGTTCTCTTCTCCCTTTTAAGCCAGAGGTGGGAAAGAGTCCTTTCTGGAGACACTTCCAACTATCAAGTGCACAATGCTAAGCAAAGATGAGTCTAGTGTTTTGACTTGGTACAAAGCAGCTCAACATGTCCAAATCGGTAACTAAACTCCCAGTATGCTTTGCTTCCCAATTTCAGCTTCGGGACTGGGAAGAGCAAATACGAGCTGACGTCCGCAACTTCCTGTCTCTCCGCCAAGACGAGAAGTTCACTGGCAGGGCTGTGGCCAGGATCTTCCATGGCATAGGTGAGGATGTACCGGTAATTCTCCAGCCGTTCCGTGGTCTGCTCTGCTTCTTGCATCAGCACAGAGCCTGGCACTGCACAGGTTGTTGTTGTTTAGTCGTGTCCGACTCTTCGTGACCCCCTGGACCAGAGCACGCCAGGCACTCCTGTCTTCCACTGCCTCCCGCACTTTGGTCAAACTCATGCTGGTAGCTTTGAGAACACTGTCCCACCATCTCGTCCTCTGTCGTCCCCTTCTCCTTGGGCCCTCCATCTTTCCCAACATCAGGGTCTTTTCCAGGGAGTCTTCTCTTCTCATGAGGTGGCCCAAGTCTTGGAGCCTCAGCTTCAGGATCTGTCCTTCCAGTGAGCACTCAGGGCTGATTTCCCTAAGAATGGATTGGTTTGATCTTCTTGCAGTCCATGGGACTCTCAAGAGTGTCCTCTAGCACCATAGGCTGAAATCCACCAAAACCTCCAGTGGGCACTTCTGCTCAATCACGATCTGATCTCTTAAGGGCAAAGGGAATTGAGCATCACATTTGCCACAGTGCTGTAGAACAGCCTTTTCCAACCTGGTGCCTTGCAGATGTTTTGGACTACCAACTCCCTGGACGTGGCTGATGTTTGTTGTAGTCTTTAAAACATCTGGAGGCTACTACTTTGGCAAAGGCTGCTGCAAAGTGAACAAAACTGGTAATTGTTGTAAACAGAATCTCTGCCCTTTTTCCCTTATGGGGTATCCAAGAGCCCATATAGAGCCCTTACGTAGGTTCCCTATTGGTAGGAGAAAATAACAGAGGCCAACCAGAGAATATTAAGAGGCAAAGCAGCTAGTAAGCTTGATCTTTATTGATCTGTTGCAACAGGGTGCTCCCCTCACACGCAGGAAAGGAGGAGGAAACCAGAACAATGGCGCGCAAGGCCTTATATAGACATTTTGAAATTGCCACGCTGTAGATCAAGACCGCCCCCAGAAACATCATACATACATCACAGAAGGGGTGTAGCTCAAGACCACCACCCCAGATAAATCATACCTACATCACAGAAAAGGCGGTCTAAAACAGAAATTTGAATGTTGTTTTTCTTCCTGTTTACTTGATTGGATACCCTGCTTATTTGATTGGATACCCTGGGGAGCCTGGCCAGTCTTTTGTAATGATAAATACTTACTTCCTGAGTCAGGTCACAGGCTCACCCTTTTCAAACGCAGACATACCTTTAAGACAGGATTTGTGAAGGAAAAGACAATGGGGAGGCTTTTCCATTTTCCTTCCAGAGAAAACATTTGGTCAGTTTGGGAATCAAAAATGGTTCCGTGTCTGTCTTCCTGTGCTGATCTATGTACGTGGTTGGTTGCTACACTTATGAACATTGAACATATATCTAAGACCTCAAAATTCCTATCACATAATCCTTAACTCTTTGTCAACAATGTAGGCCTAGCAGGAGGCTCTGTTGGGCCCTCTAATGGCTGGCATTGCTCTGTTTTTTTGAGAAATCACCAAGCACTTGCAATTCTTTTGGTGGCTGATTGAGTTTTTTCCGTTTGGACAGGAAGCCCACGCTACCCGGCCCAGGTTTATGGCAGAGACCGGCGTTTCTGGAGGAAGTACATACATTTTGATTTCAACAAGATTATACGCATGGCCACGGAAGAGATCATCCGCTGGAACTGAACTGAGCCTGCACTGCCATCTCCAGGGATGAAAGTCCAGAGCAGAGCTCCACGGTTCCCTCAAGCCTGTGTGCAGGTTGCTCTAACTGCAAGATGCAACTGACCAGCCAGCATCCCAGGAGCCAAAACAGCACCTCCTGCTCCCCTTGCGGTTTTGCAGAACTTCTCTGCAAGGCAGATGGAAAGCTGGGCGGCTGAATGGACTTCTCTGTTGCCCTGAAATAAGCAAAGGTTTTGGGGGAAATGGCCTGTTTTCATCTCCAAGCCTTTCCTATTTTTGTATGTAAAGCTTCCTTTTTATTTTTTACAAAATTGTCCTGATTTTTAAATATTTTTTTAATGTAAGGGAGAGTGTTAAGTCTTCTTCTAACCTCTAGGAATTTTTATTATTTTTATTTATTATCTGGACTTCTACATACTTTGCAAATCTTGAAGTGTGTTAATGGATGCCTTCCCTCCTTCCTCCAGGGTGCCAGCATTGGAGGGAGGGAGGTTGATTTAATATATAACGATGATAAAATATGTATAAAAGGAGGACCCATGATTAAGGGTAGAACATGCACACACAACTGGAAGACATACAGGAGGGACTGGTGTCAGCAAGCATAATCTTGAAGAACTGATGGGCAGATCCTCTTCCATAAAAGAATTGTGAGGATTTGCTTTTATATGGCATTCAGAAATATAATGCTTTAAATGTTTGGCTGCTGCCCGCCTCTTCACCTGCGATAAACCTATTTCATTGTATGCAGGGGCCTTTAACGTATTTTTAAATAAGCTGTGGAATGCTTGCATTGTTATAAAATTGATGATGAACTGACCGTCTTAATTTAGCATTTTTCTCTCAATTCCCCCATATCCTTTTTGTACATTTGCCTTAATAAATATACAAAGAATATTTATGCTGCCTTCACATCTAATTGAGCAGGAACTAAACAGGTGAGGAATTTAATAGTAGTAGTAGTTATTTAGAGCATTTGCACCCCACTCTACAGCCAAAAAGGTTCCCAGAGCAGCTTGCATACCATCAAAACAAGACAGTCCCTATCCTCTGACTTAGAATTAAATAAACCCACAACACCCAAGGGAAAAGAGACAAGGAGGGAAGAGGAAAACCGAAACACACACTGGTTTCTGTACAGGTTTCTGTAATGACCAGCTGGCCCAGATCAGAGGCAGGCGCCTGATGCAGTGAGCCCTGCATCCCATCTCCCCCACTGAGGCAGCCAGAATTGCACTTCTCTTGACCTCATTCTGTGAAGAAAGTGATTAAGGTCTCAAATATATCAATTAAATGTTCATAAATTTACAAATCTATTTGCCAGGAGGTGATGGGCCCAGTGGCCATGATCTTCGTTTTTTTGATGTTGAGCTTCAGACCATATTTTGCGCTCTCCTCTTTCACCCTCATTAAAAGGTTCTTTAATTCCTCCTCACTTACTGCCATCAAGGTTGTGCCATCTGCATATCTGAGGTTGTTGATATTTCTTCCAGCGATCTTAATTCCGGCTAGTGATTCATCCAGCCCAGCCTTTCGCATGATGAATTCTGCATACAGTGGTGCCTCGCAAGACGAAATTAATCCGTTCCGCGAGTGTCTTCGTCTACCGGTTTTTTCGTCTTGCGAAGCAACCCTATTAGCGGATTAGCGCTATTAGCGGTTTAGCGGCTATTAAAGGTTTAGCGGCTTAGCGGCTTAGCGGCTAAAAGGCTATTAGCGGCTTAGCAGCTTAGAAAAAGGGGGGGAAAGCGAAAAAAATCTCAAGACTCGCAAGACATTTTCGTCTTGCGAAGCAAGCCCATAGGGAAATTCGTCCTGCGAAGCAACTCAAAAACGGAAAACCCTTTCGTCTAGCGGGTTTTCCGTCTTGCGAGGCATTCGTCTTGCGGGGCACCACTGTATAAGTTAAATAAGCAGGGAGACAATATACAGCCTTGCCGTACTCTTTTCCCAATTTTGAACCCATCAGTTGTTCCATATCCAGTTCTAACTGTAACTTCTTGTCCCACATAGAGATTTCTCAGGAGACAGATGAGGTGATCAGGCACTCCCATTTCCTTAAGAACTTGCCATAGTTTGCTGTGGTCGACACAGTCAAAGGCTTTTGCATAGTCAATGAAGCAGAAGTAGATGTCTTTCTGGAACTCTCTAGCTTTCTCCATAATCCAGCGCATGTTTGCAATTGGCTGCTCTATAGTGTCCTTTACTGGCAGCGTTGGAGGCAGCTTGTTAAGTGCTGAAACAGGATGATGACCTTATGTGGTGGACATGCAGTAAGGTGAAAGGCTTTTGGGAACTGATTTACAATGAGCTTAAATTTTTTTTGAAATATACTTTTCCAAAAAAGCCTGAAGCCTTCCTGCTAGGAATAACTGGCAAAGAAATTAAAAAAGAAGATAAAAATCTATTTAGCACAAAACTGGAAAATGGAGGTAATACCTACTATAAGTGACTGGCAAGTCAAGATGATAAACTATGCTGAGCTAGCTAAAATAACAGGAAGATTAAGGGATCAGGACGAACAGAAATTTCATGACAATTGGAACAAATATTTGATGTATATAAGAACTAATTGTAGAACCTTGACGACACTGGCGGGACTGGAATAACTCTAACAGCGAACGACTAATAAGTAAAGGAGATAAAATACGCGATTCCAGAATTTATCTGATACTTACCAAAGGAGTGGAGGGAAGTCTAAGGCGCGGTGGAGCTTAAAACAACTATGTAATATATGTATGATTCATGGACTGGATATGACACATGTAATTTATGTATTATACTTTGTATTTGTTTATATGTATATATAATGATAAACCAATAAAAACTCATTTGGGGAAGAAAAAAAAAGAAACAGGATGATGACCCCTTGAGGTTTTCTACCTCTATGGTCCCCTGAGCCAAAGGGGACTCAGTTTCAATGAAGTCTTTACGAACACTGCCGGTACTCGATCAAACTCGGCCTCTCCAAAGCGAAGTGAGCCTGCGCCGTTGTTGGCATCCTCAGGAGACAATGGAGGGGTGCGCCTTTGGGGGTTGAATCCTGCACCTCTAGAGAGGTAAAAAGGATAGAGCGGCGCCACTCTCCGCCCGTGCCAAAGCCCGCTTTCGATCGACAACCGGAAGTCTTGGCCTTTGCAGTGAGACTGTGCCCTTTAGGGTGAAATAGCGTCGCGGCGCCTGCCGAGCGAAGTCAACCGAGAGGTGCCGCCTAGAAGGGCCGCGAAGCCTCAGACGGAGCGCCGTTTCCGGTCTGAAAGGGAGGCTTCCCTCGTTTCCCTCTCCTTGACCGGAAGTGTACCTGCGCTCATGGTCTGGGCCTGGTTCCGTTTCTCTGAGGGCGGCGGCGGCGGCGTTTCCGCTCTCGCTGTTGGCCGTGGAAACGGAGGAAGCGGAGCGGCTGGACTTTTATGTGGGTCCCGCGAGCGGCGGGGAAGGAGAGGGAGAGGGCGGCTCAGCGGCGCACTCTAGCGGCCGAAGCGCGGAAGAGCAGGGCGGGCAGGTGGGGAGGCGGTTGCCATGGCAACGGAGGGGAGGCTGGACCAGTCGCCTCGGGGATGCTGCTGATGCTGCCAGGGAGGCTGGCAACCCAGTGATGCTGAGTCCTGCTGGTGCCACAGGGGTTCTTGCGGGGGCTCCCAAAAAGCTCCGTTTTGGGGAGTAGAGGGGTGACACATTGCAGACCTGTGAGCTTCTGTGTACATTTGGCATTTATTCAATTATTCTGAATTCATACCCCTGCACAATGCCTCAAAGTGGTTTATGGGGGGGAAAGGTTAAAATGATAATAATAATAATAATAATAATAATAATAATAATAATAATTTTTATTTATACCCCCCCTTCCTCAGCCAAGGCTAACAAGCTGACAAGCGATAATAAAAACAAGTTGAATGAATACAACTTAAAAACAGGATTAAAATACAACATTAAAATATTGACATTAAAATACAACGTAAAAATACAAAGTGAGAACACATAATAGATTTTTAAAAATGAGACGTAAGAAATAAATATGAATAAATAAGTACACCAGCACTGGACCCCTGCACAAAGAAAAGATGACAGATTGATGATGACAGATAGTTAAGGGAGTCCTTTCTAATGGACTGAAAGGATGTTTAAAAGGAACTGAAGCATAGGGAGCCAACAGGATGCACTTCAGATGATGACAGACTACAGCTTGGCAGGGCCTAATAAGAGTAGGGAGTCCGACATCATTTGGGGGGCATAATGCTGGCTACCCTTGATGGCCCCCCTCAAAAAAGAGGGGTGGTTAAAAAACATACCAGCATTTCTAAGTGTCTTGGTAAACTTGCTTAAACAAGAATGTTTTTAGCAGGCACAGTTCCTAAATATGGCAACCCCAGTTTTAAAAAAAGGGTCCTAAGCATCCACTGCCAGTTAGAAAGGACATTATATATGTGTGTGTGTATGTGTGTATGTATGTATTTTAAAAATATATATTATACACCACTTGATTGTAAAACAGTCAAACCTCAAAGTGGTTTACAAAAAAGGTTAAACTTTCACAGAGCTAAAATGACAGCAGACCAAAAACAAATTAAAACTTGCATCTACTTTCTAAACATCTAGGTAGTCTTGTCTAAACAATAATGTTTTAAGCAGGCACCGAAAAGAGTACAGTGAAGGAGCCTGCCTGATGTCAATAGGCAGGGAGTTCCAAAGTGTAGGTGCCACCACACTAAAAGACCAAGTTCTTACAAATGTGGAATGGGTGTTTTGTGGGACCTGCAACAGTGCCGGTTCCACTGGGCTGGTCGAACAAATATTCTGATCTGCTAGAAAGGAGCTTACTAGGCTACAGGCATAATAATAATAATAATAATAATAATAATATCTTTATTGTCATTGCCCCCTTCGGGGACAACGAAATTACTTGACTGCTCCATAAAAACACTAATTAAACAATACAGTATAATACAGCAAGGGAGATTAGATGACTTTCAAAGTCCGGGCTTCCCATTCAGGGCCGAGATCGCTCTGGAGAAGAAGCTGTTCTTAAGACAGCTCGTTCTTGTCTTCATCGTCCTGTATCTCCGTCCCGACGGCAAGAGCTCGAAGAGACAGTGACCAGGATGCGATGGATCTTTTACTATGTCCAGTGCCTTCCTATGGCACCTTGTGGCATAAATCTGCTCTAAGGTGGAGAGTGGGCAGCCAACAATGCTCTCTGCTGCCTTAACAACCCTGCACAACCCCATCCTGTCCTGGGTAGTACAGCTTCCATACCACACACATAAGCCATAAGTAAGCACGCTCTCAATGGCACAGTGATAGAAGATCTAATGTATCCAGTATCCTCTTCTCACAGTGGCCAACCAGATGCCCAGTATGGGAAGCCTGCAAGCAAGACCTGAGTTCAAGAGCATGCTCTGCTCCTGAGGTTTCCAGCAGCTGTTATTCAGAGGCACACGGCATTTAACAGCAGAAGCAGAGCAGAGCCCTTGTGGCTAGCTGCCGCTGGTAGCCGTTTTCTCCATGAACTTGTCTAATTCTCTTTTATAGCCATCCAAGTTGGTGGTCATCGCTATCTTTGGTGGGAACAAATTCCGTAGTTTAGCTTTGCATTGTATGAATAAGTGCTTTCATTTGTCTGTCCCGAATCTTTCAGCACTTAATTTTATTGGAGGTCCACAATTTATTGTATTTTGAGAAAGGGAGAAAAACTCTACCCATTTTCTCCATATCATGCATGAATTTATATACCTCCATCCTGTTGTAAAACTCTGATCAGATTCTATTAGCGTACTCTAAGGATTAAATGCTAACTGCTGATAAAATTATATACATTAAGGACCGAGCACATGTAAAAACTCAATGGAAAAGTGGGTGTTTTGAGTACATTGTTGTGTCCAACAGAGAAGGTAGGCAGGAGATGATTAATGGCTTTTATTGAAGATTGGTTACGTTGGTTAACTACTAGCAACGTGAAAACCATCAGGACTATTATGTCCTTCCTGCTTACAGCCCATGGTAAAATAAAATGATTCCAGTACCATATTGTGTCATTTTAAAGCTAACAAGAATATGTAAAATAAAGACCTCAAATCTTATTTTATTCATTTAACAAAATTTATATACCAGTTGATTGTAGTAAAGCCTTTAAGTGCGTAACAAGCAATATTAAAATGCAGTGTTATCTCAATTTTCAGCTGTACCATGTTAAAGGGAATGAAATCAATTATATCAGAAGTAAAACAACAATAATAAGACTGAATTACCCTTTGCAATTTATTTTCCACCAATGACAGGAGAGCAGGTGGGGTAGGGTGTTGGCTTCTGCAGCCAATCAAAAAGCTAAGATACAAAAAGATATCTTACGGGTTTTCTCAAATATTTGTATAAAGTTGTTGTGACTTTATTATGTTTCAGTAAGTTTCATTAGCAACCTGGAGGTTACTGGCCAAAGGCAACTTTCAGGTATTTTTAAATAAAAACAATAAACGTTTTCAAGTCTCGTCTTTCATCTACCGGGGCAATTCCATTCTGTGAAGTCATGCCACCGTACCCAGACTCTCCCCTGTTCTGCTTTCTAGAATATTAGGTTTACCAGGTATCTACCTGGGAAATCATTGTGTCTCTCTAACAGCGCCCATAAGTTGCAAAATATTATGCTGGGCAGAGAAAGCTAAATCCATGCCATCTCATTTTCATCATTTGCGTATAACATGTCTAGCCTCTGAGTTCTTTCCACAACTACCAATGGGCAAACTCCCTTTCCCTCTGGTCCTTGAATACCTACACTTCTCCTGGATGCACGTGAAGGTACAGATCCCTCCTTTCTCAGCCTTTTGAGCTCTGCCCATCTTTGCTTGTGCTCCCTGCAGGTGGATGGCAGTTCCTGAAGGATGAACGCCAAGTATGCTGTCCTCGCAATGCTGTATTTTGTCCAAGGCATCCCGTATGGGCTCCAGTCTGGGCTGCTGCCTATCTACTTCCGCACGCTGGGCCTCTCCTTTACCAAGATCAGCCTGTCTAAGGTGCTTTATGTGCCCTGGATTCTCAAGATGCTCTGGGCACCCCTGGTGGACCATTACTTAACCAAGAGGACGTGGCTGCTGCTCACCCTGTATGGCTTCGTGCTGGCCTGCCTGGCCTGCTCCCTCATGGCCCCCGAGGCAAACTTCTTCCCGGTGGCCATCGTCCTCCTTCTCATGAACTTCTGCGCCTCCATCCAAGACATTGCAGTGGACGCAATTGCCATCCAGCTGCTGACGCAACGTGAGATTGGGTACGGCAACACCATCCAGGTCGTGTCCTACAAGCTGGGCTCCGTCTTGGCAGGAGGGGGCCTGGTCACTTTCCTCCATCACCTGGGCTGGCAGACCCTCTTTGTGGGCCTGGCCCTTCTTTATGTTGTGGCCATTGGAGTCACCTGGAATGCTAACCTAAAACTGAAAGTGAGGTTCAATCCTCAATACAGTTGGGTCAGGTTCAGAACCTTAAACCCCTGCCTCATGCTCCAAGAGCTTCTCAAGGTGCCGGACACTCTTTGGACTGTTGGTTTGGTGCTCCTCTATAAGCTGGGTGAGTCCTTCTAAAGACTAGCAGCCAAATGGTTGATCTGTTAGGACATGCACAGTGTGTCTTTGGGAAAGGGGTCCAGGCTACTGGGGAGAGAGTAAACATGGGGATATTGTGCGCAGCTCAGCAAAGTCACATGATGTAGACCTTCCAAGTTGATGCCGTTTCAGGTGTGAGAGGTGAGGGTGAGGACACTATAGTTTTGAACGCACCTCCTCTTAAGCACCTTCAGCTTCTTAGCTCTTCCGGTTTCTCCAGCCTAGTGACTTCCAGATGTTTCAGACTGCAACCCCCATCAGCCATGGGGAGGCTGTCTTACGTCATGTGCTTTTTTTAAGTAACTGAGTTAGCCTGCATCTTGTGACGCACCCCCAGAGTTACAACAGAGATAGTTTCTCTGGCAGTTAGGCCTCTACAGCCTGTGTGTCTGACGCCCTTGTTACAACAGCTCTGCTGGCTACTGGCCTGCTTCCAGGCCCAATTCAAAGTGCTGGTTGTGACCTGTAAAGTCCTAGATCAGAGCTTTCAAAATGGTGTGTCCCAACATGTTAGCATGTCAGCTGCAGTGTGTAGGTGTGTCGCGCGAATGCTCCCCGTGCTCCTCCTGGGGTTGGAAAGGGGTTTAACCTCCGGTTTGCTAGTAAAACTGAATTACTGTGTCGCGAAATGATGCATGTCTAAAAAGCGTGTCAGCAACATGAAAAGTTTGGAAAGCTCTGCCCTATATGGTTCCATCCCAAGCTATCTGAAAGGCTATATTCATCCATGCAGGCAGCAACCATTTTGCATGCGTCTGATTGACGTGTGAACACCAATGCATGGGTCGTTTTGGACCTGGGAGAGGGCAGAATGGGGGCAGAACAGGGTGGGGCATAACAAAGTGGGCAGGCTTATGCTCACCCCACTGACACACACAGGGGCTAGGAATAGAGTCCCTGCGCAAAGTGGTTGCTGCCTGTAATAGTAACTATAATTCCTCTTCCTATTATTTGCAGCAGCTGAGGTTCCCCAGCCCAGGGCAGGCTTTGCTGGAAACTGAACCTTGATTCTCCTTGCAGGTGAACAAGGGGCCATATCCATGTTTCCCCTCTTCCTACTGGACCATTCCTTTTCCCCACAGGAGCTTGGCTTCTGGAATGGGATTGTGGCCATGATCTTCTCCATTACAGGCTCCTACCTCGGAGGCTATCTGATGTCAAAACAGGGGTAAGCACCATCAGCCTTCAAATGGGGTTTCATGCTATGGATTCTCCATGTGGTTTTTCATCCTACTCTGCCCAACTTTTCACTTCCAGCAGGCACTTTCTACCTGCCGTGCTTTGTCCCATTTATGCAGAATTATGAGACTCCCGTACACTGAGAAGCGGGGAGAAAAGAGAATTGGGAATGCCTGATCTGCTCTCAGGAATCCGTATCTTTTGCTGCCTCAAGGGCCAGAAGCGTTTTACAAAAAACAAAAAACTAACTATGGATCCTCGGAGGGTTGAATGGCCATTTGCAAATGCTTTTGAAAACATGCCCATCTGCCACCTATTAACCTTTGACTTCCTCTGCACTCAATTAGAAATAGCTAACATTTTCATGGGACGCGGGTGGCGCTGTGGGTTAAACCACAGAGCCTACAACTTGCCGATCAGAAGGTCGGCGGATCGAATCCCCGTGACGGGGTGAGCTCCCGTTGCTCGGTCCCTGCTCCTGCCAACCTAGCAATTCGAAATCACGTCAAAGTGCAAGTAGATAAATTAGTCGTGCTGGTCAAATGACCCAGGAGCTGTACGCCGGCTTCCTTGGCCAGTAAAACAAGGTGAGTGCTGCAACCTCAGAGTCGGCCGCAACTGGACCTAATGGTCAGGGGTCCCTTTACACTTTACCTTTAACATTTCCACAGCACATGTTTTGCCCTGCTTGCAACATCTACCCCCGGAATGCTGAAGGCTGGATCTTCTCTCCAGGGCAGCCTGATTTGATTCATAGCCTTTTCACTTCAGCCTCTGTCCTTGCCGCCCTGCAATGAACCTCTTCTTGTACTGTCCCTGAGTGTTTCTGCCATCCCTGATGACTTTCCTTTGTGGCTTGTTTCCCCAGGAACCCCTTTTCTATGCTGAAGACCTTGATGATATTCCGCTTGTTCAGCCTGGTCTTCCAAACACTCCTGCTGATTGCCTATGAGGACAAAAAACCAGTCTTTGAAGGTGAGCTGAAAGCAGCCCAACACAGCAGCTGTTTCTTCTGCTTCAGTCTCGGTTCAGATCTCATCCAAGAGTCCTAAAGTCACAAATGTGTTTACTGTGGTTTATTCTCCCCACCCTGAATCTGAGTGTTTGCAGAATTTGAAGGACTTAAATGAGGATGACCTTTTATAATGGCAGTGCAGAGGGAACGCTCTTAGATACAGCCTCTCTCCCCATCCTTCCACACAAATATTCCTAGTACATGAGGATAAGAAATGGTGCATTATTGGATTGTGGCTGAAAGCCACACAGAACAGGGGTTACAGCTCAAAAGCTTCCCTCTGCTAAGGATTTATGGGACCTCCTCTCCTGGTCTGCTCTGCAGAGGACCTTAAGGTCCATGAATAACCATAGTTTAGAGGTCCTGGGCCCTAAGGAAGCCACACTATCCTCCACCAGGGCCAGGGCCTTCTCAGTGATGGCTCTGACCTGGTGGAATGCTCTGTCCCAGGAGACTAGGGCCCTTCAGGATTCCTCCTTCTGTCGGGCCTGTAAGACAGAGCTATTCTGCCTGGCCTTTAATTTGAATTCAGCCTGATCTTTTATTTCCCTTCTCTTTCCTCCCTCTCCTTTTTTTATGAAGATTACCTGCTCTGAGACCCCACATCTAATTCTCCCCTGGCCTCCTCGCTGGCCCAAGTAGGACCAATTCAGCCAGCTAGCCCTGGGGATTACCTAATGCTTATTAGATGGATTTCCCCTAAATTGATTTCCGAACTTTGAATTTTATTGTTATTCATGTTTTTATACTGTATTTTATGCTGCTTTTACAATTGTGTTTAAAATTTGTTGTTAGCCGCCCTGAGCCCGGTTTTTTTGAACCGGGAAGGGCGGGGTATATATATATATATATATATATATATATATATATAAAATAAGGGAGTCATTTGCAGACCTTGCTTGCAAATTTGCACATGCACACTTACAACCAGGACGGCCAAAATTTTTGCAAAGCAATGGAAACTCTTGAGTTCCTCAAGAGTTGAGGCCCAGCAGCAGGTAAAGAGACTGTAGCTCTTGAATCCTTAACCCACACCTTCTTTGGGTTTTTGGAAGCCAGCCAGACACTTTTCCCTGTTTGCTGCTTCTAGACTAACAGATCTCTCTCCCCCTCCCTCTCTCTCTTTCTCTCTCTCTGTGTCCAGTGGCAGCTGTGCTGAGCATCTCCCTACAGCACTTCATCGCTGGCCTGGTAACCACCTTAACATTCAGCATAATGATGCAATGTGCACAAAAGGCCCAGGAGAACATACAGGTACAACTCTTGCCTCTACATTCCACTCCCCACCCCACTGCCCAAAGAACATGTGTTGGCTTGCTTTGGGTGTTTAAAAAGCTTTGGTTCTTTAAAAAGCCAGTTCACTTAATATGAACTAGTCACATCTTAACTAGAGAAGGCCTGGAAAAATGCGGGGGGGGGGGGGACGGAGGGGACGGACACACCAGGCTTTTCCCCATTTTCCCCCAAAGCCGTTTTCCCCCAGAAAAATGAGGTGGGGGGGGAGTGTGTGGAATATTCAAACTATATAAAAAAGTTGTTTTCAATTTTTCTGGGGGGAAACGGCTTTGGGGGGAAATGGGTATTTTTCTGGTATTCTTCCAGGCCTTTCCATCTCTAGTCTTAAACCACCTTCTAATTTATTGAGGTTTCTGGTTATTTGTACCCCCAGGTATCTGAACTTGGTGTGGCAAAGTTTTATCTTGGTGACATCAGTGAGTTCTTTTTGGGTGTGGGGAGGAGTGTTGAAGCACATAGCTTCTGACTTTGCAAAATTTACTTGTAGGCCCGACACCATTGCAAATGTGTTGAGTTCTTTGATTAGGGAGGTTGCTGTGCTTATGGGGTCTGGTGTTGTGACCATTAGGTCATCTGCAAAGAGCCCTGATTTGTAGGTTCTGCCTTTTATTTCCACTCCCTTGATGTCTGTGGCCACTCGGATTTGGATTGCTAAGGGTTCCAGAGCCAGGATAAATAATTTCCCCCCCCTTTAACGTTGTGTTTTAATGCTGTAACCTGCCCTGGGACCTTAGGGTGAAGGGTGGGAAACAAACGAATAGATGAATAGCATTTGCTCCTCCCTCACTGTGCCTTCAAGAAGAATGTGTGTAAATGAGCCTTTAGGCCATGCATAGGCAAACCTGGCCTTCCGGATGTTTTGAGACTACAATTCCCATCATCCCTGACCACTGGTCCTGTTAGCTAGGGATCATGGGAGTTGTAGGCCAAAAACATCTGGACGGCCGAGTTTGCCTATGCCTGCTTTAGGCTCTCTTCAAATATAAATGGGACGTGGGTGGCGCTGTGGGTTAAACCACAGAGCCTAGGACTTGCCGATCAGAAGGTTGGCGGTTCAAATCCCCGCGAGGGGGTGACCTCCCGTTGCTCAGTCCCTGCTCCTGCCCACCTAGCAGTTCAAAAGCACGTCAAAGTGCAAGTAGATAAATAGGTACCACTCCAGCGGGAAGGTAAACGGCGTTTCCATGCGCTGCTCTGGTTCGCCAGAAGTGGCTTAGTCATGCTGGCCACATGACCCAGAAGCTGTACGCCAGCTCCCTCGGCCAATAAAGCGAGATGAGCGCCGCAACCCCAGAGTCGGCCACAACTGGACCTAATGGTCAGGGGTCCCTTTACCTTTCCAAATATAAATGGGGAGGGAAACAATTCTGTGCGCTGCCTCTGGGCTGTGGCCTGGGTCCCCTCCTCTCCTTACGATGCTTCTCTTTCCTCTTCAGGCCACTCACTACTCCCTGCTGGCCACGCTGGAAGTGCTGGGCAAACTGGTGTTCAGCAGCCTGGCAGGCATCTTGGTTGACTGGCTGGGCTTCGTCGGGGCCTTTAGCGTTTTCCTCGCCCTCTCCGGCACCTCTGTTGCCTACATCCTGTCTTCCAGAAGGTGATGGCTGCTGCCACCAGGAGGAGGAAGAGGAGAACCTGACAGGAAGCAGGGTCACTGTGGCCCAGAGGTGGCCAAGGGGAATTTCCAGGTCTCCACAGCCCCATAAGCCACAAGTCCTCAGGGATCTCACAGCCCTTTGTGAGGGGGAAGAGTTGGCCAGGGCCTCCCTCAAAGTAATTTTCTCAGGAACTCTCCTTCTATTTGCCAGGGAAAGTCCACGGTTCTCCGTTCAGGCTAAACACACAAGAAGTGTGTTTAGACTGAATTCCGAGGTCAGTTAATGCCTCAGTGTTTATTGCCAGTGACTGAGAAGTAAAGGAGGGCAGGATAGCTGTCTGTGGCAGGGTGTGAGAGCAAATAAATAAACTTTTTTAAAATAAAAAAAACACACAGTTGGATTTACTTCTGAGGAGATGCTCATCGGGTTGGGCTGCAAGGTAAGATGGCTTCTTGAACCCAGCTCTGCTTGGGTCCTGGAGCAGCGAGCCCCAGTGAGTCCTGGAGAACGCCAAGGGACATCATGAGATCGGGATCAGGCCCAAACCCTACCGAGTCCAGCATCCAGATGCCTCAACGGGAGACCCAGAAGCTGGACCTCTGAGTGGCACAGCATCTCTCCCCACCTGTTAATCACCTGATGGCCACCAACAGCGCCAGGTGACTCAAATGTCAGAGGAAAGACTCGGGAGTGCACTCCAAAAGTACACTTCCAGGTTTTCATTTGCAGGTGTGGCTTGAGTTCAGGTTGCACCTGCAAAGGAATATATCTTTTTCCCTTTGCATTTCTGTCTTGAATTCAAGCCACAGCTGCAAAGGAGGATTCAGGAAGACTTTAAAGTCTGCTTCCGACTCTTCTTCCACTTAGCCATGGCTTGGAAGTTTACCATAACTGCCATACAGGATGTCAAGTCAGAAAGGTGTGTATAACACAATAATTCGTAACAGAATTACAGATAAGAGTTTTAAGGGGTCTGTGCGCACAGAAAAGCTCAAGATACACGTTGATCTACCCACACTTAGTTGTTATCTCTGAGAAACATAGAAAATAACAGGATATATTTATTTTTCTTGGGTCAAAAGAGAGTATACCCCTGTTGTAAACAAAATCTGCCCTTCTTCCCCTATGGGGTATCCAAGAGCCCATATAGAGTCCTTAAATAGGAAACCCAGCCAGATGGGCGGGGTACAAATAATAAATTATTATTATTATTATTATCCCTATTGGTAGGAGAAAATAACAGAGGCCAAGCAGAGAATATTGAGAAGCAAAGCAGCTAGTAAGCCTGATCTTTATTAAAGCTCTTGCAACAGGGTGCTCCCCTCACACACAGGAGGACAGAGAAGGTGTGCCTGTCTTTATATAGACATTTTAAATTCCCTGCCCTGGAGCTCAAGACCACCCCTCCATACATCATACATACATCACAGAAAAGGCGGTCTACAGCAGAAATTTGAATGTTGTTGTTTTTCCTGTCTGCCAGGTTATCTGATAATGCCTTATCTGATTGCCTTTCCTGGTGGTCTGGCCATTCCTTTGAGATGGTGATTACCCAATTCCTGAGAAAATGGGAAGGGTCCCTCTCCCCTTCCCTCCTTGCAGAGAAACATTTGGTCAGTTTTGGGAGTCAAAATGGTTTCAGGACTGTCTTACTGTACTGCTCCAGACATTGGTACATTTATGAACATTTATTTTATATATATATGACCTTAATTTTTTTATTACACCCCTAAACATTTTTTTTAGAAAAAAGCATTAATAATAATAATAATAATAATACAAACCCAGCTGTTTTCTTTTTCTTTTTAAAAAAGTTTTATTGGGTTTCACAATTTTATGTTCAACACAATCCTCATGAACACAATGAAAATTCACAAATCCAAATCTCCCCCCTCCCTTGACTTCCCTCAACCTCCTCTTCTGGAAACCCAGCCAGATGGACAGGGTACAAATAATAATTTGTTATTATTATTATTATTAAATATTTGCTACTTCTGCTTCTTTTGATTCCTCGATTTTAAAATCCTTCAACTAAATTATTTTTTATATCCTTACCATTTTCATACCCTACCTTTCCCAATTACACCTTACGTTTTGTTGCTTCCCCAGTTATTCCTCCTCGCCTTGTACACTTGTAAGTTTCCTGGTTTCCAAGGCGCTAGTCCTCAGCGCTCCGCCCAAGCTCCGCCCCTCCCGTGAGGTCATGACGCCGCGTCCAGGGGGCGGAGCTTCATCGGCCCACTCCCGCGAGCCTCCTCCCCATTGGCCGCCGAGGCGCGGCCCCGCCCCCCTCTCCGGCCGCAGCCAATCGGAGCGCGGCTGGGCGGGGGCAGCGCGACCCGAAGGCTCGGCGGCTTCGGTCGTAGTAGCAGCAGGCGGCGGCGGGCGGCGGCGGCGGTGGTTGGGCGGCCGCCGGGCGAGCAGGAAGGAAGGGGCGCCATGGAGCTGCAGCGGACGGTGAGGAGAACCCTCGACCCCCCTTTCCCCTCAACTCCCCCCTTTCGCGCCCTTTCCCTCAGCAAGGTCGTTACCTCAGCTTTTCCCCGCGGACGTCTCTTAGGAGCATTACGGTAGCAGCTCCCCCTCACCGCAGGTCTGTTTCAGGCTGCCCCTTTAGGGCTGGATTACGGTAAATCCCCCCCTCCCGCGTCTCTCTTCGGGGCATTACGGTAGCGCCCCCTTTTCTGGTGCGCTCATCGCTAGGCATTACGGTAACCCCCCCCTTTTTTTTCTGCCCCACTGAATTTATCAGTGCTTGCAACTGGGGGCTTTTCTCTCCTTTATGCGCCTCCGACCCTCCCCCAGCTGCAAGCGTGGCAGGAGTGCCCCTTTGCCATGCACATTACGGTACTTTCTGCCCCCCCCCCATTCCAGTGTGGGGCTGGGAGTGGGGAGGGGGCAGCCGTGTTTCTTTCCTGCAGGGGGGAGACTCTCTCCAGAGCTCATTGGTTTGGGGCTGAGGAGAACAGAGAACAATAGTGATAGTAAAACAGTAAATACGTAAAAAAAACAACAACCAGTAAAATAGTAAATAAGTAAAAAAATAACAATAGTAAAAAAGGAGTGGGGCTCTTAGGTGCCCCCCCCCCCGATCCTGGTGCTCACTAGATCCCTGTTGAGGCTCAGATCCTGGCCCCCCTTCGTAATATATTTGATGAATTATTGTATTTTAATATTTTGCTGCAAGCTGCCCAGCGTGGCTGGGGAAACCCAGCCAGATGGGTCTGGTGTAAAGAATATTTAATAATATAAATGATAATAAAAATAATAATAATAGCAGAGCCTCTCTTTTGCTGGAAGCTGCCCAGAGTGGCTGGGGAAACATTGGCAGAAATGTGGTGGCCCATTCTGTGTGCGGCGCATGAAAACCATGTGTTTTTGCAGCACGTTCCTTTTCCTCCCCCCGTATGGAATTTGCTTGCAAATGACTTCGCGGATGTTGTGAAATTACTTTTTCCCAAGCAGGCTCTTCGTTCCACACTGTTCTCCCTCCGTGCTGTTTATTGCCGCTCAGATCTTTGCGCCCGTTCAAAGCTTCTTGAGCAACTCATTCCCAAAAACGTGCGCTACACATCAGCTGTTTTCCCAAAGTGGGTGGTGGCGCCACTTGGGACAGTGGGATTTTCCTTGGGGAGCTCTAAGAGGAGAGGGGGTGGCAGGAGGAGGTGTGTGTGCAAGAAGTGCAAATGACTTTGAAAAGCTGGTATCCCCGAATCAGGTCCATCAATTTTGTTGAATGAAATAGTTTGAACTGGATTTTGAATGAACGTGCAATTATTTCTTCCTGTTTTGAATTCTGCTGTATTATTCTCTTAGCACCAACCATTCTGAACAATGCTTGTTTGGTTGTAAGTCGCTTTGGGTTGCCCTGGGCAAAATAAAGCAACGAACACGTTTAGTAAATGATAATAATTATAGAGTGAGCATCTAATGTTTATTGGATGGATTTCCCCCCTAAACTGATTTTTGAATTCTGAATTTATTGCTATTCACGTTTTATACTGTATTTTATTCTGTTTTTTGTTGCATCAATGAAGTGTTTTAAATTTATTGCAAGCCGCCCTGAGCCTGGTTTTCTGAACCCCAAAGAGCGGGTTATAAATAAAAAAATATTATTATTATAGTGGGGGAGGGCAGTGGGGGTGAGTTAATGGAACCCAAGGGTGGTCTGAAAAAGTTTGGCAACCGCTGCTAGATCCTTTCAGCTGTCCGTCCAGTCCAGAGGGCCGGCCGGCTGTCAGCTGTGCTTTCTTCCAGCCTTGAGATGTTCCCAGCGTGAGGAAGAGTCAAGACCCCTCTTGTCCCTGCGCTGGTTTCCTGCCTGCAAGGACAAACTGTGGGCGTGAGGCTGGAGGCAGAAAGGGCTACCCAGAGAGCTTGCAATCTTGGTCCTGACCTGGTTTTTTCCAGCACATCGGAAAAGAAGTGCAGCAGGAAGATTCTCTGGGGACAAATGCCCCCCACCCAGTATCTGTGGAGTGGGGCCTCCAAAGGGCAGGGTTGCCAGGATCTTCCCAGGACGTGGCTGGCATGTGCTGAGGTTGGCTCATAGAATTGCAGAGTTGGAAGGGACCCCGGGGGTCATCTAGAATGCAGGAATCTTAACTGAGAAATAAGCACACCAAGAACTGTGGCCAATGTAAGTTTCAGTATTGGGAGTGGGCCCTACTCACAAGTCAATAGTAACAAAAACTAATCCATTCAAAAGTATGTATTCTGACAACAATTACAAACTCAAGTTGTTGTTTAGTTGTTTAGTCTTGTCCGACTCTTCCTGACCCCCTGGACCAGAGCAAGCCAGGCACTCCTGTCTTCCACTGTCTCCCGCAGTTGGTCAAACTCATGCTGGTAGCTTCCAGAACACTGTCCCACCATCTCGTCCTCTGTCTTCCCCTTCTCCTTGTGCCCTCCATCTTTCCCAACATCAGCGTCTTTTCCAGGGAGTCTTCTCTTCTCATGAGGTGGCCAAAGTATTGGAGCCTCAGCTTCAGGATCTGTCCTTCCAGGGAGCACTCAGGGCTGATTTCCTTCACAATGGAGAGGTTTGATCTTCTCGCAGTCCATGGGACTCTCAAGAGTCTCCTCCAGCACCAGAATTCAAAAGCATCCATTCTTCGGCGATCAGCCTTCTTGATGGTCCAGCTCTCACTTCCATACATCACTACTGGGAAAACCAGAGCTTGAACTATACGGACCTTTGTTGGCAAGGTGATGTCTCTGCTTTTTAGGATGCTGTCTTCCTTGTCATGGCGAAGGGGCTTGAATAACTCAGAGAAGCTATGAGCTCTGCCGTGCAGGGCCACCCAAGATGGACAGGTCATAGTGGAGAGTTTTGACCAAACGTGATCCAGCTGGAGCAGGAACCGGCAAGCCACTCCAGTATGCCTGCCAAGAAAACTCCATGGACAAAGACATCAGGCATATAAAAGTTGACTCATAGAATCATAGAACAGTAGAGCTGGAAGGGACCTGGGGGTCATCTAGTCCAGCCCCGTGGAATGCAGGAATCTTAACTGAGAAATAAGCACACCAAGAACTCAGGCCAAGGTAATTTCAGTAGTGGGAGTGGTCCCTACTCACAAGTCAATAGTCAATAATAACAAAAACTAATCCATTCAAAAGTATGTATTCTGAATTACAAACTCAAGTAGAGATTACAAACTCTTAACTCATAAAGATATTTATAACATAATAATTCGTTACAAAGATTGTCTCTTTTTCACTCGACAATAAATGTTGATCCTTATTCCAGGTGTGGTCTGACCAAGGCAGAAGAGAGTGGGACTATGACTTCCCTTGATCTGGACACTAGACTTCTGTTGATGCAGCCTAGAACTGCATTCGCTTTTTTTCCTGCAGTCTCCTTGAGTCATAGAATTGGACAGAGTCTTCTGGGTGATCCAGTTCATGCTGTAACCCACCCTATGATCCTTGGATGAAGGGCGGCCTAAAAATGTAGTAAATAAAATAAATAAATTGTTGGGCACAATAATACAAAGCCTTCCAAATCAGGTTATTTCACGTTTTACTTATTTCATGAAATTTATATACTGCTTGATTGTAAGAACAAAATGAAACCACAAAGTGGTTTGCTATGAAAAGATAAAACAGTAAAATTATTGCTAAGAAAAATTAACAACCATAATTTAAAACTGTCAGAAAGTTAAAATAACAGTAGACAAAGAACAGGTTGAAACTCTCACCAATTTTCTAAACATCTGGCTAGGCATTTCTAAACAAGAATGTTTTTGGCAGGTGCCAAAATGAGTACAATGAAGGGCACCAGGCTGGTATCAAGTGGCAAGGAGTTCCAAAGTGTGTCTTACCAGTACAGTATTAAGAAACTGCATTTTTTTAAAAAACTGTAAAAATTCCGCTGCAAATCCTCAGGACTCTTCCTTGCAGAGCTGTTTGTGGCAGAATAGGAAGGTGGGCAGAACAGGCTCTGAGGTGGGCTTCACTTTGGCCCCCCCCCCCCACCATTTGGGGGGCTTAGAGAGAGGTCTCCCCTGCAGGGCTGCTTGGCTACTGGTGCTGTGAGCTGCCCTCAGCATCCTCCATAGCTGTGGTTTCTGCCTGTGCCTTGACTTTGCAGCTTTTAAGAATGGTGATTGTAAGTGTTTGTGCTTGATCCAACTCCTTTCCTCCTCCTGCCCATTCCTTTTTTCCTTTTGTGTCGTGTCTTTTTCATTTATTATTAAAGATGGTGAACCTGTGGGCCATGATTGTCTCAGAGCTCATTTTCGTAAGCCACCCCGAGAACCTTTCTGATGATGAAAAGCACATCAATGCCGCAAATAAAATAGCCGATTGCTGATGTGAGGAGGCCCAGGTGCCCAGAATGGCCTGGGGTGGTGGTTCAGGGACCTGGTGCGAGCTTGGAAGGCACCACACAAGCCCCAGCTCTTCCGAATACTCCTTTGGTGCCTTTAGGCAAGCTTCTCTTCTCTCTGCCTCAGTCTTCCCAATCTGAGAAATGGGAGCAATCCCGTTTGCCTCTCTTTCCAGGGTGCTGCAAGGATTGCCGGACCCAACCTTTGGACACCTTTTGCACACCAGCGTGCCGGTTGCCAGTCCGTGTATCGCAGAGGGACCTTTGCTCTGTGTATTTGCTGCTTATCAGCTTTCTAAAGGCGCTTCGCAGATGGTTTGAGATCTGATGGGAGAGGAAGGCGGCAGCCTGCAAGCTAGCCTAGCCCTCTCCTTGGCCTGGTCTGTTGTCCTGCAGATGTTCTCTCTGATATAAAGGCCACTGTCCTTGCTAGCTGCCTCCATCCCGGGGAATGAGAACAGGAGGCCAAGGTCCTCCCCATCCCCTCTCTTGTCTCCATGTCCCCCTGTGCCAGCAAGTTCCTTTCTTTTAAAATAAATACATGTTTTTTTAGTTTTCAAAAGTTCACGCACATCACCATCCCCAATGTTTAATTTATCCATTGACTTCCCATCGCCCCCTCCATGACGTTTACCGGTATCTATCGATGCTGCATATTTTAACTTGCAATACTCCACAGATATATCCTAAATTATTAGCCTTCATGTCATTCTACTGTTGCTGCTATTTCAAATCCTGCTCGTGTTTTCATGCAACAATAATAGTTCTTTAGATGTTGAATATGAACACGAAATTTATTACGGTCAGAGACCAGCTTGAGAAACGCAAATGGAACTACAATCCCAATAGCAAAACAAACATTTAAAACAATATACAACAATGGGTTTTATTTATTTTTTTCTCAATTTTTAAAATTGGTTTTCACATTTATCACATAAAAAAGAAACAAGAAAAAAGAAAAACATTACAATACGCAAAAAGAAAAAACACATAAAAAAGGATTTTTACTTCCAAATCCTAATTTCATTACATTGATAACTGACTTCCTTGAATCCCCTCTGACTGAATTTCATTATATGACGTGTTTAGCAGTTCTCCAAATTCATAGTTCTAATAATATTAACTTCTTTCATTTACTGACTTCTTCTTTATTAATATTCTAATCCTTAATATTTATTAACAACATATTCTTATTCTACCCCTAAGCCTAATTATTACTTCCAAGAAATTTCTTTTTATCTTATGTTACAATATTTAGCCAAATATTCTTTAAAATTCTTCCAATCCTCTTGTGTCTCCTCTTCTTTCTGGTTGCGGATTCTTCCAGTCAGGTTGGCCTACAACAACAATGGATTTTAAGTTTAGAAGTGCGATAGGCATATAAACGCATAAAAGCTTCTTTAGCTATTCTACAAAAGGTTCCTGGTCCTCAAAGAACGCTTTGCCATTTCGACCTCTGGTTTTTGCTGTTAGCTTTGCCGGTTCTGCTTAATCCATCCTTTCCATGGCCTGTTCTTCCTTCGTTGAAACCTCCTCCTCGTTCCATTTTTGAGCGTGCAATATTCTTGCTGCTGTCGCTGCATACATTAAAAAAATTAACCAATGTGCCCACAAGTTTCCATCCGAGAGTGCAGACTGTTCTTTCGGCTTTGGGGAGCTGGGTTTGACATTGCTTGCACCCACATTCACCCTGAAACCTCAGCTGTCCTCACGGCCTAGGACCCTCATACCTACGGGACCACCTGTCCCAGTATGCCCCGCAGAGGTCCCTAAATAGCAACGCCCTAGAGGTCCCGGGCCCTAAGGAAGTCAGATTAGCCTCAACCAGAGCCAGGGCCTTTTCAGCACTGGCCCCAACCTGGTGGAACACTCTGCCTCATGAGACCAGGGCCCTGCAGGATCTGATTTCTTTCCACAGGGCCTGTAAGACAGAGTTGTTCCGCCTGGCCTTTGGCTTGGAATCAACTTGATCCCCTTCCCCTCTTTCCTTTTTCCTTTCTCCTTCTGTGATGGAACTCCTATTTGGGGACTTCCCTGGCTTTTTCTGGCCCACGTAGAACCAGTCTGGATAGTTGGCCTTGGTGAAGACTTGACGTTTTCATCCCCCAAAAAGTTTTTGATTTGAGTTTCTACTGAAATGAGGCTGCATTTTAACATTGTATTTTAATCTTGTTTTTAAGTTGTATTTTGATCAATTGTTTTTATACCTGGTGTTGGCCGCCCTGAGCCTGGTCTTGGCTGGGGAGGGCGGGATATAATTAAAACTTATTATTATTATTAGGGTGGGCCTTCCTTCCCTGGGGCTCTCAGCCATGCTAAGCCTCTCTCTCCCCTCCGATTCCTCAGGTCCAGATCTGCCGCTTTCACCTGCTGCTCTTACGGCACAAGAAGACCCCTTGGCTGATCTCTGGCCCCCAGTGCAGGCAGCGCTCCGATTCCCAACCATCCAGGTATACCTCCTCCAGATGTTTAGGAATCCAGATGTTGGTAGTCCCAAACACCTGAAGGCCGCCAGGTTGGCCAAAGCCATCACAGATTTGTAGAGCTGGCCGGGACCTCCAAGGCCTATCTAGTCCAACCCCCTGCCATGCAGGTGCCCCCCAGCGGGTTGGGCTAGATGATCGCTGGGGGTCCCTTCCAACTCTGCAGTGCTGTCTAACGTGCTTTGCTTTTCAATGGATGGGGAAGGGGAGGTTTCTGTGCGGAATGAGGGCCAGGTGTTTGGGGGGTGTTGCTGTGGATCTCTGCTCACACCTCTGCCCCACTACAGCTCTCGTCGACAGAGGGGGCTGCTGAAGAAGGCGTTCCTGGGGCTGTCCGTGGGCCTCCCCCTCGCAGCTGGGATCCGCTACTGGATGGCCGAGACGCCGGAACGGCGAAGGATGAGGCTGCTGGTCGAGGGACTGGGGCGCTTTACCAGGTGGCTGAGGACATGCCCTTTCCCAGAGAGGGAGGGATTTTGTTTAATTAATTTATTGACTGCATTTACATCCTGCCTTCTTTGCTGCAAAGGAGCTCAAGGTGGCTTTGCTTCATTCTCCCCTTTCCGTTTTAGCGTCACCACAATCCTGCAAGGGAGGGATGTTTGGCTGAGAGTGAGGGGCCCGGAGTTATTTTTTTCAGGTGATGCTAAGCTCCCCATATATTTACAGTGGTACCTCTGGTTGTGAACGGGATCCGTTCCGGAGGCCCGTTCGCAACATGAAAAGAGCGCAACCTGCAGTGGTGCATCCGCGCACGCGCAGGTTGCGATTCGCCGCTTCTGCGCATGCGCGTGACGTCATTTTGCGCTTCTGCGCATGCGCAAGCGGCGAAACCCGGAAGTAACCTTTTCTGTTACTTCTGGGTCGCCACAGGACGTAACCTGAAAGAACGTAACATGAAGCAAACATAACATGAGGTATGACTATACCAAAAGCGAAACTCACAAGTCCTGAATTTTCTCCCTATTTGGGGGCAATTGAGGTTCCGGCAGCCGTTAGCATCCATGTCAATAGTTTCTGAGAGCTGAACCCTTTCAGCTGATTATCCCGTAAATTCAGTAAACAGAGCTGCGGCGAAGTTGCAGTGAGATGTTTGAGTATTTCGGACGTTTCTCGACAATCTGTTGCCCAGAATTTGAATCCCTGTGGGCAGTCCCACCATAGCTGAGAAAAGTGCCTATTTTTCCACAACCCTTTCAACAGTTCTGTGGGCAAGTTGCCATGTTGTCCCGTTCCATCCTTATAGGATTTTCATCGAACACACTCTCACGTAAACCAAGGCTGACCTAAGATGATTCAGATGACCATCGCCCATCCCATTTAGAATCCCAAATTTGTATGGACAGATCTTTCTCGCACTCAAGTTTAAGGCCTAACAGCGGACCAGAAGAAACACCTACTAATTCTGTCGGGTGCAGAACGGTAACCTGCCTTTTCCTCTCTCGCAAAGGTCCTTGCAGTTGGGAATCCAGATCTCCCTGGATTACTGGTGGACGCACCACATCTCGTTGCGGGGCCTGGACGAGGTACAGTTCCCTGCTGTTTCTCTCTGAAGCTCTGAGCCATTCAAAGGAACCCAACCAGCTCTCAACTAGGGCCAGGGCCTTTTCACTACTGGCCCCGACTTGGTGAAACGCTCTGTCCCAAGAGACTAGGGCCCTGTGGGACTTGACATCTTTCCGCAGGGCCTGCAAGACGGAGCTGTTCTGCCTTTGGTTTGGACTCAGTCTGACCCTTATGTTTCCCTCCCCTTACAGTTTTGATCTATGGGCTACTTTTAAAATGAGGCTGCATTTTAAATTATATTTTAACTTGTATTTTAAATTGGTGGTTTTTTCCCCTATTATGTTTTTACTGTAATTTTACTGGTGTTAGCCGCCCTGAGCCTGGCTCTGGCCGGGGAGGGCGGGGTATAAGTAAATAATAATAATAATAATAATAATAATAGACAAACAGCCTTGAGAGGCCCAGAAGGGTCGGGTCTCAGTGGGGCAGGGGGAGCTGGGTTCATCGCCCTGAGGGTTTCCTTGCTGGATGCTTAATGCAGGGGAACGGGGTGGCAAAGGGAGTCCTAGAATCAGAGAACTGTAGAGTCAGAAGGAACCCAGAGGTCATCCAGTCCAACCCCCTGCCATGCAGGAAGATGCAGCTGTCCCACACGGGGATCGAACCTGCAACCTTGGCGTTATCAGAACTCTGACCAACCTCTATATCTAACGGTTTGAATGCCACCTCTGGGCCCAAAAGGATCTCAAGGTGACTTCCAAGACATTGGGAGCCCACCAGCTGTGTCCAAAGGGCTTCAGGCGTACCCCCTGCCCCAGCCTCAGGGCCGCCAGTTTCTGACCCCTTTCCCCCTCTTCCCTGTCGTCAGAACAGCCCAGGGTACAAGACCGTCCTCTCGGAATGCCACCAGCGGGCGGCCGACAGCATCGTCCGCGGCGCCATCCGGAACGGGGGCCTCTACATCAAGCTGGGCCAAGGCCTGTGCGCCTTCAACCACCTGCTGCCCCCGGAGTACATCAACACCCTGCGCACCTTGGAGGACCGCGCCCTCACCCGCGGCTACAAGGAGGTAAAGCAAGTTTGCTGCCATTCCTCCCACCGCGGGCTCAATCAGTTGCTTCGCTTTTTTACAATTGGTCGGCAAATGACTCTTTTGAAATAAATAAGTGGAATGAGCAAGCTCTCTAGCGGCCAAGGCTGGCCAAAGCCGGCTTAAGCGTCTTCCTCACGTGTCATTGTCTGCAGGTGGACGAGCTCTTCCTGGAGGATTTCAGAGCCAAGGCGGACCAGCTATTCCTGGAGTTCGACTATCAGCCAATCGCCGCTGCAAGCTTGGCCCAGGTGCACCGGGCGAAGCTCCACGACGGCACCCCGGTGGCCGTGAAGGTCCGTGGCTGTGTTGCCCCTCTCCCTTCCCCCCCCATTACAGTGGTCCCTTGGTTCTCAAACTTAATCCGTTCCGGAAGTCCGTTGCAAAACCAAAGCGTTCCAAAACCAAGACACGCTTTCCCATGGAAGGTAATGCAAAACGGATTAATTCGTTCCAGACTTTTAAAAATAACTCCTAAAACAGCCATTTAACATTAACTTTTTTTAAAAGATACTTATTAAAAGTTTAATAGTTACAGAAAAATAAGAAGAAAACAATAAAAAATTCCTAATACATCAAAAATAAAAACAAAAAAAGAACAATACAACAAAACAACAAGAAAAGCAAAAACATTCAAAAAAACACATCCAATGTCTCTTTATCTCTACCTTTCATTTACTTGTATCATCGACCTCCTCACACCTCCCTTTTTTGTATTCTTGTTCAATTAGCTATTTCAGCAAATCCTTTCTATCTTTCTCAATATTTGTTCTATAATTTATCTTAACGCAATCTGACCTTAAATTTACACTTTGGCCCATTAACAATCTATTTTTACTTAGTTCCATTTAACATGAATTTTAGTATCTAACAAGACCATTGATCCATAAAATGAAAGCAATAATCAATGTACAGTGGTACCTCGGGTTAATTCGTTCCAGAGGTCCGTTCTTAACCTGAAACTGTTCTTAACGTGAAGCAGCACTTTAGCTAATGGGGCCTCCTGCTGCTGCTGCACTTAATCCATTCTGGAAGTCCGTTTGACTTTCAAAATGTCATTAATTTTGCTATCTAGCAAGACCATTGATCCATAAAATGAAAAAAATGAAAGCAAATAAAAATAAAATGAAAGCATTAATCAATGTGCTGTACTATAAAGTAAACAAGACAGAATTGTAGATGATAAAAATCATCATCCACACAGTCACAAAAACAAATTAACCAAAAAAGCCTCAAAAACGCAAAATAAATAGCAAAAACAAAAGTGCCAAACTTAATCCGTTCTGGAAGTCCGTTTGACTTTTGAAATGTTCAAAAACAGAGACGCAGCTTCTGATTGGTGCAGGCGCCCCGGAAACAATAGCCAACACCTGTACTGGACGTTCAGCTTCCAAAACAAATTTCGAAAACCGGAACACTTACTTCCGGGTTTTTGGCATTTGAGAACCAAGGTACCACTGTGCTCTCGGAAGGCCTTGCGGAGCAGCTCTGTGTCCTCTGCCGCCCCAGATTCCCAGTCTCTCCCTTTCCGCCCCTTTGCAGGTCCAGTACATTGACTTGCGGGACCGGTTTGACGGAGACATTCGCACGCTGGAGTTCCTGCTGCAGATCGTGGCGCTGATGCACCCTAGCTTTGGGTTCAGCTGGGTCTTGAAGGTCCTTTCTGGGCTCTTAGCTGGGGGGTGGGTGGGTGGTTCCCCTACTGTTTCCCCCACTGACCGCCATGGGGGGCGGGAATTGGAAGAAGTGGCGGATGGAAGGAATGTTCCCTGGAGCAGCAGGGCTTCTGAAGGCCGGTTGCTGGAAGCCACAGGATTGGGAGAGGGCTCTTGCACCCGAATCCTGCTTGCAAGCTTCCCCCTGGGGCATCTGGTTGGTCACTGTGAAGACAGGATGCCGGTCTTGATGGGGCCTGATCCAGCAGGGTTCTTCTTAGGGAGGTCTCTTGAAATAGCAGAGCCTCCGTGCCCAGGGACACTCTACCTCTGAATTCTGGATAATAGGGAACAACAATAGGAAATAGTGTTGTGCTCAGGATGTGCTTGAGGATTTCCCACAAGCCTCTGGTCGGCCCCCGTGAGGACAGGACAGGAGTAGATGTGGCCCCCATTGGCTTGATCCAGCCGGCTCCTCCTATTTTCTTAAGTAGTGACGGCCTCCAACTTGGATGGCTTTATTATTATTATTTTATATATCGCCCAATCAACATTTGATGATCTCCTTCTACCGGTCCACAACAGAAAGTGTCCTTTCCTACTGCATCAGGGTGTGGGACGCTGGTTTGACATCAACGGATAGGAAGTGCCTACAGAGGGTGGTGAATACAGCACAAGATATTATGGGCTGTCCCGTGAATCCGCTGGATGAAATAGCGGAAGAACATGAGGAAAATTATCAGGGATGATGATTCACACCCTGGCCGGCACTTTCTTGATCTCCTGCCCTCGGGCAGAAGCTATAGAAGCACGATTAGTCGCACCAACAGGGTAAAGAACAGCTTCTATCCGGGGGCTGTTAGTCTGCTGAATGAAAAGATAACAACAGGGCAACTGACTTTCGAGTTTGGTGTGTGTGTGTCAGTAAACGAGGGGAATTAAGACTTAAGAGAGCTGAGTGGGGGGTGCTCATGTAATCTCACTGTATACAAGTTGTACAAGTGACAATAAAGTATTTCAAACTATAACCGGAGGTCTCAGGGCGGCTCACAGAAAAGATCACAGCATATATAATCAGAATAAAAACAACAACCCAATAACACGCCCCTCCCATAACGCTTCCTGGTCCCCCTTCAAAGCTCCCCTTCTCGCCCCCCAGGACCTGAAGGACACGCTGGCCCAGGAGCTGGACTTTGAGAACGAGGCGCGCAATTCGGAGCGCTGCGCCCAGGAGCTGAAGCACTTTGACTTTGTGGTGGTTCCTCGGGTCTACTGGGAGAGAAGCAGCAAGGTGCGTCTCTGCGCATGGCGGCAGGATGTGGCGGCGAGGGAGGTGTCTCTGTGTGTTTGTGTATAAAAGAGCCATTGATTGTAGCGTTCCTAAAGTAAGGAAGGATTGGAATCTGATCAATAGAATACACACGAGGCTTGACCAGCAAAACTCTGGGAGGAGGTGCCCAGGTTGTAATAATTCCTCTCCACGCCTCGGCCCAGGTCGTTTTATTCACAAAAGAACTTTTTACACAGTGTTCGTAAGAACCAATCAGATTTCCTCTGAGGATTTCAAAAAAACCCACGTGGGACAAAGTCAGATCAGAAGAAATTCTGTTAACTACAAAGAAACTATTTCCTACTTGAGCATGCATATGTAGTGCAAAGTAAATAAAATGGGAATAAAAGGAGGAATGCATTCAGCAAAACCCCAGAGGTCATAAACAGGAATAAACAGGATGGCAGTATTTGGCATCTCCTTGTGAACTCTCTTCCTGGCCCTTAAGATCTATCTAAAGATTAAACTACATCAAAGAACCTACTATATGTACTGAGGATGCCTGATGAAGCAACTGGCCTGTGTTTCAGAATGCTGATACGTGCCTGTCAGGTGCAGAGAAAGCAAATGGCAGAGGTGGAGAGGCCTGTGGGATTCGATCAGAAATTATTGTCAATGAATCAAACCCAGTCAACGCAATGCTTTCATTGCGGACACAATGGCTTTTTCATAATTACTCATAGCAATCCCACGTGACCCCCACACTCTGGATATTTGCACCCCTCCAATTGATGGCTGGAGGTGGGTGGAGCAGAGAAATGAATGAGTTTGGGGAAGGAACTTGGCCACTTCCAGCCCAAAGGAGTGAAATCATTTGTGGGGGGGGCTGTATTCTTACTCACCCCCATGCCAGCTGAAAGAGCATCTCCGCCATCCCCAACCTGGTTTTGGTCCAGGGGTTTTGGTTTCCAACTTGCATCAGCAATCAGGCAGCCCTGCTGGAGTTGTGGCCTGAGACGCTGGAGGGCCCCAGCTTGGAGAAGCCTGCCCTGTGTGCACACAACCCCCACCTGAGACAAGTACATTTTCTGCATTAGTGTGTGTGTGGAGGGGGGGAATACCAGCTTCGGGTCGTTGTCGCATTACATCTTCTCGGGGTTCCAGGTAGTGTCCCCACAAACACCTGAGCAGGACTGCCCAATATTTGCGTGTGACTCCTGCATTACAGCGGGTTGAGCTAGATGACCTCTGGGGCACCCTTCCAATTCTCTGATTGGCAACCCAGTTAGATGGGCAGCAAATTATTATTATTATTATATTTTATTATTGTATTATTTATTTTCTGTGGAAATAGAATTTTTATTTTTATTTGTTCTGTATCTGTGCTGCATTTCACTTGCATGAGTTGCAAAGTGGCTTACGTGCAATAAATAATAACACTGGAAGCCATCACAGTAAAGGTAAAGGGACCCGACCATTAGGTCCAATCGTGGCCGACTCTGGGGTTGCGGCGCTCATCTCGCTTTATTGGCCGAGGGAGCCGGCGTACAGCTTCCGGGTCATGTGGCCAGCAGGACTAAGCCGCTTCTGGCGAACCAGAGCAGTGCACGGAAACGGCATTTACCTTCCCTCCGGAGTGGTACCTATTTATCTACTTGCACTTTGACGTGCTTTTGAACTGCTAGGTGGGCAGGAGCAGGGACCGAGCAACGGGAGCTCACCCATTGCAGGGATTCGAACCGCTGACCTTCTGATCGGCAAGTCCTAGGCTCTGTGGTTTAACCCACAGTGCCACCTGCGTCCCTATAAGCCATCACAATTACACCACAAATCATATTTTGGGAGGTGGGGCAAGGCAGGTGGGAAAAGGGTCACCAGCGAGTCCCGTTCCCCTAATGGCTCTGGGCCTAAAACCCAGATACGTTTAAAGAAGATTGGACAACGTTTATTGACTATATGGGAAATAATTGTGTACAGCTGAGAACGCTGACAGCATTAAGATAAATTCAGCAGGGCAAATAAGTTTTGATGGATGCAATAACGGAATACTGAATGGTACAGTTTTTGAAAAATATGCAGGGATTTATGATACGTAAAATGAACTGTGGAAAGAGAAGAAGGGAAGTCATTGATATGTTAAGGGTGTAAAATTAGTATTTTAAATTGTGAAACCGAAAATTTAATAATAATAATAATAATAATAATAATAATAATAATAATATCAGATCTCTCTCCCTCTCGGGGCCTCAGCAGTCCATGGCTCATGTTGGAAAGCAAAACAGGACTGTGCGTGCTGCTCTCTGGCTACATTTGACGTCCTCTTTCCTTTCTCTCTCTGCCCCAAGAGGGTCCTGACAGCTGATTTCTACGACGGCTGCAAAGTCAACGACATGGAGGGCATCAAGAGGCGAGGCCTGCATGCCAAGGACGTAAGTGGGTGGAGGGGCAGCGTCAGGTGGGCAGGACGGAGGGAAAGGGCGGGCAACAGCAGAGGCTCCGTCCCACACTGGTTTGAACAGCTTGCCTCCTTCATGCACCACCCCAGAGGCAGCAGCATCTTCGCTTCACGGCCTCGGAGGGAGTGGTGAGGTGCATTTGTACGTATTTCATGCAGAAATCGGAAGCGGCCTTCCTGCCGGCTCAGGCTGGACATCCATTTAGGCCAGTGTGGGCTCCCCTGATGGGTAGAAGCCGTGGCGGATCTTGCAAGCTTCAGGGCAGATAAGAGAAATCTCTTCTTCACTCATCGCTTAGCTCAACTGTGGAACTCCTTCCAAAGGAGGCAGGGATGGCCACCACCCTGGATGGCTTTAAAAGAGGGCAGGACAAATTCAAAGTGGAGGAAAGGGCTATTGAAGCATGCTCTGGTTATCTCCTGCTTGGACTACTGCAATGTTCTCTACGTGGGGCTACCTTTGAAGGTGACCCGGAAACTACAACTAATCCAGAATCCAGCAGCTAGACTGGGGACTGGGAGGGGCCGCGAGACCATATAACACCGGTCTTGAAAGACCTACATTGGCTCTCAGTACGTTTCCGAGCACAATTCAAAGTGTTGGTGCTGATCTTTAAAGCCCTAAACAGCCTCAGTCCAGTATCCCTCAAGGAGCGTCTCCACCTCCATTGTTCTGCCCGAACAGTGAGGTCCAGCGCCGAGGGTCTTCTGGCAGTTCCCTCACTGCGAGAAGCCAAGTTACAGGGAACCAGGCAGAGGGCCTTCTCGGTAGTGGCACCCGCCCTGTGGAACACCCTCCCACCAGATGTCAAACAGAACAACAACTACCAGACTTTTAGAAGACATCTGAAGGCAGCCCTGTTTAGGGAAGCTTTTAATATTTAATGTATCACAGTATTTTAATATTCTTTTGGAAGCCGCCCAGAGTGGCTGGGGAAGCCCAGCCAGATGGGCGGGGTACAAATAATAAATTATTATTATTATTATTTTTATTACTGGCCAGGAAGGCTTGGCTCTGCCTCCACAGTTGGTGGCAGCAATGCTTCTGAATCCCAGTTGCTGGAAATCCTGCTCCCTGGTTTCCCAGTTGGCCGCTCTGACAACAGGATGCTGAACTAGATGGGCCACTGATCCTCCAAATCCTAGAATTCTGGGCTGTTGTCTCCTCTTGATGGGCAGCTGCAGCCCTCTGGGTCTTCCCCAACACTGGCTCCTTTCAACTGAAGGCGGCAGGGATTCCACCTTGGAACATCTGCATGCGGACTAATGGGCCCCGTCCCTGAGTGACGATTAATCCCCACCCATTTAAATCTCCCTTGCATTCAAATCTGTGCTTCCCAGACTTTTGGGGACCACCACCGCCCCCCTTGGTTCCATAACTCATCCCCTTTGTTTCCCACGCTACTGGAAGCATTGTTCGGAATAGCAGTTTGCACGACCCAGCAAGGAAGATGAAAGCACAATAAGGTTCAGAACAGCGAATTGCACATTAAAAATGTTGCATTCCGAAGGCAAAGGAAAGGATTGGACCCTGATTAAAACAAAAAAACACGAGGCTTGGCCAGCAAGACTCTGGGACGAAGTGCCAGCAATAATCTGTCACACCCTGGCCAGGTCCCTTTTATTAACAAAAGAGCACAGCGCTTGTAAGAACCAATCAGAAGTCCTCGGAGCATTTAAAAAAAACTACCACATGGGTACAAAGTTAGATCAGAGAAATCCTTTTAACTACAAAGGCTACTCTGAGCATGCATACATGTTTTAGAGTAAATAAAACGAATCAAGGAGGAATGCATTTAGGAAACCCAGAGGTCATAAACAGGCAGTAAACAGGAAAGGAAAGATAGTATTTACCATCTCCTTGTGAACTCTCTTCCTGGCCCTTAAGATCTACCTAAAGATTCACAAACTACATCAAAGTTACCTACTGTCTTTATGACCCAGGATGCCTGGTGAAGCAACTGGCCCGTGTTTCAGAATGCTTATACGTCCCTGTCAGGCAGAGAAAATGGCCAGAGATGCAGAGGCCTGTGGGATTTGATCAGAAATTATTGGCAATGACTCAAACCCAGTCAACACAATGCTTTCATTGCGGAGACAATGGCTTGCTTCATTTTTCATAATTCCTCATAGCAATCCCACCTGACCCCCACACAAAAGCCAGTTAAAACCATTTAGTTTAGTTAATTCAACAGAACTGATGAACTTGATGCAACACTAGCTCTCCAAAGTCTGAAAGGCTTTTGCGCCTTCATTGCCCTCCTTGCCTCTTAGCACCCCCAAACAGGTAATTCCCCCCCCCCCGGTAAGTTGAGGTGGGGGGTGCCTCTTAATATTGGGGGTGGGGGTGGAGAAGGGGTTGCCTGTGCTCACACAGAGGCCCGGGCTTCCTCATCACCCTGCCCTCTTGTGTTGTCTTGCAGGCCGCACAAAAGTTGGTCCAGGCGTTTGCAGAGCAGATCTTCCTCACTGGATTCATCCATGCCGATCCCCACCCAGGAAACGGTACAGAGGACCGCGGCCAGGGAAGAGGGCAGGCTTAGTTGGGGTATGCGGGCTGAATTGGGGAGCTAATGTTAAATAAGTTGGAGTTCTTGTTATTAAATATATCAAGAACAACCACACCAAGAACTCTGGCCAATGTGAGTTTCAGTAGTGGGAGTGGTCCCTACTCGCAAATCAATAGTCAGTTGCAACAAAAACTAATCCATTCAAAAGTATGTATTCTGACAAGGATTATAAAGTCAAATAAAGATTACAAACTCTAACAGGGATTACAAACTCAAGCTCATAAGGATATGTATAACACAATAATTCGTTACAGAATTAGAGATAAGAGTTTATGAGTAGAGATAGGTTCTTGTTAGTCCATAGTCAAGATTCGACATGAAGGTCTTAGTTTCAATCATTGAGCAGAAACCAGTTATGGATCAGAAACCAGGACAGGGCCCTGTTTCGATGTATTCACCATCATCAGCTGGAAGTATCAAACATTACATGAAAGTACCTTTAAATTCTAAATTAGCATAAATTATAAAACAGTCATAAATTGCAAAACAGTATTATACAACATTTGGTTCCTTACCTAATTTTTAAGGGGTCGTGTAAGTTTCAAGAATTCGTATAAATATATCCTGTTATTTTCTACGTTTCTCAGAGATAACAACTGAAAATAATATTAATAATAATATGTGTTGAATCAAATTAAAAACTCTAAGGCAGCATATACTAATATGATTCCTCACCTAAGTGTGGGTAGATCAATGTGTATCTTGAGCTTTTCTGTGCGTTTTCAATTTAGAAGTGAGCCTTTTATATGCGCTTAAAGGGGTAGATGAGAACTCCTAGATCTTCTTAAAGGCAGAGAGTTCTAAAGTTCAGAGGACAGCTGCAGTTTAATTTAAAGGTCTTAAAGAAATGATGTGTAATCCTGATAGCTATTCAGACCCATACGGGTCATGGTCTTAAGTAAATGGATGTACCGGGCTTCCTGTGGCTCTTCCCTTCCTGTCTCCGACTGCTTGTAGTGGCTTGTCGGGCCAAAGGATGAGATGAGATACATGGACACAGAGTGTGGGGTCAGGGTGAGATGGGGGTTCTGGTGTGGGCTGCTAGAAGAAGCTGAGGGGGCATTCTGGGGGGGGGGGGAGGAAAATCTGGTGCTCTGACCTTGTCTAAGAAGCATGTGCAGGCTTACCTATGTCTTGAAGGGCTGGTGGGAAACAACTGGGAAGCTGGCCAGACCTAGTTGCTGGGGGGCCTTTCCGTGCCCCCCTCCCCTGTTTCCTGGAGAACATGGTCCATAACCTTCCTTCCCTCCCCCTCCCCGTTTATGAAGATTACCCGCTCTGGAATCCCACAGCTAGTTCTCCCCTGGTCTCCTCGCTGGCCCAAATAGGAGTAATTTAGCCAGCTAGCCCTGGTGATCATCTAATGCTTATCGGATGGATTTTCCCCCTAAATTGATTTTTTAATTCTGAATTTATTGTTATTCACGTTTTATACTGTATTTTATGCTGGGTTTTGTTTTGTTTTGTTTGTTTGTTTGGGTTTTTTTTTGCATCAATTAATTTGTCGTTAGCCGCCCTGAGCCTGGTTTTTTGAACCGGGAAGGGCGGGGTACAAATAAAAATTTATTATTTATTTATGTATGTATAACTGAGGCGAGAAGCATCTTCACCACCTGCCTCCCTCCTTCCCCTCGTCTCTCAGTGCTGGTACAGAAGGGACCTGACGGAAAGGTGCAACTCATCCTCCTTGATCACGGCTTGTACGAGATCCTTCACGAGAAGTAAGTCAGCGCGAGGAGCTGAGTAATTTCAGGGTGGGGTGGTGGTGGGGGTATCGGGCTGGTGCAATAGCATCCCACTTGGATGTGGTGTGTGTCGTCCCCCCCCCTCTTTTGGGGATCTAAATACATTTTTATTCCATTTTACAACGTTTATAAAAACAGAGAGAGAGGGGTTTATAACAGCAGGTGGGAGTTAGGTTCTAGTGTTTTGTCAAAACCTCAAATTGTGTGTGATTTTCTCCTTTATCGCTATACAGTGGTACCTCGGGTTACAGACGCTTCAGGTTACAGACTCCACTAACCCAGAAATAGTGCTCCAGGTTAAGAACTTTGCTTCAGGATGAGAACAGAAATCGTGCTCCGACGGCGCAATGGCAGCAAGAGGCCCCATTAGCTAAAGTGGTGCTTCAGGTTAAGAACAGTTTCAGGTTAAGAACAGACCTCCAGAACGAATTAAGTACTTGACCCGAGGTACCACTATATCCCAGAGTGAGCGGTACCAACGTCCAGTATAAAGACTAGGACTAGCCGCCTGAGAAACAGTTTCTACCCAAATGTGATTTTGGTTTTAAACACATTGTAAGGAGTCTGTATTGGAGTATATTATATTTAAAAACAGGGTATCAGAATTTTTAGGGGGCTAACCAGGTTGGGATAGCTGGGATAGCAGGCTTGTTGGTTTTTGAATGTCTTATGTAGATTTTTCAATTTCGTTGTTCTGTATGGGACAATGGCAATAAAGATGTATCGTATCGGATTTTGGGTTGTTTTGCTTTGCCCATTTGAGCTGCCAAGCTCATAGACAAGACCAGTTCTTCTGACGATATATCTCCATTGGTAGCAGGTGTCCCATCTTGAGCCGGTGCTAGACTGTTTCCCCAAAAGGCCTTTCCGGGGTGTTGGCTCCCTGGCAAGGAAGCTCTCGTGATTTTTGCTCTCTCTGTCTCTTCCAGCGAACGGGAAGCGCTGTGCAAACTGTGGCACGCGATCATTTTGCACGATGATGCAGGCATGCAGATATACTCCAAGCAGCTGGGTGTGAAAGGTGAGGGGGCAGCTGGGAGCCACTTTGGGGGGGGGCAGCCTTAAGGGTCTCCCAGTCAGCAGGTAGAATCCTTCCCCTTTTACACACATGCACACATTCTGGCTGAGGGTCGTGCTCCCCGTGGATTTTGTGTTTCTTTGAAGTGGGAGGTGCTGATTATTATTATTTCTAGTGGTACCTTGGTTTAATAACAGCCCTGTTTACGAACTATTCGTTATAAGAGCTCCGCAAAACCGTAAGTAGTTTCCCAGTTTGCGAACTTTAGCTCTGTCTGTGAACGGAATCCGAACGGTGGAAGGGCACCGGCAGCAGGAGGCCTCATTGGGGAAAGCGCGCCTCAATTTAAGAACAGCTTTGGTTTAAGAACGGACTTCCGGAATGGATTAAGTTCGTAAACCGAGGTACCACTGTACAGTGGTACCTCTTGTTATGTACTTAATTCGTTCCGGAGGTCTGTTCTTAACCTGAAACTGTTCTTAACCTGAAGCACCACTTTCGCTAACGGGGCCTCCTGCTGCCGCTGAGCTGCCGGAGCATGACTTCTGTTCTCATCCTGAAGCAAAGTTCTTAACCCAAGGTACTGTTTCTGGGTTAGCAGAGTCTGTAACCTGAAGCATATGTAACCCGAGGTACCACTGTATTATTTTATTTTTTATACCCCACCCATCTGGCTGGGTTTCCCCAGCCACTCTGGGCGGCTAACAGCATATATAAAACATAATAAAATATCACACATTATAAACTTCCCTAAAGAGGGCTGCCTTCAGATGTCTTCTAAAAGTCTGGAAGTTGTTCTTCTCTTTGACATCTGGTGGGAGGGTGTTCCACAGGGCGGGCGCCACCACCGAGAAGGCCCTCTGCCTGCTTCCCTGTAACTTGGCTTCTCGCAGTGAGGGAACCGCCAGAAGGCCCTTGGAGCTGGACCTCAGTGTCTGGGCAGAACGATGGTGGAGACGCTCCTTCAGTTATTCTGGACCGAGGCCGTTTAGGGCTTTAAAGGTCAGCACCAACACTTTGAATTGTGCTCGGAAACATACTGGGAGCCAATGTACGTCTTTCAAGACCGGTGTTATGTGGTCTTGGCGGCTGCTCCCACTCCCCAGTCTAGATGCCGCATTCTGGATTAGTTGTAGTTTCCGGGTCACCTTCAAAGGTTGCCCCACATAGAGCGCAGTGCAGTAGTCCAAGCGGGAGATAACCAGAGCATGCACCACTCTGGCGAGACAGTCTGCGGCAGGGAGGGTCTCATCCTGCGTGCCAGATGGAGCTGGTCGACACCTCCTCTGCACACAGCTCCCATGGAGGGTAAGGACAACAGGTTCTTTGTGCATTTCCTCCCCGTTCCTAGCTAATTTGGAAATGAGAAAGCGGATGTGGGTTTTCCTCCCTCCCTCATAACAGAACCCCAAAGGGGGTTAACCAGCAAATCTGAACATTGGAAGAATGTGGTCCCTCACCCAGCACAGGGTTACACCATGGAGTTTGCTCCTAGAAGAATACACCTTTCTGTGTATACAGTGGATGCTCAGGTTGCGAATGTGATCCGTGCGGGGTGCATGTTTGCAACCCGCAGCATTCGCAACCCACGTCTGCGCATGCATAAAGTGTGATTTAGCGCTTCTGCGCATGCGCGACTGCCGAAACCCAGAAATAACCAGTTCCGATACTTCCGGGTTTCGGCGGTCCACAACCCAAAAGAACGCAACCTGAAGCGGCTGTAACTCGAGGTACGACTGTACTTGGAACGGAACCCCTGAATAAAATGTGAATAATTGTTTTGGAGAGGCCAGCTTTAGGCTCGCTTCTCTCCTTAACAGTATTATGATCCCTGGGATGTAGATGGGCTGGCTTTCCTGAAGGTGCCGGCCTCCGTTCCTGGCGGAGGCGAGATCTGACTTGAGCCACTTCCCGCTTTCCAGGGGGTTAGACCAGATGGCCCTTGGGAGCCCCTTTCTGCCTCTACGGTTTTTCCTGCCTTTGCACCTAAGCTCCTCCCCTCCCCCAGCCCAGGATTACTTCCTGTTCTGCGAGATGCTGCTGCAGCGGCCAATCAACATGGCTCAGCTGGTGCTGTCCAACGTGCTGACTCGCGAGGAGACGGCCTACATGCAGGACATGGCCAAGAACCGCTTTGACCGCATCATGCAGGTGCTGAAGGATCTGCCCCGCTCCATGCTGCTCGTCTTCCGCAACATCAACACCGTCCGGGGCATCAACGTGGCCTTGGGGACCCCCGTGGACCGATACTACATCATGGCCCGCAGGTGAGGGGGTGGGACGCCTTGGAGCCAGTGGCTGGAAACCACTAGGAGAGAATCCTCTTGTGCTCTGATCCTGCTTGGTTTCCCAGAATGGCCATCTAGTTCAGCCACTGTGAGAGCAGGAGGCTGGACTAGATGCCCCCCCCCCCCGGCCTGATCCAGCAGCCACCTCTTATGCCTTTAATAATAATAAATTTATATATATCCCACCCTCCCCAGCCGAAGCCGGGCTCAGAGCGGCTAACAGCAATAGAAGTAACACAGCATTCTAAAATCAATTCAAAATGAAATGGCAACCACTGGGCCAGAGTTCTATGAGGATGACCAAAGGAGGGGGTCAGGCTGTGCCTTGGCCAAAGGCCTGGTGGAACAGCTCTGTCTTGCAGGCCCTGTGGAAAGATGTCAAGTCCCGCAGGGCCCTAGTCTCTTGGGACAGAGCGTTCCACCAGATCGGGGCCACGGCCGAAAAAGCCTTGGCTCTGGTTGAGGCCAGCCTAACCTCCCTGTGGCCCGGTACCTCCAAGATGTCTTTGTTTGAAGACTGTAAGGTCCTCCGTGGGACATACCAGGAGAGGCGGTCCCGTAGGTACGAGGGTCCTAGGCCGTACAGGGCTTTGAAGGCTAAAACCAGCACCTTGAACCTGATCCTGTACTCCACCAGGAGCCAGTGCAGCTGGTATAGCACCGGGTGAATGTGATCCCGCGTCGAGGACCCCGTAAGGAGTCTCGCCGCGGCATTCTGCACCCGCTGGAGTCTCTGGGTCAGTCTTAAGGCCAGCCCCACGCAGAGCGAGTTACAATAATCAATACAATAATTTATGCCCTGTGTGATTCTTGCTCCCTGCAACCCCCCCCCCCCCCCGGCAAACACCACCAGGATTCAGACTCTGGTGTCTGTCTGTCTCTTTTAAAGTGCGGTGAGATGCTGGAGTCACATGATTAGCCAAAGATCTGGAGGGATCAACAACATCATCTTCGTTCGCTGGATCCGTGCGGCCTGGAACACCTTCGTGTTTGAGTTTTCGCTCAGGTAAGGTGTGTGTGTGTGTTTGCGTGCCCCCAAATATTGAGCTGGGAGCCCTGGCAAACGACGCCTACCTCCAGTCAATTTAAATAACCAACCCTGTCCCTTATGCAAACTGTTGCTCTCCAGCTGTTGGACCAAGACTTACAGCCAGCCCTGCTGCGCTGGCTGGAGATTATGGGAGTCACAGTCAAGCATCATTTGCTTTCATGGCGGCTGCTGAATTTCAAAACTCTGTAGAAAAAGACAGTCACGGAACCGAGAAATTGCACAAAACGAATGAAATACCGTGAAAATCCCTGAAACGAGAAGTAATCGATTATATATGTTATCTTGTGGAAATCAACTAAATAATAAAAATCAAAAAGTTTAAGGAAAAAATTAGAAAAACCTAAAATTGAACAAAGTCTTAATGGGATGCCAGCTACAAATCTCGTTTCACTGAACTATTCAGTTTCCTCAGAATAGTCCTCAATCCTTTATTACTGCTCGGTGCTTCACCTAGGTCGAGCTGGGATTATAATACTTCAGAATTTTTGGGAGTTCTACCCCCCTTTTTTGAATTTTGGTCATTTAAGGTTTATGATTTTTCTGTTTCCTTCCGAGGAAACTGAATAGTTCAGTGAAACGAGGTTTGTATTTTATTTTCATAAGATAATATTTCTAGTCGATTACTTCTCGTTTCAGGGATTTTCACGGTATTTCATTGGTTTTTTGGTATTTCAAATCTCTGGCTCAGTTACTGGCTGACATCTTTTTGTCTCTCTTTCCACCACCACCCTAAAAAAACCAAACCAGGTTCCAGGTCACCGCCATAAAGTTCACTACCTCTGTCCTGCGCTTCCTGGCTTTTGTTGGCTTCCTGAAGGACAGCAAGAAGCCGGGGGAAATCTACGAGTTCCTGAAGGCATAGAGCGGCTGCTGCTACGACCTTCTGCCGCAGGCTGGATCGCAGCCTCCAGGCCAGAGGATGGCCGAAGGCCTGTCCAGCTTGATCTAACACCAGGTGCTTTTCATGCCTGCAGAGGAGGACAAGGTGCTCTCCCACTTTTCTATTAAAAAAATTACCGGTGAGAAATGCAGGACCTGATCCAGCCCCTCTGCAGTCACCTGTTAGGCAGAACCAGCGCAAGGGTGGGCCGCAGCCTTCCTGCACCTCAGATTCTGCTAGCAGCAGGGCTGAAGGGGAGCCATGTTCCCAACTCCTTGCAGCAAACAGCTTGTGATAATAAATGCCCAGTTTTTATCCTCTGTTGGTATCTTCTGTTGGCTCAAAGTCTGGTGGGGACGCTTCCCCACACGTAGCTTGAAATTTAATATAGAATGGATTGGGAGAGAGAGAGACCAGGGAGGGAGGCCTGTTTTGGCCAACTTGCTCCACAGGGGAGGAGGGTGCGATGAGTTCATCTGATGACAAAGCAAACTGGGTTTCTCTGGATGTGAAGAGGTTGGGCGTAGCGTGGCAGCACAGTCTCGCTGCATGAGTTCTAGGAAGAACTTTCTGGTGGTGAGAACTGTTCAGCAGCAGAGCAGGTTGCCGCCCCTTCGTTGGAGGTTTTTACGCCTGCCAGGGGTGCTTTAGCTGTGACCCTTGCATTGCTGTTCTACGATTCTGTGAACACTGTGGGAAAGGCTATCCTGGGACAGGTTTTTGGTGGCTGTGCTTTCTCTTGCCCCCCCAACCTGTGGACACAGAGGAACCACTACACCCTGGCAGGCGGTCTCAAACATATGAAGCCGTGTCAGCCACCTTCTTCCTCAACAGCAGCAATGAGTTGCAGCCAGCCTCTCTCTACCATACCCCCCCTTGCATTGCACAAGATCTCGCCGGTGCAGCTCCACAAACTGGTAGCCCCAATCACTGCGAGTTCACCATTTCTTTACAAATCCTTGCCAGTTTTATAAAAACACATAACTGAGAAAGAGTCCTGTAGCCCAGCCAGGAAGACATTACAAACATTGGGGTTCCAATGGGGGGGGCAGACAGGGAGGCTGGGCCGCCCCCTGCAGCCAAATCAAGGGGCGCAGTTGCGGGGAAGGGGAATCCTTAGAAATGAGCTGTGACGCGATCGATCTCCAGCAGATCTTCCAGGATCTGTAGACAGAAGTGGGGAAAGAGGGTCATTAGGAATTGCCCAGGAGGGAAATTTCTCCCTTGCAAGGAACTTCCCTTTGAAAGACGCTCTTCTGTTATGGCGCAAATCCCTTAGCCCAGGGGTTCCCAATTAGGGGTCTGGGGATCGGTGGCACCATCTCTTGCCAGGGACTCACTTATCTTGTTAATTTCACAGTGAAAGCCACAATAGTGATCCACGGATCACCCAGCCTCTGCTCGTGACTAGTGCTTGCTTGCTGGAAGGGGGAAAACTGGGTAATAATTGCTGGATAGCAAGTGAGCTGGGATTGGGCACAAACTTCTAACACAAGTTTCTTAGGACTCTTGCAACTGGATGGCTGGGGAGAGAGAGAGAGAATGCAAATGGGTTGCTCCATGGGCAGGGTCCACATTATTATTATTATTATTATTCTTAATTATTATTATTAATTGTTGTTGTTATTATTATTATTATTATTTTAATGTAAGGGATCCCTTCGCCTTGTTCCTTACTTTTTAACTGAAAAGAACTTCTAATTGCTTTCAACAACTATCAGGTTTTGAGGAGTCTCCCACTGCTTGGAATTGGGTTTTCAGTGAATCTTGCCTGATAGGTTTGGGGGTTCATGGTTCATCTTGGAAGTCCAACAGGGGAAACAGGTAAGCAAATTGCCACTAGGATAAGCACAACAGCCCGCCCTCTGATTAACACTGTGATCCATCAGCAGCTAAATACCAGTATATGGTGATATATGACTGGAATTTGTCTTGGGTGCTTCTTCCAAGATACATGGCCCAGCCCCACACGGGGAGCGGATCCGGATGTCTCTCAGGCTAAAGGGCAAGCCGAGGAGTATTGACCCTTCGCAGAACTGCTCAGCGGGGTGGGGGTGTGTGGAAGAGGCCTCCCGTTCCCCAGCTGAACAGCTCCAGTGTCTCAGAAGGCAGCCTGCCCCCCAGCTGAAGGAGCCCAATGCTTCTCTGGTTTGCATATGAGCAGGAGAAGCATTGGGGCTCCCTACAGCTGGGGGGAGGAGCACTTTAATGGAGCCCCCCACCATCACCAGCACAAGCCAGCAGCAAGCTGGGGGCTCCGTTAACTGCTCGACCAAGGGGAGTGGAAACTGCGCAGTAGAGCAGTTTCACAGAGCCCCCACCCTGCTGCCGTCTGGCTTTGCACAGGCAACTACCATAGAGTTATCAAAATTTTCAAAAGTAGGAGGTCTGGGGTCCTCAGTCATTAGCTAATTGGGAACCACGGCCTTAGCCAACCTTGACAGGCCACAAGAGCCACCTGGGAGGGGAAGAGGCCCAAGCATTACAATAACAACAGCTACAAATCCAGCTCAACATAAGTGATTTATGCTCCTGATAAAAACTAAAGGATTTAGTTCCTTTCGTTCCTTATTTCCTGCAAAGGCTGCTCTCAAGGCCACTTGGCTTGAGCTGCCACCCAAGCAGTTTTGCAAGGAACGGGGCCAGAAATCCCTTGAGACAGAGGCTGGTTTTCTCACAGTGCAGCAGGCACACAATGCGCACTGTGTCAGGCTATTTGCGTTCCTTGTCTGCTCTGGAGCTGGAAGCAGCTCCTGCCAGTGGAGGTGACCCCTGCCTTCCTGGCTCTTCCCTCCACCCCACTCACGATGTCCGGTGTGGTGCCGATTTTCTTGGCCAGCTCGCTGCGCTCCATGGTGCTCAGGTAAAGGTAGCGGTTGAGCAGCTCCCCGTCCAAGACGTTGCGCACGGCGTTCTGCAAGATGCGCCGGTCCATGTGCAGCATCCTAAGGAGGGGCAGGAGGAACGTCGTGAGAGGAGTGCTGGGGTCCCTGCCTCATTCAACCACTCCAGCTCCAGCAGGCAGCAGGAATGGTGAAGGGGTTTGTAATCCTTTAACCAGGGGTCGGCAACCTAAGGCCCATGGGGGTCATTTAACCGGCCCACGAGCTGCCCCCAAATCGAGCCGCCTGCTCGGCAAGTCCCTGTGCGCTGCACTAAACTGGCGCAGTGCGGGGACTTGCTTCCATGGTGCCGGAAATCACATCTGTGCAGACGCCAGAAATTGCAGGTGCGTGCGCAATCCAGCCCACGGAGGGATCTCCACTGGAGTGAACCAGCCCAGGCGAGGTAAACCTTGCCGACCCCTGCCTTTAACATCCAGTAATAGTAATTAATAATAATAATAATAATAATAATAATAATTTATTTATACCCTGCCCATCTGGCTGAGTTTCCCCAGCCACTCTGGGCGGCTTCCAATCGAGTGTTAAAAACAATACAGCAATAAATATTAAAAACTTCCCTAAACAGGGCTGCCTTCAGCTGTATGCTAATCTGATCTTATGTGTGACCCATAACTCAGGGGTGAACTTGGCAGCCAGCCTGCTTATCCCACATGTGGACAGACAAGGTCTTCTGCTCCCCAGCCAAGTCACCCATCATCAGCTCTGAAACAGTCTCGCGCTCTCCCTGTGAGGCCTATATCCCATCAGTCCTCCTACGGGCAGATTCTGCTTGCAGGTGTGGAAGGCACAGGTGGCATAGTGGCCCATGGCGCTCTGAAGACAGCAGTATGTGCAGAAGGGGATTGCAGAGCCAGACTCCCCTCCCACCAAACATAGGCACATAGATGAGACTGTGGGTGGCTCTTTCCTGCCCTCCAACAGCGCTGCTCCTCAAGGGGCACACAGAGGGGGTCAAGCAGGGGTAGAGGGACTTGAAGAGGCAGGGCCCCAGGAACAAGCTACCTGAAGGCACGCGGGTTGAGGCCGGCGTGGTGGGGCAGCATCGTGGTCAGGGCGTTCTGAAGCATCAGCAGGCGCCGGTAGGTCTTCTCTTGCATGGGCAGCAGCAGCCCGATCCCTCCGTCAAGCGTGGCTGGAGGGGGGAAGAAACACCACACCCCCCCCTTCAGAGTCAAGGCTCAAGCGAGTGCCTTTGGCTCAGAGACCATGGACACATTTAGCCACCTGGATCTCCCCTCTCACATAAGTACACCATGGTTTGCACGTAACGCCAAACCGTGGTTTGTTAAACACCTCAGCCCAGGAGACTAACCATGGTTTCTGTTCCAGCAACAAACCACCATGTGAGGCCATGATTGACTGTCTCTGGCTTCTCAACCTTGGCTTGTTTTAACTACTGGTTGGCATTATTTCTGAAGCCCACAGCCTTGCTTTTGCTTAAAATCATCGTTCGGGCAGCCCAGCCCAGCTGCTTGCTGAGCTACAGAGGAACATGGAGAGAACAGCTGGGGGAGGAAACCAAGCTCTGGAGAAACAAGCCATGGCTGCTTTGTTTGTCCGTGTGATGACTTGTGCCTCGCTGAAGAAACCATGGCTTGGCATTAAGTGCAAATGTAGCCAGCAAGCTCTTGAATGGGAAACTCAAAATATCACAAGGGTAGGTAATTTCAAACTCATTCCCAAGGCATAAAATTGAGCTGTCTTCACACAAATGTAAGGTCCTTTCCTTCTTTATATTCAGTTGCCAACACTCAAAAACAGAATTCTGGATTTTCCAACAAAATCTTCCCAGATTTTAAAATCTTAGAATTTGAAATTCTAAACCTGAAACGCAAAGAGGCTGCAGGCTCAGTTCCCTTAGACTCTGGCCGAGATGACTCCCCGGGTGTCTTCTTCAGAGGCCCCCTTACCAAACCAGGTGATGTGCTTGTTCTCCCACGCAATGGATTTCTTGGTGGGCCCCTCCATAGCCCCGCGGCACGGGGTCCTCCAGAAGGCGTTGACGTGGGCTCCCACGTGGAAATCGGCCCTGCGGAGGAGGCGCATACCCCCAAAGCTTTCCTTTGCTGGAGAGAAAAGCAAAGAGGTGGTTGGGAGGGAAGGAGGGAGACAATGAGCCTTCGCCCTCTGGGTGCTGCTGAACTACAACTCCCGTCAGCCCCAGCAGAGGCGTGGCTGAAGGGCACCAGACTGTTGAAGGCGGCTCAGAGGCCATGCGGTGTGTGGGACAACGTAGGGGCTTGAGCCGGAGATCCAGAGAAAGCCCACCCGGCCCAAACATCTCTTTCCAAAAGCCCCAGCACTCCTTCCTGTTGAGGAAGCGCCAAGATTCTTGTTCCCCGAGCCTGGGAGTCACGTGAGTGATGGGAAACAGGAAGAGGGTCAGATCCAATCTCCCCAGAACAAAAAAAAGAAGACACACTTTGATCTCACCTTCTGGCAGATACATGTAAACAAGGAGGTTCCGGTCCCTGTCAGACACTGCAAAATAGAGTAAAACAGATCAATGACGTAGCCTGACCGTGCCAGAAACACAGCTGCCCCTTGCTTGGGGGCTTTTAAACAGAGACGGGATGGTCATTTTGGCTGTGATTCCTGCATTGCAGAGAACTGGACTAAACAGACCCTTCCAATTCTATAATTCTGTATTTTGGCTTGTTCCAAATGCAGAGAAAAGGGCTTGTGTTGTTCAAAACACAGATGGGGCGCCACCTTGTGAAGCCCAGGCATGGGTCTGAGTCTTCCCCAGCCCCCAACACCATCATCCTGGGGCACAGCCAAGGCTGCTGGACTGAACCCTCCTGAAAGGGCTCCCCCAACGCCACGCTCAGGCTGCTCACCGAGAAATCCCAGCTGAGCGTTGTCCACCATGAAGTCCACACTGTAAACTTCCAGGGGTTTGGCGTCCTGGAGGCGAGAGAGGAGGAGAAGTCAGCCAGGTGGGGCAAGGCTCAAGCAGGCCCCACCCTGCCAACCCTCTAGGAAAGGGTCCACGCCCCATACCCGGCTGACGAGGGAGAGAGTCTTGCTCTCCTCCTGGTAGCGGAGCAGCGAGATGCTCTTCATGAGGTCAGCTGCCAGGATGAAGTTCTTGACGCTGATCATCTGGTGGATATAGAGCTGCGTGTCGATGAAGGCCATGCCCGTCAGGTCATTGTCCTTCAAGCGCCACAGGAAGATCTGCAGGAGGGAGGGAGACCAGGGCTCAGCCCAGGCAGGGGGCAAGGGGACAGGAAGCCCCTTCTCCCCACCTCATCTCTCACTTCCCATTTATTTGGGAATTATTTGGGAAATTATTACTTAATTTCTATACCGCCCTTCATCCAAGGATCACAGGGCAGTTTGCAATATAAAAACTCAAAAATGCACAACACAGTAGCAGACAAAAACACAAGATGATGATCACAGGGTCTGGGTTGGTTCTTCTCCCCATCTTTCCATTGTACCATGTTGCTGATGCCTCAAGTTCTGTTTTTCAGCAATTCCTTCTCTAAATCACAGAAGGCTCACCTTACCAGCCCTGCAAGGCACTTCTGCACTCTAACCACCCCTTTTGATTTGCGCTTTATCTTCATTCTGTAAAGCACACCTTGGAAAACTCTCTGAAAAGCGATACAGAAAGCTTTTACATAAAAGCAGTACAGTGGTACCTCGGGTTACAGATGCTTCAGGTTACAGACACTTTGGGTTACAAACTCCACTAACCAGGAAGTGGTTGCTCCAGGTTAAGAACTTTGCCCCAGGATATGAACGGAAATCGCACGCCAGCAGCACAGCGGCAGCACGAGGCCCCATTAGCGAAAGCACGCCTCAGGTTAAGAGAACCGTTTCAGGTTAAGAACGGACCTCTGGAACAAATTAAGTTCTTAACCTGAGATACCACTGTAATGGAAGAAGAGGTCTCCTTTCCAGACACCCCCAAGTCTACATTCTATAAATAAAGTCCATGTCACAGAACCATCTCCTTGCAGCCTGGGGGTTACTATCCTGTTTCAACTCGAGGTGCTCAAACTACCTTCTGTAACTTCCCAACTTCCCATGCCAACATCGTGCACACAAACTCACACACACAATATTATGAATTAACAGGAATTATTGCAGCTCCCTGACGGCATAATCATAACCGCCTACGTACGTCAGAATAACCTACACTGAAAGGGTGACAGAAGCTTCCACCCCAAGAATGGCTGCAGAGCGTTTAGGAGCAACGAATCCACATTCTACACTGAATAAGCCCCCGAGAGCGGCATCCCACCTGCCTCTTCCAGGCCCTGCTCACCTTCTGGCCAATGGCCGACACCAGGTAGCCGTTGCAGTGGCAGAGAGCAGTAACGGGCCCCTTCTGCTCCTTCTCATACAGCACCTTGAACTTGTTCTTGGTGAGGGGCTGCCCAGGCTCTGGAACCACTTCGATGATGTCCATGATCAAGATCTGAGGGCAGGGGAGCAAGGAAGGGAGAGTCATCCTACATAACCAGGGCAGTTTGGATTATTACTATAATTCACTTTTTTGATTAGCTGGCACAGAGCAGAACTTTGCCTGTTCACAACTAAGGAGTTGTAACTTCCGCTTTTGAGCCTTCAGGTCTTTGCCTCACTTCTCCATGCACCCGCTGTAGAACCCAGAACACATACAAGACCCTCTTCAGAGCACAGGGGAAAAGCTTGGAGGTACAAACAGGGGTTTCTAGCCCCAGTTCATAAGGCTGCAGCAAAAAAGCAAATGCTATTCTAAGCTGCATCAACAGAAGTAATCGTAGTCCTGCCTTGGTCCTACCACACCTAGAATATTGTGTCCAGTTCTGGGCACTGCAATTTAAGAAGGATGTTGACAAGCTAGAACGTGTGCAGAGGGCAGCCAAGATTATCAAGGATCTAGAAGCCAAGCCTTATGAGGAACAGTCGAAGGAGCTGGGTATAATTATTCTGGAAAAGAGGAGTCAGAGAGGAGATACGATAGCCATCTTCAAATATATTAAGGGTTGTCACATGGAAGAGGGAGCAAGCTTGTTTTCTTCTGCTCTGGAGGGTAAGACTTGAACCAATGGATTCAAGTTACAAGAAAGGTTCTGACTAAACACAAGGAAGAACTTTCTGATGGTAAGAGCTGTCTGATAATGTAACAGTCTCCCTTGGGAGGTTGTGGACTCTCCTTCCTTGGAGGTTTTTAAGCAGAGGTTGGGTGTCCATCCGTCATGGATGCTTTAGCTGAGATTCCTGCATTGCAGGGGGTTGGACTAGATGACCCTCAGGGTCCCTTCCAACTCTACAATTCTGCAATTTTGTTCCTTGGATCCTGATGCCACCACTCAGCCCAAATTGGGAGAGGCTGCCAGCAAAACACGCAGTTCGCCAGATGGATGAATGAGTCCAGCGTGTCCAAACTGGGGAAATCTGGACCAAGGACTGGGCCTGTGAAGGCAGCAGGCAGGAACTGTGGGAGAAGGATGGGTGGAACTGTGCAGAAGAAGCCCCCGGCTGTGTTGCCTTCCTGCTCAAGCGCCCAGCGTTGTCTGACTCACCCGGCCCCTGCAGGTCACCTCCTCACCCTGCATGAGGCAGGTCCCCACGGCGATGTAGCCCTTCAGGCCAGAGACGGTCTCCTCACTCTTGAGGGACACCGTCTTCATGCAGGTCACGTGCTCCCACTCCTCCAGGTCGATCCTGCAGATTGAAAAGGGGCAGGAGAGGTTGGAGGGGGAGCCAGGCCAAGCTGCTTTCTGGGTGCCATAATAATAATAATAATTTTTAATTTATATCCCGCCCTCCCAAGCTGAAGCTGGGCTCAGAGCGGCTAACAACAATAAAAGTAATACAACATTCTAAAATCAATTCAAAAGCAAATTCATGGCAACCATTGGGCAAGAGTTCTGTGAGGATGACCAAAGAAGGGGGTCAGGTTGTGCCTTGGCCAAAGGCCTGGAAAGATGTCAAGTCCCGCAGGGCCCTAGTCTCTTGTGACAAAGCGTTCCACCAGATCGGGGCCACAGCCGAAAAAGCCCTGGCTCTGGTTGAGGTTAGCCTAACCTCCCTGTGGCCCGGGACCTCCAAGATGTTTTTGTTTGAAGACCGTAAGGTCCTCTGTGGGACATACCAGGAGAGCCGGTCCCGTAGGTACGAGGGTCCTAGGTCACATAGGGCTTTAAAGGTTAAAACCAGCACCTTGAACCTGATCCTGTACTCCACCAGGAGCCAGTGCAGCTGGTATAGCACTGGGTGAATGTGATCCCGCGGCAAGGACCCCATAAGGAGCCTCACCACGGCATTCTGCACCCGCTGGAGTTTCTGGGTCAGTCTTAAGGCCAGCCCCACGTAGAGTGAGTGCAGGCTCTGCACCAAGAGAAGGCAGCCTCTTCCCCTTCCCCAAGACTGAATAAAGCACCCAAGGTGTTTTTCTCTTCCTTAGTGGGTTATGCAAGCTGCTGTTCTGAATAATGCTTTTTGTAGGGTAGGGAGCACTGGGGAACTAAGTGGACAGAGGCCCAAAAACCTTGGAGACCACTGAACTAAATCTTTCCAGCGCTGCTTCTAGGATGCATCAGAATGGCCCCTGAAGGCAAACGGAGGCTGGACCAGGTGGCCCTTTGCTCTGATCCAGCAGCAACCGCCAGGCTCTCCTGATATTCCCCACCTGGAACCCAACCAGGCACCAGATCTTCCCCACCTGCCGCTGCCTGGGAAGGAGCTTTCTTGGGCTCCTGCTGCCACAAGCCCAAGGGCTGAGCACCCTCCTCACCTGGTATTTGGAATCGTCTCCCAGCTGACTGGAGAGATCAGCTGGATGGAAAAGGCCTCCTGCAGCGGGTGCATGTAGCGATCATCTGGAGGTGGGGATCAGAGAGAGAGAGAGAGAGACAAAGGGAGAAATAGGTATGCAGCTGGCATCACCATCAGACCCAGCTGGGCAGAGGAGGGGGGCACAAGGGGCCATGGCTCATCACGGAGAGGGCACACCTGCTTCGGCTGCCCAGGCCTCCAGCATCTCCAGTCAAATATCAGGCACCAGGGGATGTGGAAGACCAGTATGTTTCCGAGCACAGTTCAAAGTGTTGGTGCTGACCTTGAAAGCCCTAAATGGCCTCGGTCCAGTATATCTGAAGGAGTGTCTCCACCTCCATCATTCTACCCAGACAGCACCGAGGGTCTTCTGCCGGTTCCCTCACTGCGAGAAGCCAAGTTACAGGGAATCAGGCAGAAGGCCTTCTCGGTGGTGGCACCCGCCCTGTGGAACACCCTCCCATCAGATGTCAAGGAAATAAACAACTATCTGACTTTTAGAAGACATCTGAAGGCAGCCCTGTTTAGCGAAGCTTTTAATGTTTGATGCATCACTGTATTTTAATATTTGGTTGGAAGCCACCCAGAGTGGCTGGGGAAGCCTAGCCAGATGGGCAGGGTATAAATAATAAATTATTGTTATTATTATTCTTTCCCCACCTTGAGACCCTGGAGAGCGACCACCAGCCAGAGAAAGCAAGAGTGATCTAGACGGAACAAGTCAGACTGCTTTGTTCTGGAGGGCAAACCAAGGGGTTGGGTGGCCCTTTGTGGTGGAAGAGAGAGGAGTCCACAGCCTGTCTCCCTCCATCTCGCAGCCCAACCTCAAGACTTGCCCAGCACAAGGGGCCGACTCTTCAAGTCAAAGACCTCTCCTCCGCAGAGAGGAGGCGGCGTTTTCCAACAGCTGCGAGCCACCCACCTCGCTCGATGGTCTCAAATTCCTTCTCCTCGCCCGTCATGCGGGGGATCCTGGTGCAATGGTTGTTGATGCTGGTAGCCACCGCGTAGACCTGCCGGAGGGAGCAGACTCATTAAGGCATTTGGGGGGGTGAGTTGAGCAGAAGGCCTTGTTGTGTCAGTGGAGGACTCCACTTCCCCACCACCAAGAAGGCCCTGCTGAAGGTCCCGCTCCACACAGCCCTACCTTGGACTCCACGTGGTAGGATACGTAATGCGCGGTGCAGCGCAGTGGGATCTTCCGGACGGGCCACGGTGCGTCGTAGGAAAGGTAGGCAGGCAAGACGCTGATGCGCAGCTCCCCCTGTAGCAGAGGACACAGACAAGGCCTTGTTCTCACCTGCGGATAGATCTTCTCACGGCAGCAGCAGCTCAGGTGCAGAGTGAGCTGCCTCAAACGTAGCAGGCAGAAGGCAAATGAAAGAAATAAGGCAGGCATCCCATCCAAGCTTCTGTCGCCAGGCCAGGCCTACCTGCCGGTTGAAGTAGAGGAAGCCCTTGGGACAGTTGACGTTGTGGAAGGGGGCAAAGGACTCGATGGGGCCGTCTATGGTCATGGGGTGCAGGCGTAGGGCCCCCCGAGACGTTACCAGCAGCCAGTGTGGGGAGGGGCCACAAATGAACACCTGGGAAGAAATGCAAACACAATCAGGACCCGGGGCTGCACGTGAGCACAGCCTTCTCCTGCGCCAGGCCAGTAGTGCCTGCTCTGGCAGGCAGAGGTTCCACAAAGCCTCGGGAAGAGAACGCCCTTGCCCAACTCCCCAAAGAGAAACGCTTCTCCTGAGAATCTCCCAAGGGTGACTCCTCCGCGAGACTCACCCCCGAGTATCCATAGATATCCTCAAAGTAGCGGAATCGGGCAACCCGCCCCCTGGCAGCCCCCGATTCCTCTCCACCCATGCCATCCGGCTTCTTCTTCGACGGCTTGGGCTTCTTCTCCCGGAAGTTAATGTTATGGGGAACCTGATTGGAAGGAAGGGAAAGGGCGTCAAAGGGCAGAAGGAGGTCAGTGGGGAAGCCTTCCCTTCGAGTGCAGAGGGAAGCCTGCAAGGGAGACTGCAGCGTTCCAGTGGCCTGGGGAGAAGGCAGAGTGGCTCTTACCTTCTTGAACCGCACTTTGAGGTTGGTCTGGCCCAGCTGAGAGCCGTGGTTAAAAGCTTCGTAGATGAGCAGCTCTTGGTCCACGTGGACCTGTCAACAGGGTGGAGAAATAAAGTGAGCCTCACCCTGTGCCTTGGCTCACTGCATCAACAGATTGAGCACTCTCAGGCCATGGGGACACAGCTCATTGTTGGGGCAAAAAGAACCACAGTGCCAAGGCCTTGCCATGACCCCGCCTTGTAGCCCTCATGGTCCTCTAAGCTCCTGGATCCTTCATCACAAACCTTGATTACAGCAGCTCTCCCCTTAGCGAAAAGAATTTGTAAAAGCCAGACAGCACGCACTCTTGTGATTTTCCCCCAGGGAGGGAACGCCACAATCAAGCTGCTGTTGCAGAGAAGGCCCCACTCCTGCTACTCACTACAGGGAGACCAGAGAGCTGAGCCTGAGATGACGATGCTGAACGCTGGATAACCTCACACCGACAAAGGCAGTCCTTTAGGCAATGGCATCCCAGACACCAGTTCGGGCTTTAAAGGTTTAAACCATCACTTTCAATTATCCACACTGTAGGCTCAGGCACCAGTAATGTGAGTCTCAACTGACCAAGCAGCTTTGAGGACAGGGCAAGGTAAGCACTATGAATTAGACGCTCAGCCCTGCAGGGATTCTGATTGGTCCTCCTCAGTATGAAAGCCCCGAGCCCCAGGTGAGGTGGGGAGGGTGGTGCATCAGTGGGTGTCTCCCTCAATTCCTCCCACAAGAGCAGGGAGTGAGCAGTCACAGTGAGTGAATGACAACTTAGGGCAAAGGGTCTCAGGAGCTCTCCAGGTGTTGCTGGATTCCAGCTCCCACAAACCTCAGCTGCCAGCATGGTCAAAGATGATGTGAGTTGTAGTCCAGCCACATCCAGAGGGCCATCCCCGAGGATGATTGCTGGTGGAGAATGCGGGCATCAATCCCATTATCCCTCAACATGCCAAGTGGGAGATAGCCACATGTGTGTCGAGCACTCAAGGGGTGGGGGTCAGGAAACACACCTTGTAACATGATCAGGGAAGAGCCCAGGCATTCCCAAGAAATTGGCTCTCTCCCTCCCTCTTCGAGCACCAGACAAAAAGCAATTGCACCTACCGTATTTTTCGCTCTATAAGACGCACTTTTCCCCTCCTAAAAAGTAAGGGGAAATGTGTGTGCGTCTTATGGAGCGCATGCAGGCTGCACGGCTATCCCAGAAGCCAGAACAGCGAGAGGGAGCTGTTCTAGCTTCTGGCTTAGCCGTGCGAAGCCTCTGCAGGGCAGCGGGATGAAGGCTCCCAGCTGCCCTGCGGAGGCTTCACGCGGCTATCCTTGGCTTTTGCAGGAGGTGGGGGAAGGGACAGAGCACGCAGCTCTGTCCCTTCCCCCCACCTCCCGCAAAAGCCCTCAAGAGCAGCGCTCCCTTTAAAGAGCGCACGGCTCTTGCGGGAGGTGGGGGCTGAAGCCAGGAGGGCAAGAGGGATCGGTGCGCACCGATCCCGCTTGCTCTCCTGGCTTCAGGGAGAGCCCCGCAAAGCCTCCAGAGCGAAGAGGGAGGAGCGCTCCCTCTTTGCTCAGGAGGCTTTGCGTTGCTTTCTTATTTTCCTCCCCTAAAAACTAGGTGTGTCTTATGCTCAGGTGTGTCTAATAGAGCGAAAAATACGGTACTTATTGCGCAGAAACCATTTGCCCCAGTATCACCATCACTTGAAACCAGGGGGCCAAACTTGTAGAAGGGCTGGTGTCTTGATTTACTGGGTTTCCTGCTTGGCTGCTTTGCATGTGTATCAAAATGTCTACGTGCTTCAGATCCAAGCAGACGGGAGACACAGATAACTCTACGCACAGAGGACCCCCCCCCCCCTCGGAGCTCACCAGCAGGTACGGCCGGCTCTGCCGATTTCCCAGGGCCACCAGCAGCACCTCCTTGACCAGCGGCATCTCGGTCTGACGGACCACCTCCTCCTTCTTGGCCTCGCCCTGGCTGGCAGGCTGCCCGAAGGAACTGTCCACCAGCACCCTCTGCCCCATGGGGAAATTCTTCACCAGGAAGACCAGGCGCCATTCAGGCAGCTGGTAGATCTACATGAGAGAGAAAGAGGGAGAAAGTAGCAGGGGCCAAGAGGGACCCGGCTGAGACTGGCTCACTCCCGCTGCCCCGGGCACTGCGTGGGCCTCACCTCCATGGCACCGTTCTCCCGGACCAGCACACACCAGTGAGAGGGCTCTGCCTTGTACTGGTGAGGATCCTTGTCAGCCAAGGGCAGGCTGCAGCGGCGCGGCTCCTCCTTGGTGGGACTAAACAAGGTGCCAGATTCACCGTACAGCATTTCTTCCTCATCGTCTATTGTGTTGCTGTACATGGGAGAAGAGAGGAGGAGGAAGGCAGTTACGCTTAAGACACCTGGGCAGCTGTTGCAAAGCCTGATCCAAGATCGGGCCCACTCACAGCAAGATTACAGTGCAGGTCTCAAAACTTTTGTAGGCAGCACATGGGCCCAAAGCTTAAATGAAGTCCCAGATGGAGCATCACTAAAGGGTTGAACAAAACTGAGGGCCAAAGAAACTGAGGGCCAGCTGAGAATTTCTCCTGCTACTGTCTTCACAAGTAGGTATCTGATTCTTTACTCAGGACCTACACAAGGTGCTTTGAATTCTCTCATCTCCTCACTGAGCACACCTGCCCCAATTACCTGAAAGAACGGGTGTGATAGTGCAGACTGTAGCTTGCACCATGAGAGAGGAGGAAGGCAAACAAACCAGCCAATCCAATCCTTACTTCCTGTTAAGCCGGTATTTCTCAAATTGGGTCTCCAGCTGCTGTTGGACTACAACTCCCATCATACTTGCCCACTGGTCCTACAAGTTTGAGAACCAGTGTATTAAGTGAACCGCCACGACCAAGTGGATATCTTTTATTTTCCTCTCACTGTCTCTACCAGACAGTCCTTTAACCTGGATGAAGTGGCCCAGCCTACTTCCAATACTGGGTATGATTAGGACTGCTGCCTAACTTATCTTCTAGCATGACTTATATACAACATTTTCACTCCCCCTTTCAACCTTTTAAGCAATCGGAACAGGGGAGTACTGATTAAGTTTCTATTTCCGAATTGCTGGGTTCCTAAGACGAACTTTTGGCCCTTCCATGCAAAACTAGTTAAGCAAACTACCCCTTTGTACTTTTACCCATCCAATGTACCTCCTACGCAGAAAAGCCTTAAAAACCCAAAACAACCATCTCACAACCCCTATTTTACAACCCAAACTCCCACACAAAGTGGCTAAATCCCTACCCCTTCCCAGAGTTCTTCGCCATGCCTCAAGACCCACCTGATGTCCTGGATGGGAGCCTCAGATTCTGACTGAGTCCTCAAGGAAAGCTCGTCCCGGGAGCTGGATGAATGGCTCTCAGTGGTGAACATGCCGCTGACGTCCCGGTATACACACAACGCAATCACCTTCGATTGCTGGAGGGGTGACAACAGGTTGCCTCAGAGCAAGACACAGGATGACCTGCTCTTAACTGAGCAGCATGGAAGCAGACTCAGAATCTGGTTATGCCAAGAACCTCGGCTGAAAGCAGGCTGTGCACCGTCATTGTTACAAGATACACATTTGGAGACCTCACTAATAAGCTATGCAAACTGAGCAAACGTGAATGTTTTTTGCACAATGTCTTCTGCTACTGCTAGCCAAGAAGAAGGGGTGATAGAGCCTCACCATGCCAGGCACTGCTCAGTGTTTTCAAATGTATTTCTGCAAGTTAACTATACGGGTTATAATAATTTTAAAAATTTATTTATACCCCGCCGTTCCCAGTTCAAAAAACTGGGCTCAGGGTGGCTAACAACAAATTTAAGACACTTAATTGATACAACAAAAAACATAAAATAAAATACAGCATAAAATACAGTATAAAACGTGAATAACAATAAATTCAGAATTCAAAAATCAATTTAGGGGGGAAATCCATCCAATAAGCATTAGGTGATCACCAGGGCTAGCTGGCTAAATTAGTCCTATTTGGGCCAGCAAGGAGACCAGGGGAGAATTAGCTGTGGGATCCCAGAGCGGGTAATCTTCATAAAAAGGGGAGGGGGAGGGAAGGAAGGGGAATAAAAGATCAGGCTAAATTCAAATTAAAAGCCAGGCGGAATAGCTATGTCTTACAGGCCCTGCGGAAGGAGGTTAAATCCTGAAGGGCCCTGGTCTTGTGGGACAGATAATTCCACCAGGTCGGAGCCATCACTGAAAAGGCCCTGGCCCTGGTGGAGGAGGGTTAGGATCCTTTCCTTGTAAAACAAAACAGATTGGAGATGCCACAAACTGAACCATGAGCCTTCTGCGAGTAAAATAAATGCTCTGTGGTTGAGCTGCAGAACCAGACACAGGATTTTGAGTTTCCGTGATGAGATGTGACTGCGAAGCCCTCTGTATAACAAGCAGCTAATGTTTGCAGAGCACAGGGTTGAGTCTGGGATAATCACAATGCTGTTCTAAGGGACTGTGGCCCCCTCCTGGTGCAATGGGTCAGTGTGTCTGGCTGTGAACCCGAAGGTTGGTGGTTCAAGCCCATCTAGGGACGGCTGTGGGCAAGATTCCTGCATCGCAGGGGGTTGGACTAGATGACCCTCAAGCTCCCTTCCAATTCTATTGTATGATTCTATGCTTACAGCTCGTACTCACGTGATGCAGCTGCGGCTTCTGTAACGTGAGCCGGTGTGTCCGGCCCCCGTAGGTGTCGCTCTTCAGCACAAACATAGTGACCTGCCCCTCGGAGCTCATGATCACCACATAGGGGTCGGCCACGGCACAGTGTATGATAGGCGAGCCGAGATCCACTGGGATGAAGTGCAGCTGGTTCACTGTGAGGCAGAGACACAGGCAGCTGAAAGGCAGACCAAGCCCTGACGGTAGCTCAGGCTGCCCTCCAATGGCCCCCACCCCGGACACCAACAGTCCCAGGATCCGTGGTGCTTTCAAAAGTATGTCTGCTCAAGTCTCTCTCAGCAACCTCCACCGTTTCCCCTGCCTAGTGATTCAGTTTCTAGGCCAAGGGCTCTTTCCCAGAACGGCTGCCTTTAAAACCAAGCTTGAGGCCTCCAGCTGCACTCACCTCCTTCCAGCAGGCGGATTCCCAGGGGAGACACCTGGACGATGTAGCGGTTCTCGCCAATGTTGCCGGCATAGACAGTGGGCCCCTGGGTGGCAAAGCCGCTGGTGTCCAGCTCCATGATTTCCTGGCCCGTCTGCAGGATCTGAGGGGGGAGGCAAAGAAGAAACAGTCACACCCATGTGCCCTTGCAGGGAATATTCCCAAGAGGGAGATCATACAGGGGTTGCCCCCGGAAAAAGCAAGGTGTGTGTGGAGTCATGCCACCCCACAATTAATATGAAATATGAAATACTTTATTGTCACTTGTACAACTTGTATACAGTGAGATTACAGGAGCACCCCCCACTCAGCTCTCTTAGTCTTAATTCCCCTCGTTTACTGACGCACACCCACCAAACCCGAAAGTCAGTTGCCCTGTTGTTATCTTTTCATTCAGCAGCCTAACAGCCCATGGATAGAAGCTATTCTTTACCCTGTTGGTGCGACTAATCGTGCTTCTATATCTTCTGCTCGAGGGCAGGAGATCAAGAAAGTGCCGGCCAGGGTGTGAATCATCCCTGAGAATTTTCTTCACTCTCCTGTGGCAACGTTCTTCCGCTATTTCATCCAGCGGAGTCACGGGACAGCCCATAATATCTTGTGCTGTATTCACCACCCTCTGTAGGCACTTCCTATCAGTTGATGTCAAACCAGCGTTCCACACCGTGATGCAGTATGAAAGGACACTTTCTGTTGTGGACCGGTAGAAGGAGAGCATCAGATGTTGATTGACATTGTTCTTCCGCAATACTCTGAGGAGGTGGATCCTTTGGGATTCCGAGCACAATTCAGAGTGTTGGTGCTGACCTTTAAAGCCCTAAACGGTCTCAGTCCAGTATATCTGAAGGAGCGTCTCCACCCCCATCGTTCTGCCCAGACACTGAAGTCCAGCACTAAGGACCTTCTGGCGGTTCCCTCACTGCGAGAAGCCAAGTTACAGGGAACCAGGCAGAGGGCCTTCTCGGTAGTGGCACCCGCCCTGTGGAACGCCCTCCCACCAGATGTCAAAGTGAACAACTACCAGACTTTTAGATGACATCTGAAGGCAGCCCTCTTTAGGGAAGCTTTTAATGTTTGATGTATTACAGTATTTTAATATTTTTTTGGAAGCCGCCCAGAGTGGCTGGGGACGCCCAGCCAGATGGCCGGAGTATAAATAATAAATTATTATTATTATTATTATTATTATTATTATGGCCAGAGTGAAGGGGCAGAGCAAGTTCCAGCTTTCTTCTCATGCTGCCAGCCCTTGGCAGATCTGCACACCCCGCAACCTCTTTGACACAGCCCACTCGGCTGATCTCCCTCAAAACAGCCCCTTTGAGCTGCCAATTGCCTTCCCCTTAGTCACTGAAGCACACTCAGCCAAGCTCCAAAGTGCACCCGGGGCCATGCCCAACGAAAAATGCCAGCACTCACCATGGTGGAGTCTTCCCGGCTCAGAATGAGGAAGCCGTGCCGCTTCCCGTCGTCAGCAGGCTCTGGCGGGGCCGGCTCTTTCTCTGCGCTTTCTCCCTGGGCGTCTTCCTCCTGTCGGGAGAAGAGGGTGGACAGGGTGATGCTGTCACAAGTGCACAGAGCCTCTGCCTTTGTGGGAGAGAGGCTGGAAGGAAATCCTCCTCCTCAAAAGAAGGTGGCTCAAAGCCCCTGGGAAGTAGAGGCCATACACACCGCTGCCTCTTCCGTCTTCTGGGGCGAGATCACCGTCCACATGTCATAGCAGCCTGGGAGTTCAAAGGTCGTCACCACCTGAGGGCGGATGCTTTTCTGTTGAGAAGGAAGGAAGAAATTAGGTAGTGGCTTGCAAACCATACATTTCGAAGATCTCTATTTGAAACAGGAGTGCCTGGCGTGCTCTGGTCCATGGGGTCACGAAGAGTTGGACATGACTAAACGACTAAACAAAAACAACATAAAAACCTATCAGAACGTAAAACAGCGCAGTGATTATCTCCATTAGAAGCAATGAGTGTGAAAAAGATAAATATGAGCAAGAATTGGGTTACATATGGAAAATTAATACAAAAAGAATGGAGTAAACGGAAAATGAAACCCTATGAAGAAGTTAAAGAATATGTGAATGATTGGCCGCACTACCGCCAAGTCAATGAAATGTTTAAACAGGGTTTTAAGGGAAAAGGATTTGATGAAAACAAATTAAAATTTGAAATGGAGATATTGAGTAATAAATGTAAAACTTTGTCTAAAATGTATAAATTGCTGCTTGAATTGCATTTGAAAGATGAGGAGGTAAAGTCAGTTATGATACATTGGGCCAAAGAATTTGAGTATAATATACAGTTAAAAGACTGGGAAAAACTGTGGAAAGAAGGATTAAAATTTATTGCATGCAATGCCTTAAAAGAAAATGTGATGAAAGTGATGTATAGGTGGTATATTACGCCTGTGAAATTAGCTAAAATGTATAAAGTAATAAATGCTGGAAATGTAAAGAAAAAGAAGGAACATTTTATCACATGTGGTAGGAATGTAAAAAAGTGAAAAACTTATGGGAAATGATATATAATGAGATGAAAAAGATGTTGAAATATACATTTATTAAGAAACCAGAAGCATTTTTACTTGGCATTGTAGGAGATGATATAAACAGAAAGGATTGTAAGTTGTTTTTATATGCAATGACGGCAGCAAGAATTTTATTGGCACAAAAATGGAAGCAAGAAGAACGAAAGAAGAATGGAGGATGAAACTGATGGACTATGCAGAATTAGATAAACTAACAGGAAGGATTCGAAACCTGCGGGACCAGAGATTCTCAGAAGACTGGAGTAAATTTACGAACTATTTGAAAAGCAGTTGTGATGAATAGATCACGCTAGTAGGTTTGAAAGAAGTTTTGTAAGGTGAATTATTTGAAATATTGCAAAAAAGACAATGAGGAGAATCATTAGTTAAGGATATTAAAGGTAATATGAAATTAAGAAATGCATAATAAGTGGCAAATAACGGAAAATCATCAGAGGCGTTGACGGAAGTCCAAAAATATTGTATGACTTGGAATTAATAAGTTAAAAAATTAATAAAAATGTGTATGTGTGTGTGTATAAAAGAAATTAGGCAGTGGCAGACTTTGGGCTCCCAAGTTTCAGTGGTGCCCGGTGCAATGTTTAAATTCAACATTCCCTGTCTCTTGTGCTACATTCTACAGCATTGTTGTGGCGCCCCTTGCAGCACAGCACCCAATGCGACCACACCAGTCGCGCCCCCCTGAAATTAGGGCTCCAGCACTCAAGGCGGGCTCCCTTGCAGTTGTACAATTTCTGGGCAGGTAAACCAAGTATGCACCTCAAAGGGCCTGTTTGTCTCACTGTGTGGAAGGGAGATCCATGAAGAAAAATAGGTCTGGTGTGAAATAGCAGGTCTTGATTGGCTAAAAGATTGGAAGTGGAAATGGAAATATCGTATATAAGCCAAGCTAGAAAATATGATACTAAGGAAGTTGAGAAGTCAGACACCGGAAGACTTGAAGAGCCCTCTGAACAACTGCAAGACAGAGGGGTAAATGCCAAAATGGTTGTTAAAAGCTGGAACATTAGAAAGGTTGTTAAAAGCTGGAACACAGCAGCAGGCCAAAGTCTGGAGAAGACCACAAAGGGACTCAGAAGCTGAACTGATATTCTTCCTGATGTTTTGTCGGAATCTCCTTTCTCGCACCTTGAAGCCATTGCCCTCCAGAGCAGGAGAAAACAAGCCTTCTCCATCTTCCATGTGACAGCCCTTAAGATACCTGAAAATGGCTCTCATATCTCCTATCAGTCTCCTCTTTTCCAGGCAAAACATACCCAGCTCCTTCAACCGTTCCTCACCAGGCTTGGTTTCCTCCTCCTGTGTGTCACCCCCACCCACCTACTTGTTCCTAGGTGTTTATAGGCTGCTCCATTGATCTCTGGGGCAGCCCTGGTAAGCCTAGGGCATGCCGCTGCTGCTGTAGCACTGGTACCTGACCTGCGCCAGACTCTCCTCACCGACGCAGGCCTTCGCACAGTGCAATCCCTGCGCTTCCCACCCCAGCAGTTCACCTGCTCGCTCACCTGAAGAACCGAGAGGGCGCCGTTCTTGCCATATCCTGAGCACACTACGATTTCAAGGTCGGGCTCAAGGCTGTTCTGGAACTGAAGACAGACAGACAGACAGTGTTAGGTGATTGAGAGTGGTGAGCTAGCCTCACTCGCAGCAACTCCACAGCAAGTGTCCTCGATTTCCTGCAGGAACCCTTTGCAAGCTCCTCTGTGCCATTAGAACCCCTTGGGAGGGCAGAAGGGCCAAACCTAACACGTTTCCCCACCCATCTTAGGATTCTTTCTTCAGGCACCGGACCCTGGCCCTGTCCCTACACCCAGAGCTCAGAGAAGGACCCAGCCAAGTGCACACCTCTTCAGAAAGGAAAGCCGGCTCCCCCATGGCGGCGTTGGCACAGGGACCGATGTTCAGGATACTGTCACAAACCTGTCAGTGTTGGGGGAGGAGAGAGAAACAGAAAAGGCACATGGGTTACCTACTGCTCAAGGAATAGCTCTGGGCAGAGGAGCAAGGATGGGAGACTCCAAAGCATTTCTGATTCCAGGTGTGCTTTGATCCATTGCCAGCTCAGAGGAATGGCCTAGCATGGGGAAGGGAAGAGGAGCTGAGTCTTTAGTACTGAGTTTCCCAACTCTCTTGCCCTTCTTCCGTCGCCCCAGGAAAAGAGAGCATGCCTGCCATAAGCAGGTTTGTATCTTGTCCTCAGAAGCTACATTTAAATGGTACCTCGAAAGAATAGGTGGCAAGTTGGGTCCCAGACTGGGCTTCGCTGCCATACACCTCGATCTCATCCACCTCGTCCTGAGGAGTTGACTTTCCCCCTGCAGAGGACACATTAGGATGTGGGTAGGAGAAGCCTTGGGATTAACTCTGTGCCTCCTCTTCATAGCTTTCCTTCTCTTGCACACTCCACTCAACAGCTCTTCCTAGGTACTTCCATTTAGGATATAGTTCCGTTCCACCTTAAAAGGAGCAGGCATGACTGTTGTGTGTCACATGCCTGTTTACTTCCAGCACAGGCTTGCTGGGAACTTCCGTTTGTATATTGCTTTTGCTATCCTGCTGTTTGCTGGAGACGAAGGGAAGCAGACATGTTTTTCCTTTGTTCCTGAACTATGCTGAATAAACACCTGTAAATAATGCTTACACATGTCTCTGTCCGCCACTTCCGTTGTGAAGATTTATTCACTCTGCTGATAAGAGCGTGCCGACTCTCTAAACGTATCTGAGGCTCGTGTCGCTGATTGATGCTGTACTGGAGATTACCCGGCTGCCGGCCAGTGGCTGGAGCCAGCTGGGGGCCTGCCAAATGCCCCCGTCTCCCCGGCAGTATCCCGACACTTCCCTCCCTTTTATGACCCACTCCCCAGAACACCAGGAGCCGGTAATTTGTACCGGATCCCCCAGCATCCCCTCTCGTTGGCTCTGGGGCAGAGCCACCTACCCGTCCAGTTTGCAGTCTGCTCCACGCGTTTCTTCTTGACAGGAGGCTCCTCCTGCAGGCGGAAGGAAGTTGCATGCTGACAAAAGGCAGGGGACTCACCAAGTCTGACTTCCCTTGGAAGCCAACAGGTGAAGAGTTTCCAACTGAAACCTCCATTCATTCACGGCAGTCAGTGTATCAGCTGCTTTGCTCTCCCACCAACCAACACCCACTCAAGTACCGGGCTCCCCTTCCCTATGCCTCCCCCCAAATGCTCTCTGTGGCTGGGCCAGATTCTTTTCTTTTTTAAAAAATTGATACAGCAAGAAAAAAGAAAAAACACAAATACCAAATTACACACAGGAATAACCACAGACACATAATTTTCTTAACAAACAATAAAACATAAATTGGTCTTAACACTAAAGACCCAACCTCCCATCTAGTCCATATTTTGATTTCATATTACTTATTGCCAATACACGCTTTTATCATAATTAAACTTTTTCTTAATATATCTAATTTCTTATTTCTACCTTGCAACTATTACTGAAGTTCCTCGAATGCTGCAACAGAATTTAAACTACTATGTTTACTTTTCAAATATTCTTTGAAAACCTCCCATTTTGAGACAAATTCCTGTTTTGATTTATTCTTTATTTTTTCTGATAGACCATCTAGTTCAGCATATTCTATCAGCTTTTGGATCCAATCTTGTATAGAGGGGATTTCATTACTCTTCCAGAACTCTTGCTGCCGCCGTTGCATATAAAAAGATACCCTTCCTCTTTTGCGGAGTATCCAGATCTGTTATTCCCAGGAGGTAGGCCTCTGGTTTTTTATTAAAAGAGACCTTTAGCATTTTTTGCAGTTCTGCATAAATACTCTCCCAGAATACCTGTATTTTCCTACATATCCACCACATATGGTAGAAAGTTCCTGAGTTATCTCCGCATCTCCAACAATTACTTGACACATTTTTATACATTTTCAAAAGTTTCCATGGCGTTAGGTACCATCGGTGTTGCATTTTTTGAAAGTTCTCTCTAATCGTATAACAATTTGTGAATTTCCAATTGATTTTCCATAAGTTTTCCCATTGGGCCATGGTTATTGAATGGCCAAAATCCTGTGACCAAGTGGCTGGGCCAGATTCAAGCAGCACTGGACAGGAAGGCTGTCTGGGGTTTGTCCTGCAATGGGGGGTGGGGGAAGCTTCTAATGCAATGCTGCTCTTTAAGTAAATGGGGCAGGCCAGGTCCCAGGTGAACTCACCGGCTTCTCTGCGGGGTCCTTGGCAACGCTCATGGGGGTCTCCTGCAGCTTCTCTGTGTATTTGAGGAGGAGGGAGTTGCCGAGACGTGAGCCCAAGAAGAGGTAGCCGGGGTCCATGGTGATCATCTGAGATCCGAAAGGCAGAAGGGACAGGGTGGGGAGATGCAGTGTCAGACAAGTCCTCGTGGGAGAAGGGGCAAAGAGGCATCGCAAGGGAGCAGGGGGCGCCCAGAGGCAAAACAGGGCAGGGGCACCACTGATTGGGCTCAGCAATCACACGTATCTCATATACGCAACTGGCTTTTGCCTCAACCTCCCCCCCAACCCTGCCACCCTGACTCTGCCAGTGCCCGGCCTAATGGAGCTTACGCAAGTGGTGAGGACGCTGGCTGCCGCCTTGTCGAAGTGGAAGGATCGGACGCTCCGCATGCCGTCGGTGATGAGGGTCAGGACATAGCTAGGGTAAGGGAGGGAGGAAGGGAGGCAGGTGAAGGGATCCCTTTGACAGAGGGCAAACAATGTCTGAGCAAGAAAGCTTGCAAGGAGCCCTGTCAAACATGCGGTGGCCTGGGGAGGCTCAACCCCAGGATATTGGCCCCTCTCTCACTGAACCCAAAGCATAGGGGGTAGACTAGATGATTCCTTAGGTCCCTTCCAACTATAAAATTCTATGAGAGGGAGACAACACAATTCAAGGTAACGGCTGAAAGACCAACCACTCACTGGACTCCTTCTCCCACTGCTGATTTTCTATTTGTTTTAGCTGCCCTACCATACTCTCCCTAGGTGGGTCTAGAAGACTACTTTTCTCCTCTACGTTAACTGAAATTTGCAACTGCCACACACTGGCAACTAAGCAAAACTAGGTTGTCTGAAGGGGTCCGGCTCCAGAGGTTTGCAATGAGTTGCCCAAGAAAAACAGCAAAAAGCCTAGTGTTGCAGCTGTTCAGGCAACCAAGTTCCACTCGACTCCCACCCACCAGGGACACTGCAAACAGTTAAGTTTAAAGAACATGCATTCAACTAAAGCAAACTCAGCCCTGCCCAAGACTGGAGCCAGGTGTCCAATAATCTCTTTCATAGGACATTGGCTAGCAGATGCAAACATTTTCTCTTCCACTTCTTTCTCTTTCTGGTGCTTTGAAGAAATATGTGCTCTTGCCTCTCCATCACCCGTGTCAGGCTTGTCTTTGGGCTTTAAATTTATCTGCTAAGCCATGAAATATTTACCGACTTCACTGCACTGAGGGGGACAGAAACAGAACCCGGGGAGAAAGAGGTCAGCCTGACTTAGCTACAGGCTCAGTGGCTGAACACAGCATCTGCTTGGGACACATGACAACATCAAAAGCAGAATCTCTTTCCAATGGGCTGGATGTTTACGGTCCAAGAGAACCGGGAGCAGCAAGCAGCTTGCCTGCATCTGGCCACGTGAGCAGAGCTGCAGAGCTGTTTTTCCTGTAAGCAGAAACATCCCAGGTCTGAACAGAACAGCTCCCTGCTGGAAGCTGGCAAAGGTAATTGTGCCTGGTGACCTGAGAGCAATCCGAATCCTTACATCTCCCCTCCTTTCAGCGAGATGACCATCTTGTCATAGGAGATGAAAGCCGCCTGGGCACAGTCCAGTGTGATTTTCACTCCCTCTTGGATCCCTGTAAAGAGGAGGAAGGCATCAGCAGAGCCCAAAGTAGCAGGACACAGGGGCAGGACTCAGGACGCTGCTGCTGTCCCCTTTGGAAAGGTAGCCTGGTCTGAGCACTTTCCCTCATGCAGTACTGCTTGGAGTTATAAGTGTTCTATCCACTTACCAGGTTTGCAACGAGAGTTCACAGCCTGCTAACCGGGGCAGAATTTCAGAAGCTGAAAGTGTGTACACACACTAGTACAGTCATACCTCGGGTTGAATGTGCTTCAGATTGAGTGCTTTCGGGTTGCGCTCCGTGGCAACCCGGAAGTAATGGAGCGCGTTACTTCCGGGTTTTGCCACTCGCGCATGCGCAGACGCTCAAAATGATGTCATGCACGGAAGCGGCAAAACGCGACCCACGCACACGCAGATGCGCCGTCGCGTCTTACGTTCTATTCAGGATGCGAATGGGGCTCCGGAACGGATCCTGTTCGCATCCCGAGGTACCGCTGTACACATCTCTAGTCCTAATGATTAAGGGTTGCACTGGAAAGTTTGCAAAGGATGCCATGTGGTTCCTATCCCAACCCCTGCCTCTCCAATAAAAGCAATGTTTTAAAACCTGTGCCAGAAGTGACATAACAGGTAGTATTCTCTGTTGAACAGCATCTGGTTAAGGGCACGAGGTTAGGAGTTCGCTGCTCTCCTTTTCTGTCCACTCATGGGTACAGGAAAGTAAAACTGGTAGGGCAGGGAAAGGGTCCTATATAGAGCTAGCTGCTCAGTTTGAGCCCATAAGGATCAGGAGCACAGTGGCAATACCTCCAGGGCCACCAGCAGCTTGCCAACATCCAATAACCTCTGTGGCAAGGAGCACCTATTATCAAATTTAGGTAGGTACACCAACAGCACACTTTCCTGGACAGGAATAGCTTAGCCACTGTGATTCATGTGTTGGTAACCTTGGGTTGCCATATTTCAAAAAGGGGGGGGGCGAGTGGCCAGGTTGCAGAGTGGGGCAGGTGGAGGCACACGTATTTACACCTGTGTTGAGCGAGCGCACTGGCTGCTGATCAGCTCCCAGGCCAAGTTCAAGGTCTTGCTGTTAACATATAGAGCCCTGAACAACTTGGGACCGGATGACCTTTGTGAAAGATCACCTGCTCCTGTAAAGATCAGTAAGATCATCTGGGGGAAATTCTACTTGCAGCACACAACCCTGCAGAATATTGTAGGGCAGTGATCCCAAAACAGGCCTTTTCTGCTGTTGCCCGACACTGAAAATCCCTTCCCTTTGCTATATGCAGAGCAGCAGCCATCAGTTGCTTTAGATGTCTTATAAAGGCAAATCTTTTTGCCCAGACTTTCTCTGGCTCATGAGACTGGACCCTGATCTTTGACTACGAATTTCATGCATCTCTGTTGTACTTGTTTTGGTATCTGTTTATACGCTTTTGTGTTGTTTTGTTGATTTTAGGTTGCATTTTTGTTTTAAGGTGTGTTGTTTTCATATTGTGCACTGTTGAGGGATCTTTAAAATATGAAGCGCTTTAGACCTTCTTTTTGATAGAAGGGAAGGAAAGCAGAGAAGCCTACTTAGCGGGAAGACGGTGGTGCCGTTGGTGAGGCTGTTGAGGGACACGCCGTAAGGCGGCACGCTCTGGTTCAGGTACAGCAGTGAGTTCACCGCAAAGATCACAACTCCGCCTAGAGGAGGAAGGAAGGGGAGAGGAGAGTTAGGCCAAGACGGAGTTGTCACTCTTGAGCCGCAGGGTTTAAGCTGGTGGAAAGTGAGCTTGTCTACATTGTCCTCCGAGTAAGGGAGGCTGCTGTCCAGAACACACATCCTATCTGGAAAATATGCTAGCCCATCTAGCGCATTATCACCGACTCTGACTGGCAGAGGCTGTTCAAGGGTCTCAGGTGTGTGCCTTTTCCAAAGATCTCTTTTTAAGGGGAGATACTGGGACGTGGATGGCGCTGTGGGTTAAACCACAGAGCCTAGGGCTTGCCGATCAGAAGGTCGGCGGTTCGAATCCCCGCGACAGGGTGAGCTCCCGTTGCTCGGTCTCTGCTCCTGCCAACCTAGCAGTTCAAAAGCACGTCAAAGTGCAAGTAGATAAATAGGTACCACTGCGGCGGGAAGGTAAACGGCGTTTCCGTGCACTGCTCTGGTTTCGCCAGAAGCGGCTTAGTCATGCTGGCCACATGACCCGGAAGCTGTACGCCGGCTCCCTCGGCCAGTAAAGCGAGATGAGCGCCACAACCCCAGAGTCGGTCACGACTGGACCTAATGGTCAGGGGTCCCTTTACCTTTACTGGCAACTGAACTTGAGAGCTTACGTGCGTTATGGGCCTCCCTGCACTGTCTAACCACCTTTGCCACAATTTGGGATTTCCACTCAAAATGGAACACCCTCCCTCCCTCCCCAAAGATCTTCACAGCTTCTAGCCACCTTGTTCTACCCATGCACAAGCGCCTGCGCCACCTCCCCCTCTCCACACAACAAGCGGGAAGAAACCGTTCCTCTCACCAATGGGCTTGGGTACCGCCAGGGCCTGGGTGCAGTCAAAGGGCAGGTTGCTGAGAGACCAGATGACCGGGTGGACCTTCTGCATGATGTTCAAGGAGATAGCCACAATGCTGCAGGTGTCCTGGCGCACAGCCACCCGCCTGAAGAGTGACAAGGAAAGAGCTCGGCTACTTGACATCGCTGTCCACACAGCCTAGGCAAGTGGGGCAGGTGCGGTCAAGGTGAGCCGAAACTGGGGACGGCGGTATGGGGAGAGAAACGGGAACTGGCAGCATCAGGTTCCAAGAGAATGAAGCGTCAGCAAGAAGTTTTGTAAGGATGACTACAGTGGTACCTCGGGTTAAGTACTTAATTCGTTCCGGAGGTCCGTACTTAACCTGAAACTGTTCTTAATCTGAAGCACCACCTTAGCTAATGGGGCCTCCTGATGCTGCTGCCTGCCACTGTGAGATTTCTGTTCTCATCCTGAAGCAAAGTTCTTAACCTGAAGCACTATTTCTGGGTTGGCGGAGGCTGTAACCTGAAGCATATGTAACCTGAAGCGTATGTAACCCGAGGTACCACTGTATTTGAAATATTGCAAGAAAGACTATGAGGAGAATTACTAGTTAGTGATAATTAAGAGTAATAGAGAAATTAAGAAATGCAGAATAAGTGATAAAGAACGGAAAATTATCAGAGATGTTGACGGAAGTCTGAAACATTGTATAAGATAAGAAATTATGTTATATTATTGTTGGAAATGATACGTTTAAAAAAACCAATAAAAATGTATATATATATAAGATAATGAAGTGTCAGATGGTGCTTGGGAGGGAACAACGTTGAAGGGGACAGAAGTGGAAGCAAAAGCCCCAGGTTTTGTCCCAGAATTGACATACCACGTCTGGCAAAGAGCACCAGACTCCCTCCAGCCCCAGAGCTCATTTCCTAACACAACAGTGGGAGTCATCCGTACTGAGACCCACAGCTCTCCCTTGGCTATCTGCAGACTGAGTTTAGACTTTCGAGGCAGACACAGAGGAGCACAGGAAGCTGCCACATAGTGGTACCAAGTTATACTGTCGGTCCATCTAGCTCAGTAATGCCTACACTGATTGGCAGCAGCTCTCCAGAATTTCAGGCTGGAGACCTTCTGCATGCAAAAAAGATGCTCTAGCACTGAGCTGCAGTGCCAGTTTTGTTTTCTTGTGACGGGGGGCTAGCTGGCCAGCAGTTGTTCTGGGGCAAAGCTAACAACAGAGAGGGAGGAGGAAGGCAAGACATACCCAGGCCAGGTCTGGTTGGGCTCAAAGAGGATGAGTAGGGTGGGCTCGTAGTAGCCATACAGGAACTGCATGTCAATGATGTTGAGCAGCTTCTCGTCTAGCTCCCGCACGTCAATGATGTAGCTGGGCAGAAAACTTGACTTCTGGCTGCAACAAGAGTTCACAGAGGCCAAATACACTCCAGGGTTCCCAAGGGACACACTTGAGAAACTGTCACGAGCTGCACAAGGTACCCATTTCACAGATGAAAAACTGGCAATGCGGCACTAATTACGCTTGCTTTGAGCCCTTACTTGCAGTTTTCTGACTGTCCCGCCCTGCACCGCAGCCCCTTTCTCCTCTAAATGCCACCCTGTGAGGATACCCAGGGTTAACAGCTCAAGGGGAAATGACGACTGCGGGTGTGTTTGCATCTTTGTTATGTGAACGTTTTTACTTTCTGTTTTGGCTGCGACAGGAGAAGCATCATGTCTTCGCTCTCTCCTGGCTGAACTGTTTGTTTGCGGCTGGCACGGTAGAATCAAAGCTGTTGTACGAGAGTTTTACTGCATGGCTGAGATTCCTTCCACACGGGCACATCGCTGCGCAAGATACTCTGATGTAGCCGGGAGAAGCAGGTTGGCACAGTGGAAGTGGACTGGACGCCACAACAGTCCCGCTGTTCACAGCCTTGATGGACTCTCAACGGAACACACCCATTCTGAGACCCTGACTATTTTAAATGCTACCTCAGTCGAGTATCGGTCATTCTGGCAGCCCTTACCCTTCTCCCATGACGCCTTCGTGCTCATCCGTCAGGGTCTCTCGGCGGAACGGCAGCACCACCAGCCTTGTGCCATAGATGAGCATCACCGCGCAGCGCCCATCCGGGTCCACCCGCACTTTGGGGATGTGGACGTTCTGCACAAAGCCATCCTGGGGGAGAGACAGAGCAGGCCATGAGTACCAGGCAGGGCGACACAGAGGGAGCAGGAGACCCTTCCTTTTATTCTGCTGTGCTCCCTTGGGTCTGGAATACATGGTGCCTCTCAACCCAAATGCAACAAGGGAGTCTGGCATGAGCACAGAGTTGCAAGGGATTCAGGAAGGGAGAAGTCTTGGTTGTGTTCCCTGACAAATGGAGAGCTGCCAGTCAAAGTGAGGGGCTCCCCGCAAGGGAGGACAGCTGCAAAAGGCTGCCCACTCCTAACTGAAAAAGCAAACAGGTCAAAATGGCTCACTATTTCAGGCACTTGCTCACCTTTCCAATAGCTGCTGTTTGAATGAATACTGAGATGAAGGTGAGATGGACAGGGAGACAGAGGGATACCAGCTCCATCTGGTACGCAGGCTGAGACTATACCTGCCCAAAGACTGTCTCACCAGAGTGGTGCATGCTCTAGTTATCTCCCGCTTGGACTACTGCAATGTGCTCTACGTGGGGCTACCTTTGAAGGTGATCCGGAAACTGCAATTAATCCAGAATGCGGCAGCTAGACTGGTGACTGGGAGCTGCCGCCAAGACCACATAACACCAGTCTTGAAAGACCTACATTGGCTCCCAGTACGTTTCCGAGCACAATTCAAAGTTTTGGTGCTGACCTTTAAAGCCCTCAACAGCCTCAGTCCAGTATACCTGAAGGAGCATCTCCACCCCCATCGTTCCCGGACACTGAGGTCCAGCACTGAGAGCTTTCTGGTGGTTCCCTCACTGGGAGAAGCCAAGTTACAGGGAACCAGGCAGAGGGCCTACTCGGTCGTGGTGCCCGCCCTGTGGAACGCCCTCCCATCAGATGTCAAAGAAATAAACAACTATCTGACGTTCAGAAGGCATCTGAAGGCAGCCCTGTTTAGGGAATTTTTAATGACTGATGTTTTAATGTATTTTTAATCTTTTGTTGGAAGCCGCCCAGAGTGGCTGGGGAAACCCAGCCAGATGGGCAGGGTAGAAATAATAAATCATCATCATCATCACCACCACACAGGAATTCCAGCAGCTGCCTTAAGAGTCTCAGGGGTTGCAAGAGATTTGACAATGTCCCTTGGCTATGAAAGAGAACAGGTGGCAGCTTCTCCCACAGCAGCTTCAAAATTAAAGTGCAAACCTTAGTTCTAGTTACGGGTAGGTAGCCGCGTTGGTCTGCCATAGTCAAAACAAAATTTAAAAAATTCCTTCCAGTAGCACCTTAGAGACCAACTAAGTTTGTTATTGGTATGAGCTTTTGTGTGCATGCACACTTCTTCAGTGTGCGTGCACACAAAAGCTCATACCAATAACAAACTTAGTTGGTCTCTAAGGTGCTTGTAGAAGAAAATTTTTTATTTTGTTTCGCAAGCCTTAGGATACCTACCCTCAGCTCTGGCTCCTCAAAGTAATGGAGGGAGAGAGTTTTCAGGTCGTGGGTGCCAGGATCATATTCCACCACGGAGAGCTAGGAGGCAGGAAAAAGGAAATTAGAGGCAATCTGTTAGAGTTTCATTTTTCTCTTTAGCAGAAAATTGTAATAATCAACCTGACCGCCAGTGAACCCTTGGGAGGGCCAGGCTATAAATCAAACTAATTACCTCCCTCCCCTAATAAAGCTTGCTATATTTTCTCATGTGCCTATTCACTTCTGATCTGCCTGCTGCAAGCCCATGTTTTCCAGCCTGAAGGAGAACCCCGTGTAATCCAAGAGCTTTAAAGCAACTCACTCCTCAGTTTGCATGGTTGCTCTTCAGTTCTTCCTGTTTCACAAAACACAAACTCATTTAGCTGCTGCAAGACACACAGTGCATCAGGGCAGCCTTCCCTAAACTGGTGCCTGCTGGGGATTATGGGAGCCGTAGTCCAAAAATCTGGAGGTCCCAGCTTGTGGAAGGCTGTACTAAGAGTTCCATTGTCTTCTAAGTAGCTGTGGGAAACCAGCAGGCGGGATTCGAGCACAAGAAACCTCTCTCCTCCTTGTGGCTTCCAGCAACTGGTTTTCAAAGCCATTTTCTCCTCACAATGGTCCGGAAAGTTGTCTAGAAAGGGACTTGGCTTCCTTTCAGCCTAAGAACTCCAGGGCTATTTTGTTTAGCCTCATGCCAGACAAAATTGCCACCCAGGAGGCGCGCCATAGTCAACTGCAAGTCGAGGGGCCAGGGGCCCTTAGGAAAGGCTCCGAGGGCCACTAACTTATAATAATACCCCACTACCTATCAAAACCCTCCACCACCTCCAAGATGTGCAGCTCCCCAAGCAGGGTCCCTTGAGGCTCCTGCGCCCTCTGCATCTCACGGCCCCCCACCCAAGCCAACCCCTTACCTTGGCATCCTTGAAGCTGAGCAAGAGGGCATCTCGCTTGGCTCCCGCGAGCTGCACGCTGGCCATGGACATGACATTACCAAAGAAGGAGAAGGCGGCCACCAGCTCGAGTTTCTCCTTGTGACCTTTGCCTTCTGCGCAAGACAGAAAGCGGAGGCGCATTAGGCTCTGAGGCCCTTGCTGCACACAGAGCCCCTTCCCACAACCTGTTTTTCTGTGCCTGAAAGAAGCCTCCAAAACCTTTCAGCCTGTATCCTGCCCCCAGGTGAACTCAGCCCATGGACGTTACCAAGACCAGTGAAAGGACCACCTAAATGTTCTGCTTTAGGTGAAGGGGAGAGAAGACTTTACATTAGGCCTGCCTACATAAGCACTGAGAAGATGGGCCTAGCATGGAAAGCCAACCTCAGTGTGTTTCAACGCTGGTGGCCAGGTGCCCGTGCCGTTTCTCTTCAGTCCCTGACTGCAGAAAAAACAGCAAACGTATGAAAAACAGTAATTAGACATCTGTTGACGTGGGTGGCACTGTGGGTCAAACCACAGAGCCTAGGACTTGCCGATCAGAAGGTCAGCAGTTCGAATCCCCGATACGGGGTGAGCTCCTGTTGCTCGGTCCCTGCTCCTGCCAACCTAGCAGTTAAAAAGCACGTCAAAGTGCAAGTAGATAAATAGGTACCACTCCAGCGGGAAGGTAAACGGCGTTTCTGTGCGCTGCTCTGGTTTGCCAGAAGCGGCTTAGTCATGCTGGCCACATGACCCGGAAGCTGTACGCCGGCTCCCTCGGCCAGTAAAGCGAGATGAGCGCCGCAACCCCAGAGTCCACGACTGGACCTAATGGTCAGGGGTCCCTTTACCTTATCTTTTTACTCAGCAATTACTCCAGACTTCCTGAACCTGGCGCTGTGCAGATGTTTTGGATTACAGCTCCCATCAGCCCCAGTCAGCTTGGTCAGGGTTGATGGGTGTTGCATTCCAAAACATCCGGAGGGCACCGGGTTGGATAAGGCTGGCATACTCTGAGAAGCAGCCTCTTTGCCAGGCCTCAGGCGGAGAGATCCTTCCCAAACTTGCTGCACCAAAACCATCTTGACACATGTGTGTGCTCCACCCTTAAGAGCTAGGGCCCATGAGCTGGGAAGGCATTTGCTAAGAAGTGTGCAGGTCCAGGATCAATGGCTACTTGGAGGGCTGCCTAGCAGTAGCTCCTCGTTTCAGCAGAGACCATTCTTGGGGGCCCAGAGAATTGACACCAGAAGCAACCAAGCACTTATGGCCCCAAGATAGCACCTGGGAGAGCCCGCCGGGCAAGAAAACCAGAGCCCACTATAAGAATATAAAAACAACCTGCTGGCTCAGGCCAGTGGTCCATCTAGCGCAGCAACCTGTTCTCACAGTGGCCAATAAGATGCCCTTATGGGAAATTCATAAGCAAAATTCAAGCACAAGATTGCTTTCCCCTCCTTCTGTGGTTCCCCGAAACTGGTATAAAATCATGCCTGCCCAGTGATTTGAACCCTGGACCCTCAGTGTGCTGCTGTCCCAGCTAAGCTACCCATGGGGGCTGCAGAAGCAGCTTCCTTCAAGCAGCCTTCTTCCAAGGCAACCTCTTAATACAGGCTTTCTGGTTCCACAGCTCCTTTGCCCAGACTCCCCCCCCCCCTGCCCCCAATGCCTGCACACTGCAGCCCCAGCTCCCCACACCCCACTCACCGGAGATCCTGTCATTTTTGGTTGAGGTCTAGAAGAGAAGCAAAGGAACACAGTCAGTCCTGCAGCATCAATGCAGGCGCACTGCACCAGCTGCACAGTCTGGCTGAGGAGGCCAGCGCCTCCCTTCTCTCTGGGGCAGCGTGCCAAGGCATTCCTCAAAGCTGCATTAATGCTCCAGAGAGAAAGAAAAAAGAATGGCAAATCTGGGCATCACCTGTGCATTGCTTTCCCTTCCAGCCCCAGAACTGCACACCCCTAGGATGCAGCCCAGAACCATAACGTACCCCATAACCGCACCAACCCAAATCATTCCATGACTCTCAGACTGTGCCAGGTCTCTCCAACCCAACTCCCCAGTTGACGCTACCCATTTCTAACATTTCAGCTGTCTTTTGGGCCTCTTTGGCTCTGGATGAAACACCCATCCTAGGGAGCAGGGCCAGGGTTTTCCAGGTCTCCCTGCTGCAAAGGGTGCCACAGCCAGTTCCTTCTATCTTCTAAAAAAGAGCAGGTCAGCAAATCTGCCCTGCTGGGCCACCATCACTCTTTCCCTGCAAAAGGAACGTTAATTCCAGGCCGGCTCAAAAGAACAAGAGCTCCAGGGAATCTACTTGAGTGCTGGAAGCAATTGCACAAAAGGCACCCATGCCAGGACCACCATCTGGCACGAGAAGAGCAGAGGGGCAGGATGCGGGGTTCGTGCAGCTTTGCAAATTGGCCCACAAAAGTTAATAGCCTGCAAAAAAGGGGGGAGGAGCTCCATTGCTCACCCTGCAGTCTCCGCTGCATTTCTAGACTTGGTGCAGAGGACGGTTTGAACGCTCCGCACATCTGCCAGCCCACACACAAGTCTATAAATTCGCCTGCATGCAGTTTCTTGTTGCTTTAGGTGACGAGGTGGGTGCTTAACGACAAGGCTGTGTTTGTGAGAGAGACTGGAAGCGGGGAGAGAGGGACGGCCAGTTCCAGTCCTTACAGGCACTTTCCATCCTAACGCAGTTCAGCGAGGGCTGCGAGGCCACATCCATGCTTGGGTCGGGTGGGGGTAGAAATCAGTTTCCAGGGACGCCAGTAAGGGGAAGTTGCCTCATCCAAGTTCAGCGTTATCACTGAACAGGAGAAATTCTGCAGGGCATATGCCCTTGGGAAGCTGGAGGCAAAACTCAGAGATGTGCCCTGAACTAAAGAGTGAGAAACTTCTGGCCCACAGGCCAATCTTGGCCTGTTGGGGGTTCCTATGCCATTTCCTCCTAACCATGCCTACCTGACAATCAGCTAATGTCCCTGGGTGGGGGCTGCATCCTGTTTAAGCCTGGCTCTCCAACACTGCTGGGCCAGGCCTCTCCCCATTTGTCAAGACCACTTGTCTGAGGCAGGGTTATATACTCAGTTTCAGGTGCTCCACAATTTTACATTGTGGGAAAGAACTCTTTTGTTGTTGCCAAACCCACGGCCTGTTGTTTTCAGGAGATGCACACCCACCACAAAAGTGAAAGGCCATGGTTCCCTTCCTCCTGGATCCCTCCAGCATACATCACCCCCAAGCAGGCGGTCCACCGTACCTCAGAGTCATGGTTGAGCCTGTACACGTACAGCTGAGAGGTCCCTGCCACCACCAAGTTGCGCTCGGCGTTGGAGAAGAAGTTACAGTACATGGAAAACTCCAGCCCAGTGGGAGGGTGCGCCTGCTTGTACACGGCATACATCTCCGCAGGCTCCCTGCAGAAAGGCACAACTCAGTGTGGGGAAAGCGGCTAGCAGGCCAGGACACAAGCCCACAGCAGGACCTGGCCCTGAGAGATGTCAGCCTATCTGCCAACTAGCTGAGCCAGAGGGGACTCTGCTGCTACGTTACCTGCAATAGATAGCTCCCTGGCTCCCGGTGGAGTACAGGATCAGGTTTAAGGTGCTGGTTTTAACCTTTAAAACCCTATACGGCCTAGGACCCTCGTACCTACGGGACCGCCTCTCCTGGTATGTCCCACAGAGGACCTTAGGGTCTTCAAACAAAAACATCTTGGAGGTCCTGGGCCACAGGGAGGTTAGGCTGGCCTCAACCAGAGCCAAGGCTTTTTCGGCTGTGGCCCCGATCTGGCGGAACGCTCTGTCCCAAGATACTAGGGCCCTGCGGGACTTAACATCTTTCCGCAGGGCCTGCAAGACAGAGCTGTTCCGCCAGGCCTTTGGCCAGGGCACAGTCTGACCCCCTTCTTCGGTAATCCTCAGAACTTTAGCCCAATGGTTGCCATGAATTAGATTTTGAATTGATTTCAGAATGAATTGATTTTAGAATGTTGTGTTACTTTTATTGTTGTTAGCCTCTCTGAGCCCAGCTTCGGCTGGGTTGGGCGGTTTTGAAATAAATTATTATTATTATTACTATTGTTATTATTATTAGATCACAACTTGGGACCAGTTTATCTACAAGATCACCTTACCCCATATAGGCCGAATCAACTACTTCAACCTGAGCAACTGGCAATATTACAGCTGCCACATAATACTCCTTCCACATTTGCAAGAAATCGATCTTTTAGGGCGGTAGCACATAGACTTTGGAACTCCCTGCCAATTGACATCAGGCAGGTGCCTTCTGTGTAATCTTTAAAGTGCTTGCTAAAAACATTTTAATTCAGACAAGCCTACTCAGACATGTAGAAGAATGTAAGTGTGAGTTTTAATCTGTTTTTAGTTTATTGCTGATTTTATCTTCCGAACGTTTCAAAAAGTTGTTTTTAAAGGCAATTTTCTTGTTTCTTTCTCTTAGCAAACCACTTTGAGGATTCTTAAAAAAAACACCACCACAAGCAGTGTACGGATTTTATGAAATAAAATGAAGTTGGGAGATGAAGGTCCTTCAAGGCACCCAGAGTCCCGGACCTCAACTGGATGCCAAAGATGGCCAATGTGGTGCTCTCCAGATACCGCTGGACTCCAACTCCCATCAGCCCCAGCCAACATGGCAAAAGGTCAGGGATGGTGGGAGTTGTAGTACAGTGACATCTGGAGGGGGTCACATGAGCTACTCCCAGGAGACACTTCCCTCACCCCGGCATCCACACATTGGGCCTGACTGACAGCTGTCTTTGGGGTAGCGCTATATTTATCTGAACTGACAGATAAGCTTAAAGCAATATGGCTAGCACAATTAATCCCTCATAGACATGGCCCAGCAGTGTATTGCAGGGATGGGAAACTTGTGGCACTCCAAATGTTGGACTGCAAGCAACTGCCAGCATCCCAGACCATTGTCCCTGATAGCTGGGGCTGATGAGCGCTGGGGTCCAACAACACCTGAGAGCCCACCAATCCTCTGAAGAGACCAGAACAGAATACATGGGGAGGG